CGAGATGAGATGTCAAGGTCCGAATGATCGACAACTGGCCAGAGAAAGCAAGTTGTCGTTGAGAGCCCTATGGGAATCGACCGTTAGATCTGACAGATATCGTAATTGGATGCAGTACGCACCCGATCACCCACATGCAGCTGACGCAACGCTCCCCCAAAGTCCCTCCGGCCCCAACTTCGGACGGAAAGGACCAATCGCGTCGGCAAACGTATCAACGTCATGTCTCATTCAAAAGAAAGCACACATGCTCCCCTCATCAAAAGCTGCGCGAAAGCCTGAGCGCTTACGGGTGGAGGCGGTGGCCTCGTGGTCGGGCGCACAAGTTCCATCGCACCCACCACCACTTATTAACCGCCAAGTACCGCTGCAGCAACGAAAAACGGAACAGATTTGCAGAAGGACCATCTCATGTGAATTATGATATATGCAAGAAGACGCTCTCAATAAACTCCAGTCACCGATACTCCGAAGCAGGGGTATAGCCCTCGTCCTCCTCTTCTCGCTTCCCGACCCGCCCCCTTACCCAGCCCCCTCGGGTTAGAACGGCTTCTGCCCGCTCCAAAAATGCATCTTGCCGTATGCATGAACGTTGGGATCTCTCATGGCATTGCGACACTCGGCGAAAAGAACCTCCATTTCCACCTTGCTCCATCCAAGCAGCTCGAAGTGAATCGCGCCAACCACTGGGAAGAACTCTTCGCAGGCTGTGCGGTAGTACATGCCAACCAAGCGCATGATCCTGAGCGGATAAAGTTAGTCAGAGGCGCATTCGGACCGTCTGTAAGATGAGGGGGGCATCACACTTACTTGTCTCTTGGCCAGGTGCCATAGGGCAACTTCACTGTGTGATGCTGGATGTTGACGAAACCAGCCTGCTCGAGATACTGCCGTCCAAACACCGCGGCATGTGAGTTCGTCCCAAACTTCGCAAATGCTTCTACCAGGTGGTTCGTGAAGCGGACGAGAGGCCAGTCTGCTGGCATGGTGCCGTCATCGCAGTGAACTTGACCGTCGACGTCCTGAAGTTCTACCCATGCGCCTGGCTTCATGTGTCTGTGATGATGTTAGTCCCTGAACACGGATGCGCAATGGCGGCAGTTCTCACTCATAAGCGTTCTTCAAAAGGCCCACTGGAGACTTCAAGACTGGAACCATGTTGCGCAGGTGAACAAAGTCAAAGTCCCTCCCGTTCAGCCAACTGTCCTCAACATCATCCACTAAGAATCTTACGTTCGGCGGCACCCAGATAGGTTGGATCGGGCTGAGGTCGAGACCAGTAACTTCGGCACTGGGGTAAATATCGCCCACTATGGTGTTGTTAGCTCTTTGGTCCTTTTCCCAGCAGTCCATCAACCCCGACACTGGCTTTCTTTCTAAAGATATACTGACTTTCGATGGCCCAGATGCCTGTCCCGGTACCAAGATCAATGATCTTTGCAGGGTTATCAACGATGGGCGCGAAGAACAGCCTCCCGTCCGTGACCTCCAACATCATGGCATGCAACATATCCTCGCGGTTTTGTTCTGTCTCATCGTTGGGAATGGGGTAGCGTCCATGGCGGAACTTGTGATAGCGCCGGCCGTTTTTGAAGCTGTGCTCGTAGACGCTCGACTTGAGCGACGTCGAATCCGTCTGGTCGCTTACAGACTCCTCGTCGAATACGCTGGGTTCGAACTCGTTCTCATCATCTGTGCCGCCAGCTTCCAATGGGTCTGGTTGGACTGGGATTTCGGCGGGAACGGGAGCTGACGCCGGCTCGGTCGATATCGCTGTCGCAGGCGGGATTGCTTCGGCGCTGGAAGGTGCAAGGGATGTCTGGTCGACGTTGGAGCTCGAAACTACCGGTTCTGTAGCAGCTTTGGTAAAGTCAGCGTCTCATTATCCTCAGAAGAAGCTTCCCATTATCAGACGCAACCTCTCTGGCTGCGCAATGGGCGCACAAAGTTTCGACATACCTGCAGTCTGGTCACGACGCGGGCTACCTTGAGGACTGCCGGTAGGGCTGGCGGGTTTGTTTCCCGTGCCCATTGTCTCCTATGACGTAGCTTCAGCAGAAGCGCATGCAATATTCGACTGTGGTCCTGGTTGTGTCGTCGCAGGCAGTGGAATGTGGTTGTAGGAGAGCTGTTTGATGTTCTTCACTGTTGAGCTGGCGGGACGAACACGAGCAAATGGCAGCAATTTTGGCTGCGACGGCGTCGTAATCAACTGTTTTCGCTTCGACAGCTCTTAGTACCTCAATCCCTGACAGTCCTGATTAAACTTTCGTCGGACCATAAGCCGGTCTGGTGCGAACGCGGGAAGTCCGTTCGAGTCAAGCGAGTGGAGGCGGGGTTTGCTGGGCGGTGGCCGGGTGCGCTGAGGGGTCTGGGTCTCGTGTTGCTCTTTTCAGCAAGCTTTACTAGCTCGTGAGCAGGGCTGAAAATGGTCCAAGATGTTGCCAGTATGATCCTGGTTCGCCAGAAGCTGATAGTTGGGAGGATTGGGCAATGAGGCGTTCGCGATCTTGATGTAGGGATGAAGAAAGAGAGACAAGACGGAGATCTGAGGAGGGAGTTTGGCAAGAAAACCGGGAAGCTGGGCCCTTGAGAAGAGTTCATGACCATCTCGACCGCCCGCTGAAGGCCCTGAGAGCGATTGCCGAGCTAAGACAATACACACAAGATGAACTAGTGTCAGGAGTAGCGCGCCCAGAACTGGCAAGGTTTTCGCGGGCATGTCTCTTTTCTTCTTCTGTCTGGATGGACTGTGTCGCATGCATAATACGACAGCCCAATATGACTTGACGTGTTGCACTCGGATATGTGATCGCGCGCTATTCATCTCCCTCGCTTGCGTCCTCGTGCTCGTCTACCACACCCATGTCTGACAGATTCTGTCACTTATATCCTAGCGAAAGCTTCGAAGAGGGGAATCACGCCATGAGAACCCCATTTTCTGTTCTTTTTATTGTCGTTGACCATGAATCCAACATGCATTGGCGTGGGTCTCTCCTCAGTCGTATCGGCTCCAGGACGGAGACTGGAGGGCTGGGCGGCGCTCATTGGGTCTCAAATGGGCCGTCGAAGCCGCTGCCTCCCATTCCAGGTGCCCGGTTAGCAGGCGCTCAGGTAGGGCAATGGGTGATGGACCCCTGTCAATTCGTGCATCCCTTGTCCTGTCTCTGACCTATTGGTTACCTGACGGCTATGGATGAATGTGCCGGATGAATGCTGCTCAAGATGTGCGGAGAAGAATCATGATCACGTCCACTTTGGCTTCACAGTCCGCGCTAAATGTCCCGCATTCTGAACAACGGAAGCCCCTCATCCCTTCTCGAGTTTGAACATCAAGCTCCGGGCCGTCCCTGTCGATCCATCCCCGTATTTGACGTGTTCCCACGTGTGGTAATGATATGTCATTCTACAAGATGCAGCAGACTACTTTGCACAAATGTATCGCGAAGCCGGTTCATCGGGCAAATCCTTACGACAAATCAATAGCCTATATGTCCTCTATCGAGGCGGCTCAGGCGGACCCACGCTTTAGATACAAGCCGGCGCCTTCGTCACGGAGTTGATGGAGATGCACCACAATTGGCCGGGCCATCGCAGGGGCCTTTTCTGACTGCAACTTGCCCTGTTCGGTGGTGGCAGCGGAGTCAAAAAAGCAAGCATCAAAAGGCGGCCGCGCTCCCGCGTACGATCCGCGGTCGCACAGAATTGATTTTCGATATTTTGTCTCACTTCTCGATTTCCTTCCTGCTGTGCCACGTCAACATCCTGCAGATTATCTATCAACAGGCGATGGGGGGCGAGATCTTGAGGAAAAAGCAACGAAGGGGCAAAAAGAAGGTCCGTGGCATTCGGTAAAGCATTTGAACAACACGAACAGCACATCACATTCACAGATGGCAGTCCACTATTCTCGTCATCTTACAAATGACCCCTCCAAAAGCTCAATCTCATCCGCCCTCGCGTGTGCCAGAGCCACGCGGGGAAGCGAAGGGAGCAGCCGCTGGTCGGCGTTTTGCCAAGAACGGAGCTTGCTCCGACCCTAATGCAATAGAGACATTTCCTTTCACGCCGCGGTCGCTAATCCTAGATCATCTCGCATGGCGCATCGGTGACGGCTGCTTCTGGGGTCGTTGCAACATTTCGAGAATGGTAGACATGTCGGTGAGACAGCAGGCATCCGACGAACGCGGATTCACACACAAGATCCGGCTGGTATGCGGCAGATCGTTGGATTTCGCATTCTGGCGGATATGTTACCCAAAGGGTGAGGGCCATCGCCCGTAATTCCTGTATCACCGTTCCTGCAGATTGCGTCGTATGTAGTTTCTGTTTGGGTCCCTTCTCGGGGTTAACCCCGATTTCGCCTTCGGGTTCCAGACCTCGCCTCCAACGTTGTTTCTGACGCCTTTCCCACAATTTGTTCTTCTTCATGTGACCCTTACCTCTATGGTTGCTTCTCCCTGCTTCGTCTCAGTCCTACAACTATGTACATCAATTTTTGTCTATCACCACTAGCATCCATAGAAGAAAGCGGAATTATAGAGGCTCCGAGCAAGCCAGTTGAACAAATGACCCGCAGATGCTTCAATTCCGGCATGTAGAAGGAAAACCACATTTGAGTACAATGTAGTTGTACTTATAAGACAGGTGAAAGAGATGCTAAAGACTGCCCCGAAGATCATCTGAAGTGCTTGAAATTGAAAATCATTTGGCATTACTGCTATGAATATTGAGAATGAATTGGGCTATTCTGGTAGAATTCGATATAGAATGTTAACAACGACGACAAAGATGATGACAAGAATAATGATTGTCATTATCAAATTCATGGTGTAGGGAACGATCGTGAGAAGACCTCCAGGTTTTTCAACAATTCGTCGTCTTCTTGATGACTTGACAGAATTGAGAGGTCCACGTAGAGTTTTGACCGGGCGTCTATTTGTCCGCGCTATTTAATTGGGAGCTAACTCTTACATAGAATGTCCGTGGATCTCTATCCGTCAATGATCCGAGCCATATTTAACTGCTTCAGATATCAATCTCCGGTGTCCTAGACCGGTATGCCACAAGCGTCTCGGGACCCGGTACGAACCGCTCTTGGGCTTCTTCCCGACAATGTCCCAGTCGTACTTCATCAACAGGTGAATGAGTGCACTCTTTATCTCGTTACTGGCGAAGAAACGACCCGGACATGCGTGTTTTCCGTGTCCAAAGCTCAGAATCTCCGGGCTTATGCTAACAAACTGCCATTTATTCTCCTGCACTGGCAGCTCTCACATACACAGAAATCGATACCCATGAAGTCATCGGCATTTGAGCCACATATCTTCTTGTCGCACATGTGGAGCGTCGGTATCGTAATGGGGCAGCTCTTGCGGATGAGGGTACCGTCGGGAAGTGTGACATCGTCTTCCGCATAGCGATTCCTCATGTCTGCATATGGTTAGATTCGTTGCAATTTACTTGCAGTGCGGTTTTGGAGAAGGATATCGCTGCGTTTGAAGCCTAACTTACTAGGGCCAAGAATAATCATACGCTGGCTCTCCTTCATACAGCTATCCATGAGCTTCAACTTGTAGAGGCTCGTCTTCTCCCAGCCTCCGTCCTCGTTGTAAACACGATTGATCTCATCACGGAGCAGCAGAATATACCCCACGTTCGAGATCAGGTCGTACATAGTTGCCGTGATGACGCTCGAAGTGGTGTGGATTGCAGCCACGGTCAGGAACAACTGCCCGGAGACCACATCAAACGACCGGCCTCCCCGCACATCATCCAGCCAAGACAGAGAATCCTTTGGTTTCTTGATATCACCCCGTGAAGCGCGGCGAGCGGCCAGCTCGGGCTCGATGATCTTCTTCGAGTCGCGCACAAGCTTGCGCAGATAGATCATTTCGGGGAGAAATCAGTGTACGACATGTCTCGTGAATACTGGCCAGGTGCGTAGGCGCTCTTGGGCTCTCATCACCAGGATCGTAAAGCGGATGGAGATGTCGATCCACTCCTGGCTGTGGCAGAGCCTCTCACCTAAGAAGACAAGCGCCGACAGTCGGGCGGCTATGTTCGTTGCTCCCACGATGAACTTTGTATCCTTCCAGTCTTTATCTTGTGTCAGCTTCTCGGTATGTTGAGGTGGTTTCGGGACGCAGCGACGAACCTTCGGCGGCCGGAAGACTTTCGTCAACTACTGAAGCACATTCTTTGGACAACGACTCGGTCATCCCACCCAATGCCTGCGGGGTTTCTTCCTGACGGTGTCTTGGATAATGTCGCCTTCGAGTCCTGTGTGGAGGAAGTCAAGGCCTGGGTACTGAACCATGCCCTGCTGCAAGTTTCCAACCCGAGTAAGTATGATGAGCATGTGTCAAATGGCATGGTGTTCTTACCCGCTCAATGAAACCGCGGAATGACACCCGGGGATCACTCCGAATCTCGTTGGCAAATTCCTTGGCCAGGACAATGCATGGGCCAAAGTTACTCAAAAACTTGGAAAGGGCGTCCGTTCAACTATGGAACGGAGGGCTTTGTTGGTGTAAATTCCAATACTCGGGAGGTGCTGGTCTTACCTGTGTCATGCCTTCCTTCAAAATGTCGAGCGCCTCGTTGTCCCATCTTTTCCGAAGTTTGGTGTAGAACCAGTCTTTCGGTACTTTCCCTATCAAGGGGAAGTCCGGGTAACGCCCGTCTTCTCTGGAAATGAATTGTAGAAGGAGGTACAAAATGCCAATGCTGACAGTCACTATGAATTCGGGCCTAGAGGCGTATTCCAAAATTGATGACATGATGACACTGCGTAGAAGGTGAGAAGAATGAGATAGTGCGTAGTTAATGTTGCAAGTCGAGGACAATGGAAGTAAGAATATGATGCCGTTGAGACCAATGGTCTCATAAAAGTCGAAGGTTTTCATGTAACGCACGCTCTTCTACTATATTCCCGCGCGGCCGTTGATGTTGGCGGGAATGGCAGGGATGCTCGTATTTTGATATGCGAGTCCGGCAACTATCTTGAGCTCATCACTACCGACACGGGGAATGATTCGTGGGATGACCTACCTTCCCGTCCTTATTGGCCCATCCAATGTCCACTGTCAACGTTTCTTAGAGCTGACCATAGACCACGGACCACGGACGGCGTTTTCGTCCGAACGATCTGGTTTTGACGGCTTCCCGCCCGGATCCAGGTCTCTCGGGAAGTCCGCGAGGCTATGTTGTTCGATAATAAAGGCAAACGGGCGCGTTTCCATGTCCTCCGGTAGCAGTACCATCAGCCTTGATCAGCCAAGATACTTGAGACGTGTATAAAATGGCATGCCACCCCGCACAGCTTCGCCCTCAAGTCACATCTTCATTCAACGCGGACAATGGTTCACGGCCCACATTCCACAGTCGAGTAGGCTGAAAGGCATGCAAGAATTTCATGTTCTTGTAGTTCCCAAGACTATGTAGGTATCATCATAACATTACAGATTGTATGCTTTTAGGCCGTCTCATGAGCATCATCTAAACAACATGGTCATCGCCGTGAGAGCAACTCTTGGCGTGCTCGGCCTGCTCAGCAGCGAGAGCCCACCTCTGAAACTCGCGGCGAATGGCCTCACGGTTGCGGCGGGCAGGCGTAGTCTTGCTGCGACGGGGGAGACCCGCGGGCAGCTCGTTGGCGAAGTCGGCGGCAACACGGGCAGCTGCCTTGGTGTTGATGGTAATGGCGTCCCAGTTGATGTTGTCGAGGGTGTCGCAAGCCAAGTGATAGCAAGGGTCGGTTGGTTCACCGGCGCCGGTGAAAATCCCACTGCTGGGGATTCCCAGACTAAGGAAGCCAACATAGTCTTTTAGGGTTAGGGTTAGAACATCAAATATGAACAGGTTTTCACTCTAGAAAAGTGTGCGTACCGGAGCTGCTGCCAAAGCCACCGAAAGCGGCTGGCTTGCCCTGGGCGGCGATGTAGTCGTGGATGGGCTGGGCGCCGAACTTGTCGCCCTCGTTGTCGCCGAGGTAGACGTTGTAGACGGGGTTGATGGAGCCGATCATGTCGTAGTTCCAGTAAAAGCGAATGGCGTCGGCCTCAGCCTCGGACAGCTGAGCAGTGTAGTAGAGAGATCCGACGAGACCGCTCTCCTCGGCGCCCCACCAGATGAAGCGGACCTTGTTCTTGAAGCCCGAGTACTTCTTGAAGGAGCCGGCGATCTCAAGGAGAGCGCTAGTACCAGAGCCGTCGTCGTTAACACCGGGTCCAGCCTGGACAGAGTCCAAGTGAGCACCGAGGACAATAACGTTGTTGGGGTCGCCCTCCTTGGTCTCGGAGATGATGTTCCAGGTCTCGCGCTCATCCCACTCGGCATCGACCAGGAGGGTGACCTCGAGGGTCTCACCGGCCTTGAGCCGCTCCTGCCAGGCGGTCGCAACCTCGAGAGGGATAAGACCAACGGGCACCAGCAGGCCCAGGTTCTCGGCGCTCAAGGTGGCAGAGCCGATGTTGGTGCCAGGAGTCTGGTTGTAGAGAATGACACCGACGGCACCCGCAGCCTTGGCGAGCTTGAGCTTGTCGGAGATGGCGCAGACACCGCGCTTGACGAGCGCGAGCTTGCCGGTGGCATCGATACCTTCCCACTGGTCGGCGAAGCAGCCAGAGCCTGCGCGTTTAGAGTCAGCTTGCAGTTGTGCAGTTGTACGGTGATAGTTCTCTTACCTCGCTCATCATCGACGGGGATGTCAATGAGGGGTGCAGTGTCGCCGTCGGGAAGCGAGGTCGGGTGGTTGTACTGAAGAGCTACGACGTAGACATCTTCATCGTCGGGACCGGTGACCTTGATCTCACGAGTCTGGGCAAAGGTGTGGTTGAAGTACTGGATCTTGGTGTCAAGCTGCTTGTGGAAGCGGCCTTGGACACGCTCGAGGATGTAGTCGGACGACGCCTTGTAACCCGGAAGACCAAAAGCACGGTTGCCGCCGTTGTCCTTGGCAATCTTGTTCAAGTTCCAGAGGTTGCGCTCGAGTCTGCGGGGCACGCGTTAGGGCAAGTTCAGGTACGCCAATTGAAAGGATTGGCACTCACTCCGTGGTCAGAATGTCGGCCTCAGCCTTGTCGGCGGTGAGGGGGTCGGTCGCGAAGGAGCGCAGCGCGAACAGCGCCGCGGCGAGGGCTGAGGTGGTCTTCATCGTGAATGAGGAAGCTATTCCCAAGTCCCTATTGACGGTACAGGGTGAATGTTTGACAAGCTTCGGATGGATCCCAAGGAGCGGACTGATCAGCTAGCTAGAAAATCGCACAAGAATCCGGGCGAGGCCAGGACATTTATGTTCTCAGAGGCCCATGCCGTCTGAGCATGCCAAGAGGTTGCTCGCCGTGCAGGCGTAATTGCGCGATAAGACGACATCCAGTGACAATGCAGTCAGAGTTGGAGAGAGCTCCGGCTCGCGTGGCCGGGCGAGCTTTGGGTAGCAAGGTTGTGCGCCGAGAAGCTGTGGCACCGCGAGATCCAATTCGAGGAAACGTACATCGCAGCGCCACAATGGCATCCCAAGAGGCTGGTCCCTGAGAATCTTGCTCGTTATCCTGGGTGCTGAGGCATCGATGCAGGCCGGGCGATGCTACCTCGGGCAGGTGAACGACGTCGGGTCTTCTTGGCAAGGACTTTTGCGAGGGACAATTGCGAATGTTGGTCCAAGAGTGAAGGATACGGTTGGCAGTGCCGCTGTTGCTAGGACGCGGAGAGAAGGTCGGCTGCCAGGGGGGCGAACACAAGAAATGACCATGGGCGGAGAAGCTCCCGGACAAGGGCAGCTTCTGGGCCACGGCGGCTTTTTCCTCTCTGGCGCAGTGGATCATCGTTGCTTCATCAGGCAGGTGCCAAGCCTGAAGAGAGGGGAATTTTCGAGTAGTGGCTGACGAGCATGCCAAACGGTGCTAGGGTGTCGTTGTTTATTCGCAATAACGTTTGGGGGGCTCACCGTGATGAGGTCGGTGCTTTACATGACGATGGACGCAATAGGTTTGAAGCACAGCCTGGAAAGTAACTTTCAAGAAGTCTCCTTTGGCAGACAGAAACTTCATCTTGTAGACATGCTTTCGAACTGACTCATCTGAGCAGAATGGATGAAGAAACGCCCCGTTGAACGCCTCGCGAGAATGCGTGTTCCCACTGCAGGCCTGCTCGTTCAGGTGCCTGCATGAGCACTGCATGTTAAACGTTGCAGTGCAGTACCGCCAAGGGACGACTCAACAGGCGAGATCGCGCCACCACCGAGAGCTTCATCCCAAGAATCATCCATCTTATCCCGCCCCCGCGGAAGGAAAGCGATCGGTTCGTATGAACCGATGAGAGCCGATTTAGCAAACATGGCCGTTTTCACCGGCTCCCCAGCACTAAATGTCTCGTGTGTTTCTCGCCAGCATCGTTCTCAGTGTCAATTTGTGAGCTCCTTGTCAGCATTGGCTCCGCGATTGAGGCGCTGGGCCAAGACGACGGGAAAGGAATGTGCTAGTCAATCGGGGAGGCGGCATACACTTGGCAAAAAAACAAGACGCAATCAAAATTCTGGGCAAAGCGGAGAGGTCTTGCTGATTGATAGATATGAACCCTTGTTCCTTTGTATCGGCCGTGCCTTCAATTGCTGGTCCTAGTCTCGGCGTCGGCGCCGGGGTACATACCCCGCATGGTGGGATGCCGGACCGGCCATTACAGTGTGCGGCAGTGAAGACCCTCCTGCTCTTTGAGTGCCGGCAAAGTCTATGAATATCATTGGGCTGCGTGGCCTCGCTCCTGAATTACGTCAATGGAATATTGAATGTAAAGGTACAATTATGCCGTACCAATTATCCACCTGTGTTAGTGTCCGGGACAACCCCCTCGGAATGTGTTTTTGGGGCGCGCTCCCAAAGTTGCGGTCATCCACATCATCAATAAGTTCAGACCATAAAGGCTTGCCCCCGGTACCTAAAGAGGTCCAAACAAGCTTTTCTACATGCATTTCCAGTTAGATTGTGGTTGACATGCATTATCTCCGTACTGCCGGAGCGCCTCATGGCGGCCTGTGCCGTGAAGAGATAGCTACATACCTTGATGGCCAGCTGTCCCATCCTGCCAACCTCTACGACCCATCCAACCAACCTTGATTTTCACGGCCCGTAGTGGGGTCTACGCTGATCTTGGGCTTGGGTGAAAGACGTCTAATGGGCATTTCTTAGTGATCCTGGGCTGACGTGCAGTGCGTTGGCGCGTATGCATGTTATGCATGTTTATCTGGGATGTAACACTTCGTTTGCAGCTATAGCACATGGAGGCAATACTCCAGCGAGATTTAATGGGACCGCACTCCTTCGATTGAGTTACTCAAGGGCAGCTGGAGAGCCCATGCTGCTGAGTGGCAGGGACTGAACTAGTCTTAAGCATACAGGAGCTTTGCTGTCTGAGCCAACACTTCGGAACATTGGAGATGATTTGAAAAGTATTATTACTGCGGTAGAGATGGTATTAAGAATGAAAATAATATGAATAGATTGAAGAAATCCTAGCCTAGATTAATCAGTAAGTACTAGGTACTCCGCCTAGGAAATGAAGCCTTAACTTAAAGACCGCTCCTCGTGGGACCATTTACGCAAAAGCATTGCTTATACGCTTAGTATCTTCTTCTTTTTTATTAAAGTATGCTCAATACTGTTTGTTAATGGTGGGACCGACATAGCGTTACTTTGGTATATAGCACGGCGGTTGTTACTTTATAAGTGTTGAAGCAATTTTAGTGCCTGGGCTGTTAATGAAGTGTTCATCTGGGAGTTGAAATATTTAACAAATCATCAGAACATCTCATGTATTCTGTGACACAGACTCCGTCAGGCAGAAGGACGGGTCAGTCTTCAGAAATTATGGTGCCAGGCTAGTCGGTCAATCCTTGACCACTCAGAGCGAAAAAGTAAAAGACAACTCTTTCCATCAGTTTCACCGCTGAATTTTTACGGTTCTTATTTTATACATGACAAACGTCTATCGAAACCACGTCCAGGGCATTAGATCGTCATCATCGAGTATGGAATCTACCGAAGCTCTTTCTCATGCTAAGGTACCCATGGTTCCACTGGACAGGGGTTGACAACTGCGCAGCCTATGAGATTCGATCATGCAGCAGGGGTTCAGTTTTCAGCTCCGATTGCTGCCTGCCTGTCAAAACGCGCAGCTTCAATCGGTCCACGCTCACTGTCTCTTTTCTTGGCATCCCTTGTTTTCAAGATATGCCCAAGCAGCTACACTTTAGCCTTCCAGTCCTCATTGTTAAACGAGGCCAAGTCAATCTAATGCCAATCATTGACCATGTGGCTCATCAACACACGTACACTCAAACTTGAGGAGTTCTTTGACGCTGCCATCCCCAACTACGCCATCCTATCGCATACTTGGGGAAGCGACGAAGTCTCCTTTCAAGAGTTCAAGAGCCTCGATATCACAAGCGGAGACCCGGCAGATCTAATGATCAAAGACAGAGCTGGTTATCCAAAGATCATAAAAGCATGTGGGAAAGCCCTGGAGTATCGTCTTCGATACGTTTGGGTCGACACCTGCTGCATCGACAAAACAAGCAGTGCGGAACTGTCGGAGTCAATCAACTCAATGTTCCGATGGTACGAAAATGCACAAATCTGCTTCGCGTACCTATCCGATGTACCGGCAACTCAGGATGCGACAGACCCGGCATTCGTCAACTCTCGCTGGTTCACAAGAGGATGGACTCTACAGGAGCTGCTCGCACCTCGAGAGTTGCTTTTCTTCGCGTCAGATTGGACGCTGATCGCAAGCCGCGAGGACACGGCGGCCTCCGTGAGCAACATTACAGGCATCGATCAGACGTACTTGGAATCCTCGATATCGGAGCAAAACACCCGCCTGAGGTTGTTAACAGAGGCCAGTATTGCAGAGAGAATGAGCTGGGCAGCCCGGCGGACAACTACCCGCGTTGAAGATATTGCATACTGCCTGCTGGGTATCTTCGGGGTGAATATGCCTCTTATGTATGGAGAGGGTCAGAAGGCCTTCGCTAGACTGCAGGAGCAGATACTGCAGACGTGTTTCGACTCGACACTTCTTGCTTGGAATCCGACGGATGAGCACGGACGGCCCCTGGCCTTTGATGAACTTGAACCGAGTTCTTCTTGGGCCTCTGCAGTGAGGATGGTAATGGGGATGGGGCATCCTTGGTCTGCTCCCGAACAACCCCACTCGAACGCATTGCCGATGGGTCTTTTGGCTCCGAGCCCCGGGTGCTTCCTGCTTTGCAACGACATCGTCGAGTGCGAAACCGTGCTCGACTGGACCCCAACCAGCCGTGGCCTTGAGATTGAACTGCCCGTGTCAGACAACACCTGGCCGTACGCCATCATTCCCTGTCGACTGCGTAACGACCCCTGGAGCCTTCTTGCGCTTCCTCTAGACGTGCACGAAGGTGGTGCATACTCCAGGAGTCCGCTTTCGGCCATGAGAGTCATCCATCACACCTGGCATCAATGGCCCATGAGAAAGATTCTGCTGAAGACGAGGATACGTCCTAACTATGACACAGAACCTGTACCCTCGTGGTACGTCTGGATCAATAGCTTGCCTTCAGAAATGGAAATCCTGGAAAGATACTCAGACTCAAAGCATTATGCAGCGGACACACTATTGCCCGTGTTTTCCGAACGCGAAACACAAACCATCACCAGCTCGCGATATGGAATCGCCGGGATGAAGCTCGAATCAAAGGCTTCAAACGAGAGGTTTTCTCTCGTCATCAAAGTTACCAAGACGTCAGCCTATACAGACATCGGCTCCTGGATCTGGCCCCGAAGATGGCCCTGGAGGTCGAATAGTGACCTGTATCATCTGGAGTACTGCATCGCCAAACATATCTCGCCTGATAAACTGGTATCTTTCTGGAAACGCACGGGCTCCCTCAGGCTCACAAGGTGGTCCCTAGAGCTGAAGGATTCTTGCCTTCAATTCGAGGTCACGAAGAGAAAGCTGCTTGATATCCCCGTCTTCGAAATCAACATTAGGCAATCCCCAAAAGGGTACATATCGCAACTACAATACTGCATGGGAAGATGTTCGTGGCTACTGCAGCTCATCACAAATCAAGTATTAGCGATTTCGATGACCTTGGTGAGCCTCGTCTTCCCGGTCTCGGTCATAAATGCTGTTCTTTGGTGCAAACATCTGGTTCCCTGGCATCTATCGCTTTTACCAATCGCCCTACACATGACAGTCTTCGCAGGGGTTGCAGGGGCGCTAGGAGGAACACTGGGGGTTGTCATGTCGCAGTGCATATGCAATAGCCAATGCCAACTAAGAGGTTTCTTAAACAGCCTTCGGTTTCTGGCTGCATTTTTGGTGCATCTGTTTGCCTGGGATGCATTGATGGCAGTTTACGCTTTCCACTTGCTACCTGTCATCTCGTGTTTCGCACCGAGATGGTCCGAATTCATCAGGAACGGCAGAAGCGTGCTCGCCATCCTCATAGGTCTCTTCATGGGCCCGCTCATTTTCTGGTCCCCCTTAAACCCGCGCAGGGACTTCCCACAAACGCTGGCATTGCTTCCCTTGTACATCCAAACTGCCTTGAGCATATCGGATGACATGCTTTACAGGAGGAAATTATTTCATCTTCACCCAGTAGCTGTGGCGTGTTGTGGGCTCTACATGGTCTTCGTCGACAGCATGAACTTTGCGATCGAGACAAACTGCAAGCCTCCCCTAGTTGAAATGGGCATCTTTCTCGAAGCAACAAGTGCGGCAGGTTCATTGAACGAGACACGAGACAAATATGTTGGTCACTTGGCGGCATTTATGGGCATATATATCAGGGTATACTTCCATGTGTGGCGACACTTACTGGCGGAGAGTGTACTTGTTGTTGTCGACGCTTCATCGCTCGTGTCAGCGGATGGGCTTTAGCCCATAATCCGTAACTGTTCTAATCAAGACTCGATTACGCCTTCATTCACGCTGAAGAATTGAAGAATAGATTGAAGTGGAGATATATTTCCAGCTGTCTATCATATACAGCATCTAGCTACGTGGAAGCTTGACTTCAACAGTCAGACAAGACGCCAATCTTGACAAACCACTTTTTGAGTCGCTCATTTACTTCTTCGCTCTTCAGTTGGAAGAACCAGTGCCCTGAATCCTCTACGAGGCCAACTTCGTCGAGTTCTGTGCTCGGGGACAAGTGACTACGTTCCGTGCTAACCCAGAACTCGCTGTTCCCCAGCGTCAGGCGTGAGCATTGAATCTTCCCATCATGCTGTGCGACGGACACTTCCCGTCGACCAATTCCTTGGGGGTCTCCTAAGCAGGCCGAACACTGTGCGAGGATAACTCCCATATCCCCCTGCGCGGCACGCCTGCTAATCCAGGTGTTATGCCAAGCGGGTACTGTTGGAGGATACAGAGCCGGACCGAAGAGCATGACCAAGTTTTGAAGTACCTTCGTAGGGTCGGTGAGGTATTCATCCGCAGTGGTGGCGGGGACGGAATGGAGCGGGTCGAGTATGACCATGGCCCGGGTGAGATCGGGACGCACCGACGCGAGATGGTAAGCGACGGCAGTACCGAGAGAATAAGCAATCAGTATGACGGACTTGATGTTGAGGTCCTGGAGAAGTGCAATGAAGTCTTGCGCAGCGGTTTGTGGGTAGTAGTCGATGATTGATGGGTCCGCATCCGGCCCGGGGTAGGATTTGATGCCCGGAGTCGGCGCCGGAGCGGATGAACGGCCCTGGCCTCGAGGATCTGGAGTGATGACACGGAATCCGTATTCTAGAAGAAATGGAACTTGCCAATTCCAATCGTGGAGGTCACATGTGATTCCTGGGATGAGGAGGACTGCTTGAGCCTCTTGAGGACCTTCATCCACAAAGAAAATGGAAATGTTGTCGTTACGCTTGAAGAACGGCATGGTAGATGCAAGGAAGGAATGATGGATCTGGCCTCATGAACAATCGAGAAAGAAGGCAGGGATTAATCGTTTTATACCGATTTCAACCCACATACGAGTTGTCTACTTTAATGCAAGAGTGTTTACCCTGAATTTGAAAGGCTATCACGAGGTTCGTCGGTTCCGATTGCTCCCGCGTGAAACCCGGGGAGAGGTCACGCACGTTTGCTTCGGGTGATTGGAGATACCGATGCTGACGACCAAAATCTATTCGTTGCGGGAACGAGTCCGTGTTGGCAGACCGAAGGGCGCTGAATGGAGTCCACGTCCTGTAGATGTTTTGTACTAGTAAAATCATGAAGAACTGAGTCCAAATGCAAAGATCACAGAGCATCCGATGAGAATGCCATGCGTGGCTGTGCCAGCGCCGGGAGCCATGCCGTGAGCATTGGCGTCTTTTAAAGGACGGGCAAAAACCAACCAACCCGCACATTTAAAGCTATTACCGCTGTAATCAAATCTTGCAGCCAGGCAACAATTCAACGATCCAAACCCATGCGGTTGACCCTGAGGAGTCGACCTTTTTGGATAAGTGCTGACCGGATGTTTCGCTTAGGGGCCGGCTGAGCAGAAGCACAGGGGTTAAGCTTCTATTCCCAGCAGCTGTACAGGCGTTTTCCTGCGCCGGTGACCTATTGCTGCAGCCTGGAATGGGTCTAAGCCGTCTTTTCAATGCACGATCCCGCACTGCAGGAGGCCGGATTTCCTTCATGTCGCTGATCTACTTATCTCAATTCCTCCTACAATTGATCTATAAATCAGATTTTTCAAACACAACTCTCCTCTGGCTCTCAATTTTGGGCCGTCAGACAGAAGTCCATTTTCAAGGTTATCTCCCCGGCAGTGGCATCATGGCATCTTACGAACATACGGCGAATACGGAGCATACTTACGTCGAGAATGCCTACATCGAAAACGGCCTTCATCCCGTACATCACTCCGACAAGATTGTCGGCGGGCCAATAGAGCACCAGTACGATGGCCAGTATTATGGGGGATACACACAAATCAGCGCGGCCACGACACTCAAGGCAGAAAAGAGGATATGCGGTGCCCGGAAACCAGTCTTCTTTCTGTGGTGCATCATCGGCTTTATGGCGGCCATGCTGGTGATGGTTGCCGGCGTGTTTGGGGCTATGATAGCGAACCAGGATGCAAAGATACAGAACCTTCAGCAAAACACCGGCGGGACAAGGTAATTAATCAATGATGAGACTTGCTCAGCGACACCCAGCTAAGGTATCCTTAGAACCACCTCAGCATCCGCAGCCGCCACGACCTGGGTCGAAATCTCCGATTGGGAGTACGTTGGCTGCTATCGTGATAACGACCAAAGAACTATGCGCGACGCGTACCAAAATTACACCACAAGTCAGACGAATCGACAGTGCAAAGCGTTCTGCGAAAAGAACTACGACTACTTCGGTACCGAGACTGGGGGCGAGTGCTACTGCTCCAGCACAGCGCCAAGCGAAGACGCGCTCTCGCCGGCGTGGAACTGTAATGCACCCTGTAGAGGGAGCAGTGATGGAGAGATTTGCGGGGGAGGATGGTTTCTGAGCGTGTGGAAGAAGACGAAAAAGGCTTGAATCTTGAGGAGTAGATGAGGCCTACAAGACTTTCCAATGAGCGGGCGTTTTGGTCATGGATTCTCCGGGACAGGAATCATTACTGGGTGTTCGGTGTGCTATGCCTCTTCCTACATACCCAATATTACTGTTTGGCTGCGTTGCTTCAATGACTGTCGTAATAGACCAACGGGCCCTCTTGATTGGCGCAGCCCTTGAGTTGATACCGCCATTGAATGAAGCCCTTCAAGCCCGCTGATTCTGGCTAGCTTCCGTGCCTGTTGCCGGCGCCCTCCGGGACGGCACGCGCATTCCGTCCGCCAACGTCCGGGGACCCGACATGGCTTCCGCGAATTACATTAGCGCCCCGGATGCGCGTGTAATACGTAGGCATGACCGAGGCTTCAAATGCGTCGCTGTCTACGGCAACTTCCCGAATTGATCGAGATAGGATATTTGCATGTTCAATGGATGCTAAAATGATGGCGCGATACGAGAAAAGGTACAGCCGCCCGGCATGATGCCTCCAAATGGAAAATACAACCCGAGAATTGTGTACCTTCCTAATGCATGTTTGCCAAGAATTGACGGTCAAGAAGATCTCCGCAACCTTAAAAACAAAGCACGCGACCCGGCGGCATTCTAGAATCTCATGGTTAACACTTTGATCTGTCTACTGTTGTTTCAAGGTGCTCAATATGCGCGTTCTTCACCTAACCAGCCTGCTGTCCGTCGTGTCCAGCGCCCTTGCCGCGACCTTCACCTCATGCTCTAGCACTCAGATAGCCACCCTTGAAGCGGCGATCGAGCGAGCTACGAACAAATCCTATGCGGCCATTGAGCATCTGGAAGACAACCCCAACGGTAGCGATATCCAGACCACGTGGTACGGCACGTTTAGCACCGAGCGATACAACCGCGTCTTGACTGCCTTCAAGGTAACTTTCATCTGTGATCCGATGCGGGAGATGTCCAGGCACGCTAACCGAAACCCCTAGAAATTCGCGCCTGACCTGGCCACGACGTTCAGATACGACTGCTCCTGTACCAGCTCAGCTGTGTTTGCCACGATCGGTGGTACTTACGGCGACGTGAGGATTTGCAGTGTGTACTTCAACGAGGAACTGCTGCCGCCTACCGGACGGCATCGCAATCAATGGGAGTAAGTCCAGTCAACATCTTACACTTATCTAGATAAGAGAAGTTCTAAGCAAGGTCTACTAGCACCATTATCCATGAAGCGACACATTTCAGGGACGTTCTGGGCACCACTGACTACGGTTATGGTGTCGACTACTGCAAACAATTTGCTTTGGAGGATCCCGAAAAGGCGGTCAAGAATGCCGAGTGAGTTATCAAGAACCTCTGAAACAGGTGTTGGCTTAGATTAACGTGTATCTTGCAGCAACCATCCCCGTTTCGCAGTGGAAGTGCCACCTTGGGGCCCTTAAGAGACTGATCTGGTGTTGCTGAAGAGCAAGAAGCAATGGGAACTAGGCGACATCCAATTCTTGAATATTGTTCGAATGAGCGGACAAACGCTGGACAAGCGCTGAAAAATGCTGGCAGAATCGAACATTGAACTCCTTTCCGGGAGTAAAATAGGAGTCCTCTTACGTAGGTAAAACCAAGTATGTTAATAGAAGACACGGTAAAATAAATTGAGAATGGGAATGAATATTACGAAGACTTGCCTGTAATTCGTCTCAACGCTCCAACAGCCTACACTGTGCAACTTTATGACAGGTAGACTTTCCTTCAGAACTGTAGTTGAGGAATAACGATACATATATAGTAATTGGCAGTTCACAGGCTCATATAGTGGATTCCTACTTAAAACGCAGCTAGTAGAAATGCAGAAAATGGACTTGAATTATTCAGGGTTAATCGCATCACACGTTGAAAACTGAACTTAAGCTTGAGCCACTGGAAGCGCCAGGTTATCACAGACTTGACGTGTAAGCTTGAGACCGCCTAATTTTCCCCTGTTTGGGCGACTGCATTTTCTGTGTACTAGGTAGGTGACTTAGATGATGACGATGACAATAGGCGACGACAACAATAGACGACGACGGCGACAGACGGCGACGGCGAGAGACGACGACGAGAGACGACGACGAGAGACGACGACGACGACGCCGATAGACAACGGTATTAGTAACGATAGTAATAACGATAGTAGGAACGATAGTAGTAACGATATCAGCAATGATAACAGCGAGTCTGTTCTTCAATTAGACGTGCGGGATTATTGTTAGTACAACTGAGGTCGGTACTGGAACAGCCGCGGCGGCACAGGTGGACTTCACAAGAAACCAAAGGGAAGAGCTTATTCAGGTGATGATCGATCGAGTTCCACAAGGGAATGTAGTCCGTCTCAAGATGCATAGCATATTGAGTATGTTGCTCACTGTGCAGCCTGTTGTTCATACCGACGTCAAAGGGCAGAGTATGCGGCATTGTGTATACAGCATGGAAGAAAACATGCTTCTGAGTGAAAAGCCTTCTTTCTGATGGATTAAATCTCATAGAAATGCGTCTCAATGGACTTTTATCGGTATTGTCACAAATGTCTCCGAGGAGCATTCGGCACTGTGGACGAGTGGCCATGGATGATAAGCTCGCAATCACCCCCGACTCTGTCGTCTTACCACCGCCGATCGACCCCACGATAATGCATCACACACGATTGGTCGACGCCGTCGGACAACCCCCGACACCTCCCAACACCAACGAGATTCTGCAGCGCCATACTCAAAGAGACAAGAACGCAACGTTCTGGCATGTCTAGCGAAAGCTGCTTTGCCTCCATCGGGGATATCGTCCGGGTCGGCCTATGGCAGCCAGGCATGCCTGGTGCTATCAGTGCATGGCAGCCATGCCTCGGCCGCCTGAAATACGCTCCTCCGATTGCGCAACCTAAGCTAATGTCGATAGAAGAAGACATACATATGCTGCCATGCTGCTGCCTTTGAAGCCGACTACCGTGGACACCACACTTTTCCCTCACGTCTTCTCACCACGCCTTCAAGATGACGGAATCGCAACCCACGAAATCGCCCTCGCGGTCCTTCCGCTCCTTCATCTGGGATACCGACACCCATCTCAAGAGTCATGAAGAACGAGTCCTTCTCCGCAAACTGGACTGGTCCATCCTCACCATCGGATGCCTGGGGTTCTTCATGAAGTACCTAGACCAAGGCAACCTTGCAAACGCCTACGTATCGGGGATGCAAGAAGACCTGAAAATGTTCGGAAACGAGTACACCTACGCTCAGACAGCATACACTTGCGCATATGCCATCATGCAAGTGCCGAGCACTCTCATCGTGCAGAAGATCCGACCAAGTATCTGGCTGGCTTGTATGGAGGTTGCATGGGGCGTCTTCACCTTTGCTCAGGCTGGTACTCACAGCTCCAGCCAGCTGTATGCGTTTCGGTTCTTCGTGGGCTTCTTTGAAAGCAGCTTCTTTCCCGTGTTGCTCTACGTGCTTGGGAGCTGGTATACGAAGACGGAGCTTGCTAAAAGAGTGGCCATTTTTCACATGACTGCGCCCCTTGGCTCTGCCTTTGGAGGTATGTGTTTACAAAACATGCCTAGTTTCCCACAGTACTGATTTCGATTTCTGTAGGATACCTTCAAGCAGCCGTGTACAAGAGTCTTGATGGTGCCCATGGTCTGTCTGGATGGCGATGGTTGTACATCGTTTGCGGAGTAAGTCGAATGAAGGATCCTGAAATCCCACATCAATACTGATCAACCCAGTGTATGACTGTGCCCGTTGGTCTAGCGACATTCTTCATCCTCCCCGATACGCCATACACCACGAAGTCCAGATTCCTGACCGCCCAGGAGTGCGAGCTGGCCATCGAGAGAGTGCAGAAAGCTGGCAAGGCGGCGCCCGCCGGAGTGACCTTTGCGACCTTCAAGCGCGTCTTATCAAAGTGGAGGTGGTATGCGTTCGTGCTGGGTTATGTGGTGAGTGCATATCAGGCGTCGTGCAGATACGATACCAAGGTTGCTGATAAGGATGTTGCAGCTGTATGGCGAATCCTGCCAAGCCAGCGGCTACTTCGGTATCTGGCTCAAATCGGAAAACTACTCAGTCGTTGACAGAAACGTGATCCCTACTGGCTCGAGACTGATCATGGCCTTTTGCGTCATTCTCTGGGGCTTTTTGTCTGATTACACCGGCAGCCGTTTTGCTTTGATCTTGATCCCTTTGGTAAGCAGCGCATAGATCGCTTAATTCGCGTGAAGATATTGGAATGAGGCTGATCGATGAGTAAAATAGATACTGGGCCTCATACCGAACGGAATCTTGGCTGTATGGCCTGCTAGTGTGCCCTTGAAGGAGGCCGCGTTCCTCACGAGCAGCATACATCTGATGACAGCCGTGTTGTAAGCATTTCAAATCAGTTACGGCGACGTCAACTCTTCGTATTAACCAACCATTCTCAGTTACACCTGGGCCAACGAAGTCTGCGCAGGCGACAACGAAGAACGAGCTCTGGTCATTAGCAGCATGAACGGGATGCAATATGCAGTTGACGCCTGGCTACCTATCGTGATTTTCCCTCAGACTATGGCACCTAGTTTCAGTAAGTCGCTAAAGATTGACGTAAAGCTGTTCTTCGTCCACTGACAGTTCGATCACTCAGGACGTGGTTTCCCCGCCACTTTTGGGTTCATCATCGCCGCGATCATTGCGGTCATCAGCATCAGACTCCTCCTGTTGCGCGAACAGAAGAAGAATCCCGAAGCTCCAGAGACTTCTTTAGAGGCCGGTGTTATTATTGAACACGACAAAACAGCAGATAGCGCAGGGGAAGTGGAAAAAAACACGGAAAAGAATTAGAGCCTGATGTCCGTGGAGCGATGGCATACCATTGAGGGATGGTCGGCAACGGAGGTGGATGGAGCTTCCGTGGTATGAGAACTTGGAGGCGCAGCAGGAAGTAACTTCCTGGCCCAATGCCATTGTCATTGGGGGTGGATGCTTTCTTTTGTAGGCGCGAATGGACAGGTAGCGTTAATTTACCAAAGCATTGCCGTCCAATGTGGAAGTTGTGGCTTGGTCTTTTTGGGGCATCGGAAAGAAGAGCCTTGCCCACGTCATAGTCTGTCGATCAAAGATCGACAAACGCTGTGTAACTGCACAGAATAAGCTTATTCAACCAACTGCCGTGTATGTCTCCTGAAGTTGTAATCTCATTTGCTGGTGAATATCCCACCGGAAAAACCACCCCCACGACGAACTCACCACCACCTCAGCAATCCATCTCGCCCACACTGATACCACAATGACTCGAGATTTCCACTTTCGGAGACCCCGTCGAGCCATTGCCTCACCAACTTGGAAATCCTTCAGCATGGTTCTTCATGCAGTCCGGCAGCTCGTCTCATGTCAGCTTACGCTCAAGCCGTGTGTGCGAGGCGAACGCCAGTCAGTTGACAGCAGTTCGCTCATCATTGCGAAACTAAGGACCAGAAGCTCGGGACAAGCTCCAAGAGAGCTGCGATACCCAATCAGGAAATCCTCGAGAACTATGCATTCATGCCCTCACAGCCTTATTATGCTTCGGCGCTCTCAATTGGGCATCACTGGGAAATTCACAGACCGTGCACTCCTGGTAAACCACGTCTCTCTTGCTAGGATGCTTCATGTAACTCGTCGAGTTGTCTCGGATAATTCGCACAAGTGACCCCGCAGCCGGCAGTTCCGAGTTACATGTTTCACCGAGCTACTTAAGCTTCGACAGTCCAATATTGATAAAACTAGCGGTGCAGGGAGGAATTTTCCAGGGCTGTTCTCATCTCATTCCATCTCATTCTAGCTGCATCCTTCATCGCAAAGACGGCCAAATCTCATCTTCAACCTGCGGCGAGGGCCATTTTTGATCACCGCGATATCGAGCGCGACCGTGGTTCGCGATAAGACTTTTCCGACCGAACAGATCCCCCGACGACACACGTACACCAGCCACCACAAGGGATCGCGCAAGATGGCGACACAACCGCAAAAAGCGACCATCAAGGGGTCATCCGCAGTCCCGGTGATCTACCAACTTACAATCATGACCGTCGAGCCCATTTTCGCGATCCTCGGGGCGGTCATGACGCTGCACGCGCCGAATCAGTATCAGGCGGGGTTGACACGCAACTCGCATACCTACGCGCCGCACACGCAGTTTCTCTTCACCCAGCTGAGCGGAGGATGGCTCTATTTCGCCTTCATGGAGGGCGTGGTGCTGCGGCTCTTCGATGACCTGAATCTCTGGCGCGTCGTCTGTGCGGGCATGCTCCTGAGCGACGCGGCCTACATGCACGGATCGGCACAGGCCATCGGGGGCTGGGAGGTTTGGTTGAAGTACCAGGAGTGGACTGTTGAGGATTGGGTCATCTTTTGGTCGACGGCACCGATGGTCTTGGTTCGGATTTTGATTGTGCTTGGAATTGGAGTGAGGACTTCTGTCAAGGGAGTGAAGGCGGAGTAATCGCGCTCAAGGAATACAGTCCGGTTGTGTTGAGCGTTGTGTCTCCTTCCAGGCACTCTGTCTGTATATGATAGGGCAAGGAATCGCCTATGGCAGCCCCATGTTAGATTATCTTTGGTTCATTCCTGGTGTAGATAGTTCATCTCACAGCTTGAAAAGCGAAATATTGGAGCTACGAGAACTGACGTCACCCGTGCGCGCTGAGGTCAACACCATTAGTAGCTTTGACATGCCGTACCTAGCGCCTCGCCCATGACTCGCGCTGAGGGCAGTGTCAAGCATGGAGCTAAATTGTGTGGACCAAGTGATTTCATTCAGAGTCGCTAACCACTTGCACATACAGCGGAGGTCAGTGGTGTTTCAAATGGCACAAGTCTATTGGATGCGTAATCTATCGCGTTGCTTGCAGGTTGCTGTCCCCTCAAATCTCAAAATTGCCTAACTAGACAGGTATCCTCAACAGACTTCAAACCGACTTAGCTACTCTGAAGATTCAAATCCAGAATATGGTGATACTGCAAATTCTGTCTTAGTTTGAACGGATCGTGGTAGTGGACGTGTTTTCAACTCACGAGGTAGAAGGCTAGCAATTGCAAGCTTGGCAAGCACTCGTAGCGCAAGTATCGCCTGTGACTTCCGCAAGAACGCATGCATTGTGTATCGGTTCAACGCAGCAGCATTGCTTGGCAGTGGCAATGCCCAAGAAGGTAACCGCAGCAACGAGTAAGGAGGTAACGCGCATGTTGACAGAGCTGCAGCGAACGACTCTGATGATTGGATTGGAAAATGAACGATGGCGAATGAATTCCTGAGGTCAATTGAGGTATCACAGAGACTATTTATGTTCCAAAATATGGCCGGTTCCTGTTGTCGTGTACTGGGCGTCGGCATCGTGTAAGGTTCCGTCGGACGGCTTAATAGTATAAGGTTTCCCTAAGCGGTGAAGTTCTCCTAGTTGGGAAAACTGAGGCGACTTTTACTAGTTGGAAACGTGCACAGGTGGGTTTTCAATTTCGGTCTTTGCAAAGGACACAATTTTACATGCAAGCTGGGCAGCTGGGACAGACAGGTCATGAAATGAGTTTTACGATCCGGGTGGGTAGTGGGCATAGACGACGAGATCGACGGCGACGACGACGACGACAATAGGGATAGGGAGAGGGAGAGGGAGAGAGAAAGGGACGATAGGAATAATAAGGATAATAAAGACAATAATAATAATAAAATTATCTAACTAAAATAGACTACTAGGCCTAGTACAAGTGGTTATCTGCCTAGATAGCAAAACTCAATAGAATTTGGGGTAAGAGTGATTTGCATACAACAATCTAAGATCATGCTATCAGACTAAGTCCAGGTCTTCATAGGTCATAAGTAAAATAAAGGAGGGCAATTTGAAGGAATCTGCTAAGAAATAAGGCGTTCAGGAGAACTAAGATTTGTTATATCGTGAGGTGTCAAGTCAAAACTGTCGTCTTCAGGGAAAACCTCGCGCACCAATATATGAATTCCAGCATAACTTCTGCATTCAATAGCCTGGTGCTCTAGCGCAAAGTACCATTTCTTTTACCTCACGTAGAAAACGCACGTTTTAAAGCTCGTAGGTGCTGTCACTACAGCTCGTAATTAGAGCTTGATATGCCTAGATGCAGTAACAACAGAGGAAAAAAAGAATGTTGAGAAATGAAAGATGATGAGCACGTAATGTGAATGTGAATATGGAAGTGAAAAGAATACAGAGAGAAAAAGAAGAAACAAGTACGCTCTACTGCCTCGGGGCAGTGTCCATCCAGCGCTTCCAGACGGTTTCCCAGAGCTCATTAATCTGGACATTCTTTCATGCTGCTGCTTAACCCCTCAGCCATCAAGGCGTCCTTGGGAGATGTACTGGTGACAATTCAGCTAGTGGAAAGACTGAAGTAGGAGTTGACACGGCTGCCTAGAATTGCCTTGGATATCAGATGGAGACGGCCTGGAGAGAAGGCAGGAGTGACCCCGGTTTACCATTCAAAGTTGATTCCAGTCGCTAAGGTACTAACAGGCTTAAAACTACCTCACCTGCAAAACTTCTACCTACGTGAAGACACTAAATTCAAGAATACTTTAGATTTCACTTACAACAAGGCAGCCTCCCTTGATGATACCAGGAGGCTTTCTTACCGCTAGGGTAGAGCAGAAGGGTTCCTTCAAATATAGAGGACGCCAGGGAGTTCTTTTCTGAATGCCAAGCTATGTAGATCACGTTAAATGCCTGCATGATTATGTAACATAATTACTGGTGACGAAGTCGGAGGTGTTGGTTCACACCCGCCATATGGCTAGGATTGATTGGTCAGAGGTCTGCGGGTATTTACTACAACAGATGATAACCTCTATGAACTCTTTCATTCTCCTAGAACCTATTCTCCTAGAACCTTTTCCATTTTGGATTAACACCGTCGATCTGCAAGATTTTTTGTGCCGTGTGTCTCAAATCCCTCGAGAGCTACGTCGACCCTTCGTCGGTTGAGGTAGTAGGCGTCCCCGGCAATTTCCGGCCTCCAGAAGGGGTCGCGCCAATTACGGAGAGCCAAAGACAAAGACATGCAAGATGTAAGATATTTAAAAACCAGGTGTTACGTCTCACTATTATGCTCACATGCTCGCTCATTCAGTGTTATCTGATCCCGAACGCCGATTCGACCGTGAAGAATATGCGTACGAGCACCATAAAACGCCCGAATCATTGTTGGAATCAGCGGCAGAAGGTTGCGCAATATGCAGCTCCCTGCCAGTGAGAACTGAATACACGGAGGATATGGCTACTTTGGGATATTTCACCTGGATCAACATTTGCCTCGGCCAAGAAACCCACACAGGAAAGATAGACCTCAGTATGTACATCATTTGTGGGAACCAATCTTCCAATCGCTATGGTTAGTTCTGGCCATATTCAAGTCAACATCGTCCGAATACGTATCATGGAATCAAATTGAAGAACTAATGCAACTCTGCAGCAATCCAACGTCGCTTCAACAACATGATATCAGAGTTCTCTGATGCCCCGAGTATATGGGCTACCATCCAGCATTGGATACGTAGTTGCGATGACAAACATTCTCTATGCAAAGTCCAGTCGACCTTTATTCCGATACGTCTCCTGAAGCTACATACGAGCGGTGGGGAGAGAAGTTTCCGCCTGGTCCTGCGCGAAGAAGTTGAGCCGGGATCGGAATACCTTGCGCTAAGCCATTGCTGGGGAAACAAATCCTGGGACCTGGATCTCACACTTAGAGCTTCAACGCTCATTGACTTATCGAGAGGCAAGCCACTATCTTGTCTTCCAAGGACGTTCAAGGACGCCTTCGTCGCCCTGGAACGGCTTGGACTACAGTACATATGGATAGACCGCTTGTGTATCTTTCAAGATTCCGAGGTTGACTGGAGTCAGGAGTCCTCATCGATGCATCAAGTGTTCAAGAGTGCATTTCTTTGCATCGCAGCCTTGGGTGCGGAAAACGATGAAGGGGGCCTCTACTTTCAACGGGATCCGAAGGATATCAAGCCCAGTGTTATCGACTTATCACTGTTTGGCACGCAAACTCATGTGTTAACGAGTGGGAGATATTCTTGCTTCATCAAAAAAGCCTTGACCACGCAACTTTATGTAAGCGCGCCTGGATCTTGCAGGAGAGAGTCTTGAGTCCACGCACAATCTACTGGGGTAAACAGCAAGTTTTATGGGAGTGCCATGAAATGCATTGTTCTGAGAGCCAACCTGATGCCGACTGGTTGGGGATCCGAACTGCATTACGCTCAATGGTGTGAGCTACTTGGGTATTACACGAAATGCCAACTTACCAAATCACGAGATAAGCTGGTGGCAATATCGGCTATTGCTAAAGAAACAAAAAGCTTCTTAAAACCCCTTGGCGAAGAAACCAGATATTTGGCTGGGATATGGGAGGCCAAATTACCTGAAGCTTTGGCATGGCGTGTGCATCCAGACAGTGTATGCGGGAGACGGCCGGTCGATTACCGGGCACCTTCATGGTCCTGGGCCGCAGTAGATGGGAAAATCAGGAGTTCCACTAAGTCTCCTAACAGTGACTCATTGGCCGAAGTCATGTCAGCAGAGACAACTCTCCTGACAGATGATGAAACTGGCCAGGTTACGGATGGCGCCATTACACTTCAAGCTGCAGTGCTGCCGGCCACAATTGATGATGCTTACCCATACCCGGAATGGTGGAAGCGGATGAAAGCAATCACGTCTCGTCAAGTCACGTTGTCAAGTTTTCATGAGCCTGGGCTTCAAGCTATAAATGGATCTATAATTGAGTCCATGGCCCAAGCCTGGGTTCATTTCGACACTTACGATGACATTTGCACCGACATTCAGTTTGTACCTTTATATATCGGTTGGTCATCTATGTTGGGACTCGCCTTGGTCCCCGAGGAGGGGAAGTTCAGACGGGTTGGTGTGATTGTAGTCACAATCCCGACTGACAAGGAAGCAGCCTTGGCATTCATAGGTCAACTTTCTCGACAGAGTGTGGTTATTAGATAGTTGACTGTTGTTTTCTTTAATATCCCATACGGCTAGTATCGTCGTCGTCGACGCCGCTGTTATTGTCTGTACCAGGTTGTTATTTATTTAACCATCGTCCTCGATTGGAGTAAACCTGTTCACAGGTAATAGTCGCGCAGACAGGGAAATCAGGTAGTCTTGCAAGAAACTCTCGTAATACAGTTACTAGACATCGATAGAGCAGATACACATAAGATTTGGCATCACAATACCTCGCGCAAGGACGTAGGGAGCGATTAGGGGTGGTATGAACCAAAGGCTCACACGATGTGCAAGAGATGGGTAACAGAACGAGTTGTCACCCGGCCAGATCGTGGAACCCTCTCGGTACGGTGAGACAATGTCAGTGCCACATTTACATGGCCTGAAACACTAGGTCTTGGAGGTTGTGATCGAAAAATGAAATGCAATTGCTCGCTTCCTGAAAACTGCCCAGACCTTCACAGTCTTATTCTAGCCTTCCTTTATTCCACCATTTGGCATCTTCCACCTCGGCCTCACCCGTCTTGATCTGTGTCACCACACTCTTACTCCTCGCCAACGGGTCAACCTGCCGCACCACGAACTCGTCCAGATACCGCCCATTCGGCGGCGCCCGCGATTCCTGTCGCAGGCTCGCCTCACTCCCAACCCTTGACCTCCTGTCCGGCTCCATCTCCAAGTCGTCGTCCAGCTCGACACTCTCCAACCGCCTGGCCTCGCGCGTGACCTCAATCTCCTTGGTGACAAAGATGCCGTCTCCGAAATCTCCGAAATGCTTCCGCAACACGGGCCAGAAGATGGGCACGCTGCACGCCACCATGGCCAGATCGACCTCGACGCAGGCGATGACGACGCTGATCGGGGCGTACCACGTGTAGTCGAGGGTCGGCAGGGTCGCGGCCTTGTGCTGGACCACGGAGATGAGGCGGACGATCGAGATGGCGTTGACGATGAGGCCGATGGTGAGCAGGACGAGCAGGCCGAGCTTGGACTTGAGCGTGGCGTCGCGCTTGAAGTAGAGGGGGACGGGGATCGCGAGGACGAGGAGGTCGAGGATGACGTTCAGGGCGGCGTGGCTCGCGTAGGTGCCGTAGAAGATGTCGGCGTTGAGGGAGCCGTAGCCCCAGCGGGCGGCGGGGACTTGCCAGTCCCAGTAGGCGCGGATCGGGTAGCAGGGGATCCAGCCGAGGAAGCTGTAGGCGATGGCCCAGAGTCCGGTGAAGAGGATCATGGCTTTGCAGGCGCTGCGGAGGAAGCCGGGCTGGTCGTAGATACGGACGTACTGGAAGAGCAGGGATAGTTTGATGAAGGCTGTCGACATCTGGTAGGAGGCACTCGTGATGTAAAATGTCTAAAATGGCCAATGTCAGTTGGGCAATTGTTGATGGACCGGCAACCGGGGGGGAGTTCGTCGTGGGGTTCGTACGCAGAGATAGTTTTGCACGTCTGAAGCTGTTAGTTCGTAGAGATGCTTGCCCAAGCCAAACGAAGTCGCTTTGCCATGCGTCAGCCAAGAAGCCATAGAGATGATCACATCTGAAATGTGACAACTTACAAACACAAGCACCGATCGTGCCAGTTGTTGTCGTCAACAGCGATAATACGACGAAAAGATCGTCCCATCCCAGAGCCTTAACCACCATCCCCCGCGTGTACATACGAAAGGCGACACATATCCATGCGACGACCTAGAAAGCCAACGTCAGAACACACGAATAGCTTCACATTTGCGATGGCAAACCATACCTCGAAGGTGATGGCGACACCCAGGATCGTGCCCTTCTCGTTCACCAGCGGCTTCGGCTCGTGAGAGTTGTCGTATCCGGTGCCGAACAGCGTATAAATCGTTTTTCCGTCCATGGCTGCCAAACCACGGTGGGGGGATCAAAACATTAGACAGAAAAGAGAGGTGAGTCTGACCAAACCCAAGCACCAAAACTTGGGAACAGGTCAAGAAGCCGTGGGGTGATCAGTGCAGGAAAAGACTAGCAGAGGAAGCAGGCGAGTTATGTGAATATCAAGATAGAGACAAGCCCCATCCCTTCTCGAAAGAAAAGAAACGTAGAGAGAGGTACACACCAACAAGACGACAACGGTTCGAGCCAACAACCGATCTGCCCGTTCCGGGTCCGTGGTATTATATTCTGCTCTGCTTCCTCCAGCAAACGAATCCACAGATAGCTCGAGACGAACACAAGAGCAGCATAGTGCCTGCCCAGGAACCCGCTCGCCACCCTTGCTAACCATATGCCGAACGTCAGTAAAGCCCTGCTGGGGCCCGGGGGGGCTACCCTACTCCACAGTTCAAACCATACCCCTTTTTCTCCTAACGCGTGCTAGGGTGAGGGCGCCATCCTCGAGGGAGGATGCTGCTGCGTGCTGCTGCACTGGAAAATTCCGCGCTGCAAGCAGCTGGATCGCAGTGGATGAGGGGACAAGCATCAAGGGCCTTTGCTGTCAAAGGGGGCCAAGGGGGAGCCTGGCTTAGCGGTGCTGATCTCTTCTTTCACTTCTTGCTTTCCCCCGATGGAATGGCGTCCGTGCGATTGCAACCCCAACCCTGACATGGCGTGGGAAAGAAGAGTAAGACATTGTGGATTGAATCGGTCGTCTCGTCGTCCAAACAGCAGCTGAGAAGCTGGGTAGAGGCTGCGGCGCCAATTGCTGGGCTGGAAGAGTGCAGAAAAAACTGCTGGGGTTCGAGGAGATTAGCACAATTGTGCATGAAGCATGGCGCCGCAAGCCACGTTGTCACCATATCATCCAGCCAACCTTTAAACGTCCTTGAGGCGCTAAGAGCCAAGCACGGGGCGCTGGGCAGTTTCTTTCGAGGCCGTCCGGCGCCCGAAAATCCGGGAACAAGTGCTGCACTAAACGCTCCATCGCATATTTCATCAACGAGATGGTGGCAGATCTTCTGCTTTTGGACGATGGTCTCCCCCGATTATGGTTATCATCTAAGAACGTGGCTCTGGGCTGTGGCTGGGGCTGGGGAAATTTAGAAGTACTTTGTACTTTGTACATTTGGCCCGACATGTGAAGGACTACGAGGAAACTCCCTTCTTCGGTGATATTTCACGACTTGTGGAAACGAATGAGCTTCACTGTTGCATGGCAAGTGACGGCAGAGAGATAGAGGCAGCAAGATTGAAGGCACAGGCGGACGACCCCGGTCCCTTGCGCTGTGACGAGAGCCCCGAGTCAGTGACCGTCACCCGCTAGAGTGACCGCGTGTTTCAGCGAATGTAGGTCCTTTTTCTGCTTCCATCGCTGTAATTCACTGCAGTGTGCAGTACAGATAAGGCAGTAAAACCTCAAAAATATGAGCTAGAGCTGCCCGAGATATCCGGGACGCAGCTGTCAAGTCGAAGAGTTCACGTCGCCTGAAGCTTGTTTGACAGCGTGTGACGGGTGCGCGTACTCTCACGATGAAGAAAGGTCCTGACTGCAAAGGGGGGCGCGGCAGCGGCTCAGTCCAGGAATCCACGTAATGCATCGGAGTGTGTTCCGCCTAGTATTCCAATTCTACGAGTCAAAACACTCATAACATCTCGTCTTAAACCGTCCAAGAATCAGGGCTCGACGAGAGCCAGCCAATGTGCTCATCCGCGACAAATAAAAAGAGGAGACGGCAATAATACAGCTGCGTGCCATCTTAACACCCTTCGAAAATTCAAGATCTTGAAGTCTCGTCTATCGCCGTGGACCTCGTGGCTCATACGCCTCCGGTTTTACAGCTCCGGAGACGAGCACCACCCTCCACATCAAATTTCGGAGGCAAATTCTCGCGACTCGAGATCGAATTGGTGTGACGTCCGGCCGTGATGGGGGGAGGGGGGAGGTTACCTCGCGGTGCAATCGAAGGCTCAATGGCTCATATCCACGTGCTCTCCAGTTGCACCACAGTAACCCAGGGAAGCGGGGGAAGCGAGCTGGAGCTTTGGAGGAGGTCAACGCGCAAATGGCTGCCCGGGGTCGCCCACGGCGAGATGATACCCAGTGATGCTCGATTGTGCAAGTTTTCCGGCCTGGATACTCCGAAATAGACGAGTATGAGCTTCGTTGACGAGATACGAGGTACGACCCGTGCTCCAGCAAAGCGAACAACGGCAGCAAAGCCCGAAACATCAGCAAACAGTGCGACTTAATCAGTACTCAACCAAAAATGAAATCTCGCCAATCTATCGACTGCCTGTACGCTCGGACGCACTTGATATTATCAAAAAAGGGTCCAACGAAATAACGTACGCATTCTTCTCACCGAGAGCGAACGCACCTATCAACCACTGTGAGACTGAATCATTCACCGAAAGGCTCACGTAAGATGGGGGACAAATACGTCAACTGTCAAAAGACGTAGGTTTCGCACGGGACAGCCTTCCGCGGGCGATCCTGAGCCGGTTTTCCTGTCTGCCCCGAGTCAGCTCTTCACGGCTGTGCCGCGTCGTCGACGGTCACTTTACGGGTGGATTGAGGCTCCATCCGGATTGCTCCTGTCAGTGATGCTGGCCAATTTACATAGAGTGCTGACTGACATGCGCTGGGGGTCACGGGGTTGCCACTGAAGGAACAGTAAGAAACAAGAGTGGGGAGGGCAAAGACGACCTCTGGGCAACGAACGATGCTTCAATGCTCCAGAATTCAGAGCGTCTACTAGGGAAGCTCTGGCCTGTCCGGTGGCGCTGCGTGCCACGCGGGCCGTTGGGATCGAGGGATGTTGCCGGTAGACTGGTTACGAAGCCATCGCGCTTCTCAGAGAAAATGTCGACGATGCTGGGATTTCTCCTGTTGGCTGGGTTGAAGCTTACTTGCTAGCTGATTTCATGTCTATGAAGTGCAGCGGAACGGGCGCCAATTTTTCATCTTATCTCTTTGTCGGCAGGCAGACGCGACGAAAGTACGGATAGGGCTCAACTTCCAGATGTTGGAGAGCGACAAGCCACAGCTTTAATCCAACTCATTCAGAACGCACGAGGATTAAGAGACACAGCCATGTCCTCACCCAAGTCACATATCGAATGATCCAAAAACACACACCGTCATCTTCCAGACAAGATCCCCCATCGCAACAGAGTTCAGCGAGATCGCCAGAATTTCTCCTAAAATGTCACGCTGCCCTTCCCGGAGGACCGACCAGCCAGCCAACGGCGCCCCCAAACCCAAGTCAGGACCCGTCACACCAAGGGTGGGTTTACGAAAATCTCGGAAAGTGGGCAATTCAACCCGACCATTCTCGTTGGCAGGAATTCGAGATTGAAACCTTTCAAACAGCGGAGCCCTGACGGGACCTCTACTATGTACTCTGAACCTCCGGCGCGACTGCCGTGCCGCCATCCGCTGCAGATTTGAGTGTGCGGTGCTGTGTGTGTGTGCCTGTGCCTGTGCCTGTGTGCCTTGTGCGCAACAAGCATCAGGAAAAAGAAAGCAAGAAAAGTGGCCAATCTTGTTTGACAGCTGCAAGACATTCGTTCCAATCTCTGTCCCCTCCCCAGTCTTTTCCCTTTCTTCGGCTTCGAGGCCTTTTCGTCTTGTTTAGCCAAACAAACGTTCGAGACTCGACCGTCGATCTGTTCAAAAACCACGCGACAGCGCTGGGGGAGGAAACATGTTCTGAAGCAAGGTTTCCACATTCCCTTTCAAACCTCCCGGACGATGCAACACGTGGGTTTTCTGCGACTGCGAAACTTTGCGAGTATATCAAAACAGACGTCAATCAAGTGTCGTTCACGATGGGCGGCGGTTGAATCATTGTCCGCGCCCCCTCTTTAATGTTGCACGAATCGTCTGAACATTTGTTTTCCTGTCATCGTGATCGGGAAGAGCTTAGGCCGCCAAGACATGGAATGAACGACGCTTGGGCGAGAGAAACTTACGCGCAGAAACATTCGCTGAACGGGTTGCAATGATGTTGCGCAAACACCACACGATAACCTCCAATGCATCGTGGTGATAGTTTAGACGAGGAAACGTACAGAGCAACATTGATAGGAACCCAAATCATGGGGTCAATCTTCTGCTCAGTTCACGCATGCGCGATGTCGCCCACGCCCCATCTCATCACGACATCGCCCGCCCCATCACCGTTGCACAACTCCTCCTCATCACATCTTCACCAGAAAACATCACAGAGCTTGGACCTCGAGATATGCCAGCCTCCATCCCGACATCCGCACCCATCCTGCTGCCATCCCATCACGAACCTCAATCAAAGAACCCCAGGCCTCTTCTCACGCCTCTAGCCGCCTTCAACCTCCACGAGTAATGCGATCTTCAGGCCCCCTTCGCCAAACCACCCCAGCAGCCCCGTCTCACGAGGCGGTCCAAGCAACAGAAACCACGAATCCAGGCCCGCCCCTCCTCTCCAATTGGCAAGGCGCCTCTAAAAGCGTGCGTCGTACCTTGCAGTGCCATTCCGGCGCACGTTCCCCTTCGAAAGGGCAAGACGCAGCCCACTCACTCTCCATGATCCATCACGCAAAATCAAGACCATTCCCCATTCAACCTCCAGTCTGCGATCAAATCACGGCAACTGTCCGGCAAGCACGACGACCAAGGCAGCATTGCCACGCTGCCACGCGCCGCCCTGTTCCCGGGTCCAGAGCACGCCCAAACTCTCTGCATCGCATCTCGTCCACCCATTCACCCATCTCACTCTCGATCGTCAATCACCAAGTCCAGAGTCACAACACTAAACATCCTCCCCCTCTTCCAGAACCCACAAACATGCAACTCACCAAGAACCTCTAAAACGCAAAACGCACAAAAACAACGCGATGTCCATGACGGCCACAAGCCAATGACAAACCCGAAAGCGACTAGTAGAAGCCAAGACCGCGGAGGTCCTCTCTGCGACCCAGCATCGCATTCCTCGTGGAGAGTCATGGATCCCGCAATGCACCATTTGCCGTGCACCACACCGCCGATCGCTCTTCAACAACCCTGGCTTGCGCAACTTCCCCCGTCCGGACGACACTTCTTATCAGGGAAACTGGGGGCCGAGAGGGAAATGGACGAGAGACATGCTCACACAGAGGCCAGCTGAACGAACTTGACTTGACGACAGACACCACGAACGCGCCGCGCCGCCTCGAATGACTGACTGTGAAATGATCTTTTTTTCATTACTCGCTGCGGCAACACTTGCTACTTTTCAGCACCCCAGCCTAACCTACTTACTCCATCCCCATCTGAAGGATGCATAATAAACCAGAACTACTACCGACGCAGGAAAATGCTAAGAACTGAACCCCCCCTATAATCTCCAAGAATATCTCCATACAAAGGGAAGAAAATGAAATAGAGAAGAAAAGAAGACAGGAGGAAGAGGGTACCGCCTCCCCTCCCCCCACGTGCAATGTAACCAAGATAACGAGAAAACGCCCCCCTTTCTACCAAATCCGTAGCATATCGCGAACCGACAAACACGGCCCCGTACGCGCTCTTCTTTTCGCCTCTCCCTGCGACAAGGAGCAAGGAGGCAAGCAAGTCGCAGCCCTGCCAGGCCACGCATTGCAATAACAAAGTGACAAAAGAAATAGAACAGCAACCACCACCGCCGCCCTTAATTAATTTCCCCCGTGATGTACCCAATCTGCCGCCGCCCGTTGACGCCCGCGCCCGCCAGCTGGCTCGCCAGGTTCGTCTGCCCGTCGACCAGCCGCCGCTGCTCCGCCAGGCGCGTCCGGAACCGGTCCTCCGCCTCGCGGTCCATCCGATCCACGTCCTCCCGCTCCGCGACCCGGATCGCAGACATGGCCTTGGCGTGGTCCACCTGCTCCGTCGCCATCTGCTTCTCCCACTCGAGCAGCATGCTCTGCCGCGTCATGACCAGGTCCTGCTCCGCGAGCTCCACCGCCCGCGCCCGCGTGATCGTCGCCTCCGTCAGCGCCGCCTGGTGCTCGAGGTCCGCGCTGCGCTCGCTGCGCTTGCGCCGCATCGCCGCCGCGAACACTTCTTCTTCCGCGCGCGCGCGCTCGTTGAGCGCGACCAGGTCGTCCGCCTGGATGCGCTTGCGCCGGCTGTCCTCGAGCTCCGCCTGCGCGGACCAGATCTGCGCCTGCACGGAGGCGAGCTCGGTGCTGCGCGCGATCGAGAGCAGGTGGTCCTCCTGCTCGAGGTTGAGGCGGTCGAGGCGCGCGCGGCGGGTGCGCTCCTGCGCCTCGAGCTCGTCGGGCATGCCGCAGGCGCCGTCGGGCTGCGGGCCCGTGTTGGAGTAGTAGACGTCCTCGGCGCGGTTGGCGCGCAGCAGTTTGATGAGGGCTTCTTTGGTGTCCGACGCGGGCAGGACGTGGGCGACGTACATGGTGGGCGAGTACGTCATCTTGCCGTCGGTGAACTGGTTGAACTTCTTGTTGACGTGCTTCCACATGCCGGCCTTGAGGAGGGTGCGGCTGGTGACGAGGGGCTCCTTGGAGTCGAGGGCGAGGAGGAGGATGGACTTGCCGTCGGTGCGGAGGGTGATGTCGGAGCCGGCCTCGATGAGGAAGTTGGTGACGCGCTCCATGAGCTTCTGGCGCGCGGGGGTGAGGGGCTCGTTGTCGGCGGCGTGGCAGGCGAGCTCGCCGAGCGCGCTGCGGCCGCCGTGGAGGGTGCTGGGGAAGTCTGGCTCGTGGCCGTACTGGACGAGTACCTGACAGGCGGAGAGGTTCAGCTCGCGCGCCGCGTTGTGGAGGGAGCCGTCGTTGCTGGAGGCGCCTGCGGCGAGGAGGTTGGACATCATCTTGATGGCGAGCTCGCCGCCGGCTTCTGTGGATAGTGTGAGTGGCGTGTTGCCCTTGACATCGCAGACGTCCACTTCGGCGCCCTCGAGGAGCAGCATCTTGACAATGTCAGGGCGGCGGTTGCGGATTGCTAGTAGTAATGGCGTCGTCTGAGATAGGCGGCTCTCAAAGTTGATCTTGGCACCCGTCTCGATCAGCATTTGGATGATGCCGCTGCTAACCTTCTTCTGCTCCTGATGCAGCGCCCACATCATGAGCGTGACGGGCTCTTCGTCCACGTCTTCCATGACCTTGCACGGCATCATCTGGTCGTAATAGTAACCGGCGTCCAATAACGCCTTCGTGATTCGGATAGATCGGGGGTATTGGGAGATAGCGAGGAACAGGAGGGGCATGGATTCCGGCGGCGTGTACATGACGTCCAGTCGGGTCTCGCCGTCAGCGTAGTCAGTAAACATTGTAATTAGCTCCAAAGCTTCGTCTTCGGAGGTGGGGTTGTCGAAGATGCGGTAGAACGCTCGCGAGATCGAATCTGTGTTGGGCTTCTTCTCCAGCAGCCGGTTGACGAGGAACGCATTCAAGGCGGCCGCCGCGGATTGCAAGAGCATGCCATTGTCATAGTTGACGTCAACTTTGTGGTCGAGGAGGATGTCGACGAAGCCGTTGGCGAGGCTGACGCTGTCGTCGGACTCGGACAGCGGCATGTCGACGACTTGGGTGAGGACAGAGCTCAGGCCGTCACCGTGAGCACCCTTTTGCAGGAAGCTGTGCAAGATGCTGAAACCGGTTTCTGTGAACCATTGCGCTGAGTTGTCCTTAGTGAAGCCCTCCCTGATTGCGAGGTTGAGGTCCTCGCCGAGGATCTTGGACTCCAACATCATTGCGAGCGGCCGCACCATGACTCTTCTCGTCGCGTCGATGAGTGTCTGGCAGTTGTTTGCAATCGGCGAAGCACCAAATCGGAGCAGTGACTTGATGAGTTTGAAGTCGGGTTCTTCCTCGTTGATTGCTTGGTTCAGAACGACGTGGAGGTCATCCGATATAGGCAGACCGGCCCGGAAGAGCGCGTCGATGATGGCGGCACGTGGTTCGCGGCTCAGCTTCCAGGCGGCCCTAAGAGCGCGGTTGAGCGTGGTGTGATTAGGCTTGTGTTGCTGTTTCTGTGTTACAAATGACCTAAAACGAATTGTGCAGATGACTTACCAGCTTCGTGCCGATGTCAACCTGACCCAACATCATTTTCAGAGTGTTGAGAAAGGCACTCCTCGTCGCAGCCCATACCGCCTCTCCCTTGTTGTAGTTCGGATCCGCACCAGCCTCCAACAGGGTCTTGACCAAGTCCTCGCCGTCATCCCCAAAACGGACGGCGGACGCCAGTTGGATATGAAGAGCCTCCCCATCCACGCCGTGAGGCAAAAGTGCCTGAAGAATTGCAGCTCGCGTCTTGAGATTGCCGACTTCAGTAGCGGCCTGAAAGCCTCGCTCGATGGTCGACTTTTTAGGCGTTGAGCTGCCGCTCAGTAGCATCGCCAAGACGTCGGCAGAACCAGACTTGCATGCCTCCACAATGGACTCCTCGTCGATCTGGGCACCGTTCTTCACGAGAATGCTGCCGAGCACCAAGTCGCCATCCGCAGCGGCAGCAAGCAGCGCATCAGATAGAACCGTCCCCGATGCGCCGTGCTCCAGCAACAGTGTGCAAATGCTCGCCCTCGCGTCCTTGTCCGACAACATGGCCGCCTCCGCAAACGCGTCATTCGTGATCGGTATCGAGTGCTTCTGCTTAAGAACCAGTTCGACGATGTCAGGACGCTCCTTTTTGACAGCCGAGATCAAGGCCTCGCCGTCGCTGGTATTCGCCTTGAGTGATAATGTCCTTAATAACGGGATATCATTAGTGTATGTGTTGATAGCGAATCCCAGCGCCCGGTTTGCCTCCGCACTCGGTGCGCCGGCTTCAAGCAGTTTCTCGGAGAAGTCGAGACGGTCCATGGGATCCGCGATGCGCAGCGCGTGGGGCAGGGCGGACGCCAGGGAGGCTGGGCTGGGGCGGGCGGCGAAGAGCATATCGGTGATTTGGGTGTCGCCGGCGGCGACGGCGTGGCAGAGGGCGGCGGCGTTGTGGGAGTTGACGTCGGCGCCCGACTCGAGGAGCACCTTGACGATCGACAGCTCACGTTTTCCGGGGTCTGTCTGGAGGAGGGAGTGGACCTCCTTGACGAGGACATCGTTGAACAGGGCCTTGTCCTTGGTCTTGGACAGGAGAATTTCGAGTTTCTCCGCCTTCTGCTCGGAGGACTGCATCATCGATAGCTCGTTGATGGCTCGGCCAACGGTTTGTGGTGAAGGTTTGCCGTGTTTCAAGAGCATGTCCAGGACAGGAGGGTCGTGGCTGTGGATTGCTACTCATCATTAGTACCCTGGGTATGAGATATGTTATGACGACTTACCTGATGCCATGGCGATTCCGCTGTCTACGTTGATATCCGCCCGGCCCTGAAGCAGCAGCACTTGCAAAAGCTTCAGGTCTGCCGGTCGGTAGTTCAACACGCTGAGCATCGCCTGGGAAACCTTGCCCGACTCGAGAGTCGGCACGTTCGTAAGCAGCAAGGTCGCCATGTCTAACCTCGTCTGCGGATCAGGCGTCGCAATTATCCTGGGCAGAATGCTGGCGGCGGTCTGCGGCGTGACGTTCTTCTTCAGCAGCGCGTTCAGCAACCTCAGATCCTTCTGCATCACAGCGGCAACCAGCGCGGACCCATCGTTCTCGTTGATGTCGGTGTTGTATTGGAGAAACAAACCGATGAGATCCTCGTCTTTGAATTTCGGATCCTCGTCGATGGCTTCTTGCAGCGCCTCATGCACAATCGGCCCGGTGAGGCCACTGGTCAGGAAACACTCGACCATGCGGTACCTGTTCTGGCGAGATAGCGTCTTGGTGAGGGGGAAGATCTGCGCCAGCGTCTCACTCGACGGCTGGCTGTTCAGCATTTCCCTGGTCATCGCAACATCACTTCGCATCACTGCAATCTGCAACGCCAGGCCACCCTTATGGTCGACGGAGGCTACTTGGTGGCGTTCATACACCATCGATCGGGGCCCCTTCTTCACGTCATGTTCGCTGACCGGTCGGCCTCCCGGGAACACGGGGGTGAGGAGAAGCTTGACCGAGTCGACGTCACCGGCCTCGGCCGCTTCGATGAGCATGTCGTCTAGCGCAGTCCCGCTCGCACCCCTCCGTAATAACAAGTCCAGCAAGAGTCGGCGGCTCTCGATTGCCATATTCCTCGGGAGCAGCTCGACACACTCTGAAGCATGCATTGAGCTGAGTTCCGAGTTGCCGTTCAGCAGCGTGTATGCTACATCGACCCGTCCGTTCTGAATGGCTTTCCGGACAGCCATCGCGTCCTGATACTCGATAGAAACCCCGTACTTGACCAACAGATCGACCATGTCCTGAAACTCAGCGGCCGCAGCATGGATGAGAGCGAGTGCTGGACCATCGCCATCCGTACCCGCACAAAGCAGCAACTCGGCGACCGCAACCTTGTCGTTCGGGTTCATCGACGGGTGGTCCAGCAGTTGCGAGAACGCCTCATCCAGGCCTGGTCTTTTCGGCGGGTGGTTGCCCATGATGATCGCGAGCGCAATGTCGTGACGTCCCTGGCTGATGGCGATCTTGAGCGCCTCCGCTTGGTTGTAGTCGCCATCGGCATCAGACCGACTCAGATGCAAAACCGTCGTCAAGCACCCCGCCTTCGTCGCTTCCACCATGCACTGAGACAGCCACGTCGGCGGCGGTCGCGCCTCGGACCGCAGCACGATGGACACCAGCTCAGCCTGGCGGCCCGAAGCGCAAGCCTGTCGGAAAACCTCCTGCGTCTCGCTGCTGCGAAGCACACCGGCGCCGTACCTCAAAAGCAGCTCCACAATCTCAACGTTTTCCGCGCGCATGGCCAACGGTAATGAGGCGTCCAGGGCAAAATGATCGGCGTGAGGTAGCAGGACTTGGATCATGTCCATCTGGCCGTTGTGAACGGCATGCTGGAGTAATTTACTGCGCTCACCGAAGCTCTCCAGGCTTTTCCTCCGTGGCAGGATGCTCGTCTTGGCCTTCTGGGCCATGTTGACGTCGCCGCCGGACGAGACAAGCTGGACGATGAGCGCCTCAGCGACGCCGGGGGATCCGCCCTCGGTGACGTGCTGGTCGAGGGTGTCGAAGACGAGCTTGTAGTCCCATTTCGTCTTCTTGGAGGTGAGGACGCGCCTCAGGTTAGTGGTGGAGTCGGTCCGGCCGAGGACGGAGGCCTTGCGCTTGAGGAGCTCCTCGGCCCTGATGTCGTCCTCGGAGGTGCGGAAGCTAGGGGGGCTGTTGGGGCGCGTCAGCGGCGTCGGGGACGGCGGGGGCTCGAGGCCCCATTCCTCCGCGAACTGGATGATCCGCGTCTGGCGGTCATCCTCGGTCGGCGGAGTCGGCATCGGGGGAGCCGGGAGGGGGGGTTAGGCGTGAGACCGTATGTTGGATGACGGACGTCGGGATGGGGGGCCGTTGAGAGGCGGCGAACGCGAGGGCGACGGATGAGAGGCGAAGAGAAGCGGAGAAAAGTATAAAAAAGGAGCGTGAGTGAGTGACGGAAAAGTGAGGTTGGGGTGAGGTTGAAGCAAGGCGAGGCTGAGGAGAGTGAGAGTTGGCGGGTGAGTGAGAGGAGAGGAGACGTGCGGCGCAAAGTTTCGTTTTCGTCCCAAGAATTTTCCCCCTTCTCTTTCTGGCCCTCTTCACTCTTCTTGTCCTCTGGCAGATAGACTTTAGCAAGGTGCAGCAAAGACAGTCAGGCCAGGTGAACGGAAAAGACGGCCTTCAGCCGGTGGCAACCGGTGCTGGTGGTGGTGCGTTGGCTGCGATGGCATGAACGGGAAGTTGAGAACAAGCATCCAGGATCGACGGGTTGAGGTGACAGAAGGACGGGTAAGGTACGGATAGGTGGCAGGCCTGTTAGGGGGCAAACCACGGGACTGGAGACAGGAGAGGGAAGGGCCCAGGGCTAAGAGGAATACGGGACGCGGGTCGAGTAGAGGCGACGAGGGGGGAGGCGAGAGAGAAGCAGAAAAAAAAAAAAAAAAAGGAAAACGAGGTTGGATTGGGATTGGATCGTTGGGTTCGATGGGTCCGAGTCGCAACGTCTGGCGGCTTCTGGTTCGTCGCGGGCTCTCGGCTGAGCGATGCCGCCGCCCGGGGGGGGATTCAATTCAATGGGAAGAGATGTGGGACACGCACAGTTCCCCCTGCGAGCTGTTGTCGTGTGAATCCAATGCTGGTGAGATGCCTTTAATGGTACGGATGCCCAGGGTATGAAGATGAGAAGAAGCCGGATGACGGTCGGTGAGTAAGGTAGTGAAGGTACCAAGGTATCAAAGTACCACAAGGTGAGGTGGTGAGTTGAGTGGGAGAGGTAAGGCGACGACAAGGTGATGGAAAAGATCAAAAAAAGACCCAGATAGGCAGTCAGCAGCAGTGTCCAGTCCGTATCTCGGTACCCGGTGGCCGCTGATGAGCGACCCGACGATGAAGTGAAAACGCAGGCCGCAGTGGCGACAATGCGTCGCGTTTCAGCGGGGTGGAGCCGTGGTTTTTCGTCCGTTCGTCCCCTTCTTCCAGCGCCTTCACAGCTGTTGCTTATCCCCCGTGTCCCCTAACAGATACAACGGTCTTCAGCTTCAGGGAGCAGCAACTCGACAGGGGCATTAATGAGGCTGGGATTGCTTAAAGTCTCGAGGTCAGACGGTGCGCGACAGGGCAGCGGCCATGACGTCGTTTCTTCGGCTGTTCCGTCTTGTCGTGGGAATGTCTGTCTTCTCCAACTCGTGACTTTTTCTTTTCTTCTGGCGCTCCAGAAAGATGGCCGTTGCGCGCCCTTTTAACAGCCAGAAACCAGGAACATGCTGTCTTGCCAGGTGGAGAAATGATTGACCGCTAGAAGGGACGAGGAAGAGGAGAAAGAGGAGAAAGCGGGACGGGAGACGAACGCAAAAAAAAGTCAAGAAATAGCACAGAGGCAAACTCACTGCGACAGACCTTGAACGGCGCAGTCAAGTCCATCCCTCGTTTAAGCTTGTTGGGAGGTCGAGATGCCTTGGGATTGGGTGTTGCACCAGCAGGGGCATACGCGGACACTTCTTCTTTACCTGCAGATGCCTTGACAGCCGAAAAGGTGGGGGAGACAGACGCAGAGAAGCACCGAAGGAGGCCGTGGAAGCAGCATGGAAACCTCCGATTTGGCCTAGCCCAGGGCCAAGGCGTACTGAAGGCATACTTGACACTTGATGTATTCGATGAGTGACATTTCTTACTCTGCACTTCAAAGTACAACACAGGCCGGCCCAGAACACCCCAAAATGCTTCACAAAGTGGCTCCCAATCCACCTCGACCTCAGTCTGGCTAGCACATTAGAATTAAGAAGCCAGATTTCTGGGGTTCGACAGAAACGAGACCCGGGAACCGAGATATTTTTCGGGGTGCCGAAGTGAGCGGATGGGGGAAATATTGGGGAATATTGAAGAGAGGCTGGAACCGTGAACCTATGCCTGACACCCCTGACCCCTGACACAAGCCACTGGTGATTGGTTGAAACTCTTCTGCAGGACTGCAAACTGCGCTGTTGCTCCAATGTCTCCTGCCCTCCCTCCGTGCGCTGCGCCGGTCAACCTGCCAAACCATCGGTCCCGTCCGCCCTCTTGACATGGCCGACAACGGGACAGAGTGACAGACAACACCACTAAACCTCACCATCACCGCCACACGCTACACATTATCCCGCCAACCAAGCTCCCACGTTTATAAGGTGTAGGAGTGGCGGGCACAGGCCACACTGACCAAACCACACGCCTCACGTTCTGCCGTACCTGCAAAACGCGCAAGTCGAGGCGAAGTGCGCAGACGGGACATCCAATCGCGCACGGCACAGTAATTTACGGCGGAGGCCAAGACGGCTGAGCCTCAATTGCAGACGACACCCATTGCGACCCCCCCCGCCGATCTAAGTTAGGTAGTCTAAGGTTCTGATCAACCCGCGGGGATACCACCCTCAAAAGGTTACTCAGTCTCGACATCAGAGGAAAAGAACATAGCTTGGGAGGTCTTGCACTCACACCAGCTATCCTCCACCAACGGATAAGCACCCGGCCGAAATGTCGAAGAGAGATCTGCCCGCCAGCCCCGATTGACCCGCGCGCATTGATCCCGCTTCCATCTGAGTCTTGGCAGACCTGACTAGCCCCGACTCTATTTCGCGCGGCCCCCGAGGGAACATGCCGGCACCTTACTCAGCTGTCCTGGTGCGCTACGGGGAAAACGTCCGTGGCAGAATAGATAAATTGCTGATGTAGTATACTTCCAGCAGCCATGGCCGCGTGATATTTCTGGGGCAGAAACATGATGGGGTTGCGTTTTGCCATGGACCAGACGGGGGAAGTCGTAGCCGCCACGGCCATCGGTTCGTGCCAAGACGTGGTATGGCGACAGCATACCATCAGACTTGGATCGTCCCATGCATCAGCACGCGCTACTTCGCCATTACAGCCAGGGAATGAGTTTGATATTATCCCCCAGTGCCTATCGGGGGCGTTGGCGTTATCCACGGCTGCTTACACGCAAATAGGCCGACTTGATGCCTTTCACGTCTATATCACATTCACCAAGTACAACTCCTATTCATTGACTTAATCATCCTTCGAAATTTGCAGTCACTGAGCTCCCTTGGGAACTTCCCAATTTCAGAGTAAATCCGTTCCAGATCATATTCACCGAAATCGTCTCTCGAGCTGGAAATCGAGATGGCAAGCTTGTTCGGGGAGAGAATGTGTCCCTTTCACCAGCATTGCTTCTGATGTAGATAAACCAGTATCCGATTGAGATCGCACATCGACTCGGAGTCACAGTTTCCCTTCCCGAACACCCAACGTGATCTTAACATCACTAAGACGTTTGCCTCCCACACCCCGCGCAAACTACTACCGCTGCCACCCGCTCCGGCGCCGGCCCCAACGCCGAACACGACAACCCCACACCTGCGCGTCCCCTCCCGATCCCGCCATCCGACGTGCCGAACCCCTCACCCGACCCCGTCATCGGTGCCTGCTTACTAAACCTCTCCCATCATCGTCCCACCCCTCCGCGCGCGCCGCGGAATGGGAAGCCATTTCGCAAACACATTGCTCAGCAAAGACGGAAACCAGATCCCGCTTAATTGCACGCCATCCGACGTCCGGAGTTTAAAATAAAGAGGCTTCGCCCGGATTAAAGCTTAGCCACAACGTCAATGTCTCTCATCCCCTCCCCTCCGCGAACATTCCCCAAGCTCACAAGGTGCCTCCTCTCAGCATCGGCATCACACTCACCTCTCTCTAGACAACACCGTCCCCTTATTTCGCAACATCTCACCCGCAAACTCAACCCTTCACGCACCTTCACAACATCCCCCGCCCGCCTCATCGACCTCTCCCCCGCCCCGCACTTCACAATGGCCTCCACGCCCTCCGTCCCCAAAACAATGAACGGCATCCAAATCCCTCGCACCGGTGACGTCTCCGTCCTCACCCACGAAACGGCCCTCCCCGTGCCCACCCCCTCCGAGGGCCAGGTACTCGTCCGCAACGAGTACGCCGGCATAAACTACATCGACACCTACTTCCGCACCGGCCTCTACAAGGCGCCCCTGCCGCAGGTCCTCGGCCGCGAGGGCGCCGGCACCGTCGTCTCCGCCCACCCTTCCGTGTCTACCTTCGCCCCCGGCGACCGCGTCGTTTACATGGGCCCCTTCAGCTCCTACGCAACCTACTCCGCTGTACCCGCCTCCTCCCTCCTCCGCATCCCCGACGCGCTGGGCACCGACACCGCCGCCGCCGCGCTGCTGCAGGGCCTCACGGCGTGGACCTTCATCCGCGAGGCGGGCGTCGTGCAGAAGGGCGAGTGGGTCCTCGTGCACGCGGCGGCCGGCGGCGTCGGGCTGCAGCTCGTGCAGATGCTGCGCGCCGTCGGGGCCAAGGTCATCGGCACCACGAGCAGCGACGAGAAGTGCGCGCTGGCCAAGAAGAACGGCGCCGAGTGGATCGTCAACTCCAAGAGCCAGGACCTCGTCACGGAGGTGAAGAAGATTACTGACGGCCACGGCGTGGATGTCATCTTTGACGGTGTTGGCAAGGCGACGTTTGATAGCGACCTGGAGATGGCGGCGCGTAAGGGACGGCTGGTTATTTTTGGAAATGCTGTAAGTTGATTGGGAGAATTTGCTGGGAGCGAGTGTGGTTGCTGACAATTTTGATAGTCTGGCGCGGTGCCTCCTTTTGACATCCTTAAGCTGGGACCCAAGAACTTGAAGGTCATGCGCCCCGTAGTGAACAACTATGTTGCTACTAGAGAAGAGCTGGAGAAGTACAGCAGTGAGCTGTTTGAGATGATCACCTCAGGCAAAGTCGAGGTTGCCATCCACAAGGCCTACCCGCTCAAGGACGTCAAGCAGGCGCACACAGATCTCGAGAGCCGAAACACTACCGGCAAACTCCTGCTCAAGATTGATTGACTGGATGCGCAACTCTGAGTTTGTGCAAGCATAAATGAATAATGATGTGTTCAAACTTTTTTTTCCTCATTAGATTCTCTCTATGGCGAACGTAGTCTCATGGCTGTCGCTGGAATAGCACTAATTCTAACACCGTCTATGATGAGCGATATGAAAGGGCCAAGATCTATGCGAAGCGTGGCCGATGCTCCGATGCATGTTCATGTCTCCATTTTACGAGCTGGTGGGCTTGGCGTTGGCCAGCAACTCAGGGGGAGGGTCCTGGCGGTAACCCTTGGGGTTGTTGCTAACCCAGCGCCACAGGTCTTCGCAAGCCTTCTCCATCGTCAGCTCCGTCTTCCAGTTGAGCTCCTTGTTGGCCAGCGAGGGGTTGGCGGTAAGGTCCAGGACGTCACCCTGGCGTCTGGGGACGACGTCGTAGGGGAGGTCGCGGCCGACAACGGCGCTGAAGGCCTTGATCATCTCGAAGACGGTGCTGCCACGGCCGGAGCCCAAGTTCCAGGCCTTGACACCAGGCTTGTTCTCGCGGAGGTAGTTGAGGGCGACGAGGTGGCCCTTGGCCAGATCGACGACGTGGATGTAGTCGCGGATGGCGGTTCCGTCTCTTGAGGAGTAGTCTGCTTCGTGTTAGTGTCTTTGCAGCAGTGAAGATCCAGATGTACGCACCATCACCGAAGACGAGCAGCTTCTCGCGCTCGCCAGTGGCGACCTTGCCAAGCAGAGGCAGCAGGTTGTAGGGAACACCCTGAGGGTCCTCGCCCATGAGACCAGAGGGGTGAGCACCGCAGGGGTTGAAGTATCTGAGGAGAGCGCCGTTAAAGTGCTCAAAGGGCTTGCCGGCCTTCTGGAGCTTGTTGCGCTCGGCCTGGATGTGGTCGGTGATGACCTGCTCGACGAAGGCCTTGGTGTGGCCGTAGGTGTTCGTAGGGCCAATGGGGCAGTGCTCGGGAATGGGAATCATGTTGGGGAAGCGGGTAGCATCGCCGTAGACGGTCGCGGAGGAAGAGAAGACGATGTTGGGGACGTTGTTGTCGGTCATGGCCTGGAGGAGGGAAACAGTGCCGCCGACGTTGACGCGGTAGTACTCGAGGGGAATCTCGCCAGACTCGCCGACAGCCTAGCATGTGGCGTGAGTTGAGGGCTTCGAATGCGACATGATCAGAGCGACATACCTTGAGCGCAGCGAAGTGGATTACGCTGTCAATCTCGGGGTGCTTCTTGAAGACCTCGTCGAGACCAGCCTTGTCGGTGACGTCGACCTGGTAGAAGTGGGGGCGCTTGCCGGCAAGAAGCTCGATGCGGTCGACGGCGACCTTGGAGGAGTTGTACAAGCTGTCGACAATGACTACGTCGTAGCCATGCTCGAGCAGAGCAAGGGTAGTGAAAGAGCCAATGTAGCCGGTGCCACTGTCGAGATGCGCGATTAGCTTTCCGCCGCGTGGGTGCGAGTGATGCGCCGGGAATGCGACAGCGACCAGAAAGTGCCTCGTGGACGCCTCCCCCCACGCTGTCGCATTGCCTCAATGCGCCCGAGTCAAAGTCGTGGAGCTTACCCGGTAACCAAGACAGTTCCAATCGCCATTGTGAAGAAATTTGCTAGCGTCGATCGCAACTAGGTGCGGTCAGGGGATGAATTTGGAGTAAAGAAACGAAGGACAGGACAGCGCCGAGGTTGGTGCTTGCTGCTTGGTGCGGTCCGTCGGGGGGTATCAAGTAGGTTTTTGGTTGAAGGACGAAAAGACCAGTCTTCCCTCTGGAAAGCGAAGGAAGAGGATGGCGCGGCGTAATATAAATCTGGCGATGGAGGCTGCAGCGACGGTCACAATAACAAAAAACAACCGGGTCGTCTGTCTGTAACGTTCCGATAGGCAATGGGTGTGGGAGAGAAATTGGCTCGGCCTGACGACACCTTTGCGACTTTGGGGACTGACGCCGCCAACGGCCAATCTTCTGCGGCCAAATGAATTCGATGGCGGGGTCTCGCAGCGGGGGTGGCACCAATTTGCAGCGTTGTGGCTGGCTGCGGAGCCAGTAATTTCTTCTTAAGCCTCAAACGGCGCACTTGAAACTTGTAACGACCGGGGATGGCGGTGCCGTGGAGACTGATCTTCAGGATTGAGGACGCTCCGACAGGGTCCTGTCGTCTGCTGTCTGGTGCTTTCACGTGGGTTTGGCTGGAGATGGAGGAGCTGAGTTGGCCACCGACGAACCACTGCGGCAGACCAGGTGGTTCAGCTGAGGGATCGGACGACGCAGACAGAAGACATCGTGATGGTGTCGGGCGTCTTCAGTCTGGCAGGGTGCAGATACGCAGTACCTAAGGTAGCGGCCGAGGTTCCCGCAATGTTTGCTGCTGTCGCTGTGTGTTGCCGCGATGAGAGACAGAGCAGGGGTTGTTCGAGCATGCACCATACCAAGGTAAGGATAGGCGCCATTTGCCATTTCCCGCCGCTTGCTTTTTCAGAGGACCTGCAGGTTTGCCATGTTCTCCGGAACTTGGACCGAGATGACGGACAATAAGCCGGTTCCCGCGTCGACACGGATCATCAAAGTGAGCACCGTGGCCCAGTCGAGCGACTCTGCATCTGCATCTTCGACTCGCCCTGACTCAGCGTGCTGTAGGTGCTGTGTGCTCCTGACTATCAATGGCGACCTGACTGCTGCGCATCGTATTCTCGTCCTGCGCTTGCGCGAAATTCGTTAGCAGGATGCATATGTCGGCCATAATATTCGAAGGGACCGCGCCAGGATGGGCCGACAACAGCGAGGTGGGACGGCGGACATGGATTGAAACGGTGACGTAGGACTTCCAAGGCCTGGCCATTTGCGCGAGTTGACTTCCCTGCCAGCCTTAGGTAAGCCAACAGCTCAACTACTGCCGCCTCAGGCAACAAAGCAAATGTCTTGGCTCATCACGTGCAGTGGAGACGTCTTTGATCTTCGTCGATCTCCACCGTCCCAGCTTACCTAAGGTTTGAGGCTTATGTAAGGAACACAGGACCCCCCATGCCCGGCCACGAAGCTTAAGCGCGTGGGCGACGGACACGGTGCAGGGGTCCGTGCCTCACTCGCTCTCGAATTCGGTGGCGGGCAGCCGTCGCGAAAACATTCCAGGTGAAGCTGCAAGGTGAACTTCTCCAGCCGGGACAAAGACCCAACGACCCCTCGAGAAGCCCCTTACTGTTGCTCAATGCTGTCGCATCAGTCTCTTTCGCCGTCCGACAATTAATTGATCCCCAAAAAGCAACGCGACGGCGGCTGCATTCCTCCCTCGATCCGATCTGCCTCTGCCGCGGCGCGTGCGCGACTTGCCGGGGACCTGAGGACTGTCAACCTAAGCTGCCCGGAGGAAGTCAACCAGGAACGATGGTAGTTGCGACCAGGTACCACCGCTCTTACTCTCTTTGTTGACAACCGCCTCCCTCCCTTCCCGATCCGGCGGGTCGTCGCTCTGGAATAGCTTCACTTTTCCATTATTGCGTCTATTCAATCATCCCGAAAGCGGTTCCCTGCAGCAGCTTTCACAAAGACAACCTTCAACCTTTTCTCATCCCGCCTCCATCCCCACACCAGCTCTAACAGCTCTCACACCTTGCCTTGAGCTGTTCCTTTGGCTGTCGTCTCCCTTGTCGCTCAACATAGCACTCATGGACATCTGCGTCTAGCATTGTTGATGAGACAAGACCTTCGGACTGCAGCTGAGGCCATTATCCTGGCGGATACAATCAACCTCACCGCCGCGGCGCTGGTCCTTTGCGCCAGATAATAATGTGAGTTGCACCTTCCCGTCTTTCCCTTCTTGCCTCTCATCGTGGCTCTTTCTCATCGCGGTTTCCTTTTTTTTGAGGCGTTCTTTCCCCGAGTCGTTTTTTTCTTCTCATACGCCTTCTTTCTTCAACCTCACTTCATCTCTCAATCTCATTCATCCTCAATCCTTCTCACTCACCTCCACAGCCAGCCTCATCATATACCATAACATCAACAACCGCATCCTTCAATCACCAAATCAGATAGCATCCCACTCACATCTTCAAGATGCCGCCAAGGAGAAGACCCTCTCGGGCTGACGAGGACTCACCTCCTCTACGGACTGGCCCGGCCGTCACTCAGAACCTCCCTAGCATGCCCTCCAGGTTCGATACGTCTTATGGTTCCGCTCCCTCCACTATGCCGAGGAACAGTCGTCGCGGACAAGTTCGCAATATCCAGGTCGCTCTCGAGGACGCACTGAATGACGATGACGATAGTGATGATGGCGGCCCGCGTCGCGCGAGGCGACCATCCGTCCCACCGAGACCGAATCGCAGACAGCAGCCTGGGCCGGAGCAAGAGTCGGAGTCAGAATCGGAGCCAGAGCCGGAACCAGGACGCCAGTCGGAGCCGGACAATGAGCCAGATTTCGATCCTGGATTTGACGCAGCCTCAAATTCACCTGCTAGCAGACACAGCTCGCCGCCGCGACAGAGTCCGCCGAGACGAGGTAAGCCCAGCCACGTGGACATCCCTTTGTCCCTTGTTTGCATTGTACCAGTCTCAGATCTCTTACTAAGACAACGCCAGCCTCATCGGTCGACCCTGCTGAATTCCAGCCAGCTGCCCATCGCGGAGCTCGCGACCAGAGGATCTTGCCTACTTCAGCTCCCCTCAGAGGCCCTAGTCTTCCGCCGCCAGTCAGAGCTGGCTCGGAAGAACCACGCGGCAACAGCCCTCTTCGCAGATCACCTCGCAGGTCAAGTATTGTCCCACCTGAGACCGTAGGATCTGCCTTCCATCGCGCGATCGAGGAAGTACGCGATCGAGCTGGCTCGGAAGATCCGACAGCCACGCCCGAATCCAATCGAACATTTGGGCAAGAGAGCTCATTATTTGGCGACGCTACCATCGGATCCAGATCCCCGGGCTCCATTGACGATCGACCAATGCCTACCATTGAAGAAGAAGACTCTATTGTGGAAGCAGAAGATTATCGCGTGGCCGCTGCCATGAGCCCCTCCAGGCCGGTGTTACCACGGCCCAGAAACAACCCACCCATGCCTCCGACCTCATTCAACCAACAGGAACCCCCGCGCGAGCCGTCCCGGTCGCCACTCACAAGAGTCTCTGATGGACCAGCACCCGATTATCGGTCGCGTCCAAACCCCTTTGCTGCAGCACCTCCACTGCAACCTCCCCAGACTCCAAGACAGGGAAGCGTGCCGGGCCAAAGACGCTCAAGTCGTGCGTCGCCAGACCGGCAGGTTGCGTCTCAAAGTGTTCCAAGTTCTACTGCACCTACACCTGGAAGGACGACGCGGAGCCAAGCTAGGAACGCTGCCGCGGAAGAAGCACGGCGTACCGAATCTCGTCAGACATCAGAAGCACCTTCACCAAAGCCTGTTCGACAGAACCAGCCAGCGAAGATAGATGCCAGGTCACCGAGTCCTGCTCAGCAACAGCCAAGCAACTCAAGAAGGCAGAGTCCTGTCCAGCAAGAGCCCCGCAACGCAAGAACGCCGAGTCCTGCCCAACGGGAGGAACGCAACGGGAGAACACCAAGTCCCGTTCAACGAGACTCTCGCAACTCGAGAACACCGGAGCACCCCCAACAGGGACAAGGCCACGCAGGAACACCCCGACCCGCTCGACAATCACAACCAGTTGTGCATTCACCTCAAGCTTTTCAGCCAGCGCAGCCTCCAGCGATAAATCGACTAACGCGGCCTGGTAACTCGCATTTAGCTTTTCCGCATCCCCCTTCCCATTCACCGCCTCGTCCCAATCAAGAAATCCGTGTACCTGCCCTGCAAACTCGTGTCAACGCTCGAGTCGAGGCTGTTACGACCGAGCAACACGGTCTGTTTGGTAATGGAATGGCAGAGAGAGTGAGACAAGAGCAACAGCGTGATGTCGAGGAACAGCAAAAGCTTCGGCGCGAACGTGCAACGCGTCTTCAGACATGGCCCAAGATTTACGCTCCCATTTACACCTGGACCAACACTGCTCGTCCCGATAGGCCATCCCCGGTAGATGACGACGCAAGAGATCCATTGGACGATGAACAAGACGAATCGTCAAGGCAGATCCCCAGGAACCAGATGGGCTGGCACGCATGGATCATGTTCACATTGGCAGACGCTTTCGTGGAAGTCCTTAGCTTCCTCATGTCTCCTGAAGCTTGGCTCATCAAAGCAGTGCTGGCCGGCCTGGCGTCGTGTTTTCTTGCGTGGGCTTTCTACGCCGGAATCTCCTCATTTCCTGCTGGAGGTCTTGGTGGAATCCATTGGTATGGACTGTCCGACATTAGTCATAACTTGGGTCAGTTCGTGCCGCTATGGATGGCGGCACCATCCACCATTTTCAGTGACAGAGATACGAGGGAGCACTCTCGACAACAACGCGAGCACGATTACGCAATCAGAGATCTGACATTGGCCTCGGACCTTCAAAAACGTTCGATTGATAGACTCGAACAAATTGTGCCAAAGGTCGTCCATATGAGCCTTGACAAAGACGGGCGGCCCATCGTTGGACAAGGCTTCTGGTATGCCTTGCGTGACTTGATGAAAGCCGACAAGGAAGTTTTGACCTTGGGCAGAGGAAAGGGCGGCTATCATTTCATCTCTGACGAACACTGGCGAGCGATCAGAGATAAGCTCAAGAATGACCCCGATTACCAAAAGGCGACCAACCCCCCTGCTCCAGGCGTCTCAGCTTCCGACGTCGATAACATTTTCCAGACCAAGTTTTCCAAGTCTTGGGAGGGGTGGCTGCAGAGCAACAACGAGAAGGTGGCTAAGATTCTGGAGCCCGCCTTTGGCACCTCCATTCCGGATAAGATCGAGAAAGACCTCGACAAGAAGATCGAGAAGTATGTGAAGGATCTCTACAAGGACAAGGGGGCTACAGATATTGTGGTTACGCGGGATGAGTTTATTGGATACCTCAAGAACGAATTCCTCACCCATCGCCGCGAAGTCAAGGCCGAAGCCGAGGAGCTACAGAAGAATCTCGAGCAGTACATCGTCCAGACAGTCGACCTTGCAATGAGCAAGGCCCCTCCTTCCGGCGTCTCCCGAACAGAGATGATACACATTGTCGACGACATGATCCGCCAGGCGATCGCAAATGCCGGACTGGAGGCCCTTGCAAAGGGCACTATCGGAGCAAACTGGCACCATGAACTTAGCCGCCAGGTCAACTATCTCACAGTCGGTAGCGGTTCCATCGTCGACATCAAGCACACGTCGCCGAATTACAAGCCGGAGTTCGTCGGGCCGATAGGATCTCCCGCCTGGCTGAAGAGCACGAGACGAAGCCCCTGGGTCTTACAACCCGCCAAGACCCAAACGCGCTGGGACGATGACGGCGAATGCTGGTGCGGCCGACCAACTGTAAGCAAAAATGGGAAACACCTGGGCGTGTTCATCTCCTACTTGCTCAGTCATGAGATTGTCCCGCGGCACGTCGTCGTCGAGCACATTCTGCCCGGCGCCACCTTGAACCCCGACGCCCGGCCTCAGGACATCGAGATCTGGGCTTACATCTCAGAGATCAACATGCGCCAGCGCGTGGAGGACTTCTCGGCCAGTCATTTCCCCGAACCAGACACGGCATCACGCAAGAAGTGGTTGTCGGATGGTTGGGTCAAGATCGGCCAGTTTACATACGAGAGCAACGACACGATCAACGGAATCTACGTCCACCAGCTCAGCCCCGAATTGGTCAAGCTCGGAGCTTCGACAGATCACATCACCATTCGTGCGGTGAACAATTATGGCGCCGACCACACCTGTTTCTACAGGGTGCGTCTCTTTGGCGAGAGATTGGTTTAAATCTCAGGCGTTGGAACCCATCAGGTTTGGAGGCGCTTTTTAAGCGATAGAAGGAGGGAATTAGTGCGTTACATTACTCTTATTTTTGGCATTCTGGGATGACCGGATGGATGGAAGCTTTTTGGCGTTGGGGGTTGGTGATACCCCTGGACTCTACTTGGTCCTTTAGGCAGAGCATTTAATGATTGCGACACGTATCACTTCACACAGCCCATGTGACATTTGAGTAAAACGCTTTAATATTTCCCCTGAAATGACAATTACTTTTCCGTTCCGGGTATCTACGTCTAAAACGCACATTAATTCAACAAGCCCGCAGCCAGGGCCTCGAGATCCTCCAGCGTTTCAGGCTCGCGGTCGATCTCCAACACCTTTCCGCCCTTCTTCGCCCTCTTGGCCTTCTCCCTCTCCTCGTCCGAGTCGTCCTGGAACCACTTCTTGGTCTTCTTCTTGGGCCTCTCGTCCTCGGACTCCTCTCCGCCGCTCCTGTCCCCGGCAATCGGCAGCGACCGCAGCAGCGCCAAGGGATCCTCGCCGTCGCCCCCGTCCCCGCCGCCAACCCGCGGCCCCTCCGCCGCGCCGCCTTCCCGCTCCTCCTTCTCCGCGAGCTTGCGCTTGAGCCGCTTCTCCCGCCTCTTCTCCTTCGCGAGCTCCTTGTCGTCCAGGTCCGCCTCCTTGACGCGCGCGGTCTCGCTCTCGACGAACTTCTGGCGCAGCTCCTCCGCGGGGCCCTCCTGCTTGAAGTCGTCCTCGTTCTGCAGCTCGTAGATCTGGTGGGCGTTGCCGTCCTCGTCGAAGACGAGCTTCGTGCCGCGGCCCTTGAACTTGAGCATCTTCTTCTTGGACGAGAGCGCCTTCTCGCGCCGCTTCGAGTCGACGATGAACTGCTGATCGCCGTACGCGATGACCTTGGGCTTCGCCCCGGGTGCGTTGGCGGACTCGGCGTCGAGGGCGTCGTTGTTGAGCACGCGCTTGACGGAGAGGAAGTCGTCCTCGTCGTTGTCGTCGATTGCGGGCCCATCGACCTCGCCGTTCGCGACGAGCTTGGTGTAGTGGCCTGACAGGACGTCCTGGTTGGTGCGCTCGAACATGCGGTCGTACTTTGTGCGGACCTCCTGCTTCTTGGGCTTCTTGGGCGCGTCAGAGTCGGAGTTCTCTTCGTCGGAGGACATGCCGGCGCGCGGTGCGTTCTTGATCTTCTTGGCGTCCTCGCCCTTGCGCAGCTTGATCTGCGGCGCTCCGGGGAGACCGAGGCTGGCGGCGTAGGCGTCGAGGTCGAGCTCGTCGAACTTGAAGACTTCCTTGTCCTTCTGGAGATGCACGGAGCGGACGTAGCTGATGAAGGCCTTCTGGCCGAGGTACTTGAGGTCTGGGTTCTGGAAGCACATGCTCTGCAGCTGGTTCGTGATGCTCTTCTTCTTGCTCTCCTTGACGGTGATCTTGTTGACAGGCACCTTCTTGGCTTCGAGGCGCTTGAGCATTCCGGCCTCCTCGCTGGGGTCGAGGAAGAGCACGGCCTTGCCGTCGCGTTCGTAGCGGGCCGTGCGGCCGACGCGGTGGATGTAGGTGTCGGCGTCCTCGGGGCAGTCGACCTGGACGACCCAGTCGACGGCGGGGAAGTCGACGCCGCGGGCGACGACGTCGGTGGCGAAGAGGCAGGAGTGGTTCGCCTCGGCGAAGCGTTTCGTGATCTCCATGCGCTGCAGCTGCTTCTGCTTGCCGAGGAGGTGGAGGAGGGGGATACCGGGCTGCAGGTGTCTGAAGGACTCGTAGGCGAAGCGGACCTGCTTGCCTGAGGAGAAGAAGACGATGATCTTTGAGCGGAGGTTGGCCTTGATGAAGCCGTAGAGGGTGTCGAGCTTCTCGGGGAGCGGGGTGACGATGTAGTGCTGCTGCAGGTTCTTCGGGGTGGTCTCCTCGTGGACAGAGACGTACTCGGGGTCCTTGAGGGAGAGGCGGGCGAGGTCGGAAATCTTCTTGCTCTGAGTCGCGCTGAAGAGGAGGGTCTGGCGGGTCTGGGGCAGGTGCTCGACGAGGGCGTCGACGGCGGACTGGAAGCCCATGTCCATGATGCGGTCGGCCTCGTCGAGGACGAGGATCTGGAGGTTGTCGACGTCGAAGCCGGCGGTCTGGTCGAGGTGCTGCAGCATGCGGCCGGGCGTGCAGACGAGAATGTTCATCTTGGACAGACGCTCGGCTTCCTCCTTGAGACTCTTGCCGCCGATGACGAGGCCGGCGGAGAAGGCGTGGTTGCGGCCGACCTTGCGCAGGACGTCAAAGATTTGCGCGGCGAGCTCGCGGGTCGGGGAGATGATGAGGGCGCCGAGGCCGTCGTACTCGGTCCATCGCGCGCGGTAGAGCTTCTCGAGAACGGGTATAATGAAGGCGAGGGTCTTGCCGGAGCCGGTCTTTGCGGCGCCAAGGATGTCGTGGCCCTTGAGGGCGAGGGGCACGGCGCGGGACTGTATGTCGGTGAGGGTTTGGAAGTGGGATTTCTCGAGGCCTGTGGCGGTCGGTTCGCAGAGGGGTAGTTCGGAGAAGGAGGAGAATTCGCTCTTTGGGTCCTGTATCTCGGCGAGGAGGTGTCAGTCTCTGGGTTGCACGATTGAAGATCCAGGAGGGCGTGCATGGAGGAGACTTACAAAGTCGGCGACAGCCTTCTCGAGCTGCTCGATGCTCTGCAATTGCTGCTTCCGCTTTTCTACCCTTGTGTCCCTCTTCAGAGTCTTGGATCGCTTCGCGGGTCCCTTGGCGGGTGCCTTCGCGGGGGTCGCCATCTTGTCGTGTGGTGGTCGAACTCGCGGTGTTTTCGATGCAGAATTCCTTCGCCAAACTTCTCTGGAGGGCGGCTGGAAATTTTTTGGAGTCGGGATGCTGGGGTGGATGAAAAAAGTTCGGCATTCGGCGTCAGCGGTCGCCGTGTGTGGGGCGCCTGTCAGAGTGGCCAGCTGGATACAGCTGGCATCGCCAATTCGAACAAATTTCCTGCCACTAATCAGGGTGACTGATGTGATGAGATGGGATGTTGTTGCGATGAGAGTATGGTAATGCTTTGAAAGGAACAGACACATTGTCATTCTACTACATCGATAGCAGCTATTGCAGCATATCTAAGCAGATTGGTCGAATGGCCCACGACGTTTGCATACATGCATGCATTATTCCTGCATCAATCGCATAGCTCATCTAGGAACGACTCATTTACTGGTTTACGCTTTTAGCTAGGAAGTCCGTTGGGACAACAATATCCTGAGATAGACGTGATCAAATATTGGCTAGGCCCCTCTTCCGGCCCACTATCCCCGACAATGGGAAAAGTCTCGATAGGTTGTCCGGAAGCAAGTTGACGGGGCTGAAAATGGATTCCAGTCCTTTCAAGAACCTGAATCTGTTTATCAGGGCAGGAGATGGCTAGCATATGCAACTCTGTCCAGGTCAAAAAACCACAGGATCCGCAGAGAAGGATATGCTGTTGAGGGCCGGACTTTACTGTCATCGATTTCATATGACGAGCCTATGGGCGGGATTTTGAGGAACACCGCAGCAAAGAATCGGGTTGTCAGAAAGAATTGGCCGAGATGGCAAACATGCTTGGAGAGAATGCCATCAAAATACTGTCTAAGGGGGACTGGAGCCTGTTCAAGCCGGACGCGTTCATCCCGCCGAACAGGTGGCTGGACGGGCTAGGTACCGCCTGACAAGGCGTATATTGAGATGGTTGTCAAGGCCGAGACAGTTCCCGATGCAGTCGACTAGGCGGAAGGGGACCTGGAAGCAGCGGCAGCGAAGCCTTTGATGGTCATGAATATTTCCTCCACGCGAACCCACGTATTTAGACATTCAGCCATAGAGAAAAAGCACCAAATCTCAGAAATCTGCCACCGATGGTTAACAGCCACAACAGCCAGACCGTTGGGACTGAGGTCGTCTTGATCGCTTCGTCTCATGTGCGATGACTGATGCCGTAGATCGCGGGGTCCAACAGAGCCAAGGCGTCCTAGTCAACGGGATCTCGCATCTTGAGCAAGCTAGAGTCATGTCCGCGAGAGGATCAAAGAGACAGCTTTGTAGATCACGACTCGCAAGACGCTGACTACGCATCGGACCTCTTCCTATTGGCGTGCCTGACGCCTGTCTCGTCATTTCTGTTTCCCTGCCGTTGGGCCTAGCTCGGTCGAAGGCTCGCCTGGACCCTGATTACTGTCCGAGATGGGGGTTATTCAACCACGGACGCGTCCAATGGGATGAACTGGAAAGAAATGAAACGGGGTTCTTTGAGTGATTTGATTTCTTTAAGTGGCTGCCAAGCGCTAACACAACGCGAGAGCTCGGTTCCTGAGCGCTCCGGAAGGATAGCTCGCGTCGGGCAGGGGCGGCGCTAGGAAGGCAAGCCATTTGGCGCTTTTAGTGCCGAAGATCGACATTACAACTCGCCTTGTTGGAGAAGCAGCTTTCAACGGACTTCAAAAATACTCTGAGGAGGTCTAGTAAGAGGGGACAATAATACCGCGAGTCCATGGAATTTCTGTATTAAATCGTGGATGTATCTGCTTTCCACGATTAGCACTCATATCCATTTTTTATCTTACTCGTTTTCTATAACTTCATCCAAACTGTTCAGCCGTGTGAAGCCCTACATCAAAGCTTCATTCAACTACTTTATATCGCAAGCAATGCAACTTTCTTATCTCTTGGTCGCGGGAACCCTCCCGCTGGCCTATGGCGTTCCTTTATGTCTTTTTGGTTCAATTGGCTTTGACTGCCCGTCAAACTCGGGGTCCATATTGAGGAACTTGCCGTCCAAGTTAAAACCCAATCATTTCACCTGGACACCAGCTGGACCTGGGGATGGTGAGACTTCCCGGATCCAGCCTGCGAATCGTCACTAACTTGCCGACTTCTCAGTTCGTTCACCTTGTCCGATGTTGAATACGCTAGCGAACCACGGATTCCTTCCACACAATGGTAGGGATATTACATTAGACAAGATCAAGACAGCTTTTTCCGACGGGATAAATATGGGCGATGATGTTGCTATTGGAACATTTACTCCGGGACTGGCAACAAATCCGGACCCCAATGCAGACGTAAGCTAGACCTATGTGCCTACTTCCATATGATCATCAACCAGCACCGCAGTTGGAAGTGAAGTCAAGTGCCAAATTAACAACGCATGTTTACAGTACATCGATTTGGACATGCTAAACAAACACAATGTCATCGAACACGACGGAAGTATGTCTCGCCGCGACGAGTACTTCGATCCAACGAACCCATTTGACGCGGGAACATTCAACCAATTTCTTTCCTACTTTGGCAATGCCCAAACCTTCGACGTTACGTCAATATCCAACGCTCGTGCCCGCCACATTCAGCAGATGAGCCTGCTCAACCCGACGATGAATGTTACCGAGGCGAGGGAGGGGACATCGGCCGGAGAGTGTGCTTTCATGCTAGCTGTCTGGGGCAGCCCGGACAACCCAGTAGCCAAGAGGTCTTACTTTGAGTATTTCTTCCGTGAGTTAGACACACATACTAGAAGACGAAATGTATGATAAACTGACCAACTATGTCCAGGGAACGAGAGATTTCCAGTGGTGCTGGGCTGGTCCCCGACCAACACTGCGCTCACGATTTCGACACTTTTGCAAATTGCCCAGGACATAACTGACGCTAGTCCTGCCGGTGTTCCGTTGACCTTCACGCCAAAAGCGGCTTCTTGAACACAGCATTTTTAGATGCCGAATTAAATCGACTCGACATTTTTAGTGGGGTAGATCGTGGTGGGAAAAGCACATGGCATTTGACGTTTTTCCATACATAACTGCGTCACCGAATCTAAGCTGAATCCCTATTGTCCTGCTCTCTGATTCATCAGCGTCTGACTGTGATCTCTGTTGTGCATACGATGCCCTTCGCATTGGCTTCTCTCAATATGGTCTCTTCGCTTGTTGATCGGTCGGATTTGGGCTTCCCGAACATGATGCTCGCGGTTCGAGTTGGACCGCCTTTGATCATCGCTTGATGCGTATCATCAATCCCTGCTAACGCTCTGTCTTGAAGCTCAAACTCTGGGGAGTCTTGGCTTGTTTGTTCCATGTACCCACGACGCCGCATCGTCGAGTTGAGCCTGTTTGTGGGGTAGCGGTTTTCGTAAAGATTCGCTTTGTATCTATCGGTCGACGAAATCTTCAGGGCGCGGCCCAATAACGGTTTCAGAGAGGGTGCGCAAGCCGCAATGATGGCGAGGCAGAACTGGACGCTGCAAAAGTACTGTAATTAGCCCATGTGTAAAGCGCCGATGAGCATGCCTCCATGACTCCAGAAATACTCACAATCCCCAGAACTGAACGCTGTTCTTGCTGCATGAATGTTTGAGTCAGATTATTTGCTGCCGAAGGCTTCCAACTGCAAGCATGCATGGAAAACGTACAAAGTTCCGTCCTTTTCTCCGCCATAAGCAATCTGAAAGACTGCAGTTATAACACCAACTCCCACAGCGCTAGTTTGTGAGCAGAGAATTCTCCAAGTGACTAGTCTCGAACTTACCAATAACCGAGACTCAGAATGCCAATCAAATAGATTCGAGTTCGTCGCTTCATCTGCAGTGTCCAAATTACGGGGATGGGCAGGACAGCAAAGCAAACGTCTGTGAACATGCAAGATGCTGCGTTTTGATTGTTGGTAATGGGCAATCATGAAGATCGCACGGGGACTTACAGGTATAAAATAGACCAGAAGAGATAAAAAGCTTGATGTCATAACATTCGGGCTCGAGACTCTTGTCCCAGTACCCGGCCAGGGGCTTGCAGTAGAGGGCAATAGTGACCCAGGCAAAAATTCCACATAGCACGACAAATACTGTGTTTTGGATTAGTGGTTAATCCAAATGTTGATGTCGAAGGTTTTACCGATCAAGGCCCACAGTGAGCGTGAATACCATCGACTCCGGCTGAATCTCAGGAGGGATAATGCGATGGATATTTTGAGCAAGCTGCGACCGGCAACACCCGATATGTTGGAAAGGTAGAAGCTCAGTTGCATGATCTCAGTCACGTTGGCCTCGGACAGAGTGTCCTGGTGCTTTCCCATCCCGCGGATACCTTGCATGATCAGGAGAAACATACCGACAGTGGCGAGAATCTACGCCATCAGCACTAGTCGGCACAGAAAAACGTAGATAAGCAATGAAGACGCCTGAGATACTCACAACAGAAGCAACCAAAACATAATCATCTCGGCCGATGGTCTTGGCCAGAAACGCCCGCGTGTAAAGTCGAAGGCTGGCAAATATCGCAGCAATGATGTATAGAGAGCCCGTTACTCCAAGAATCCATTCTGTGTTACTTTCTCGTGCTCTATCCGGATCAATCGAATGCTTGGGATTAGTCGACATGACAACTGACTTTTCGCGGGTAGAAGTGTTAAGTTGAAAAGAGACGCAGAGTTTGAGACGACTACCAAAACAACTACCCAAAAATTGGGCCGATGGCCACTGAGTAAAAGGGGTTTGAGAACCAGCAGAAGAGATACTACATTTTGTGCGTGACCGCGCAAATCGAACCACAAGCCAGCTTCTGGGATCTGGAATAGTTGGAATGCCTCCCACCAGCCCGAGGCGAACATCATACGTGCCTTCCGAAAAGAGCAAAGGCACGAAATCTAGGCCTCGATCTTCTCCACTGGCGCAAAAGGTCGGCTGTCTCTCTCCGGCAATGCCTCGAGCCTGCAGTATGGCTTACATACCTCTGACATCTTAGAAAGCTCCAAGGCCTTCGTTCTAAGTTGCTGGTTGGCGAAATGACGTTTGCTCCTTGAAACCTCGAGAGTCCGGATCTGTTGGTGTCAACGAGACCTCAAAGGAAGGGTTCCGAGTGGCGAAGGAATACACCATTGTGGGCATCTCATTTGCCATGATTGCAAGGTTGTTTGTGAGCCTGGTCTTTGAACCAACAGCCAAGAGCGAAGAACCAGGTTTGGCATTGCCCGCATCCGATCGCTCCGAAATCAAAGAGGTTGTTGCGGTTGAACCTCTCGATTGGAGTGCTAAATCACTTCTACAACATATCTAAGGAGACCAAGTCTTGAAAGGCTTACACCTTAAGTGCTTACGACGTTGTCACCTTGACTATCTATTTGGTTGAAAGAAGCATACTATGTCGACTCACGTCCCGCAACCTAATCTGCTCCACATCCGGCGACTTTGGATGGATATACGAATCTACCCACCGTTTAATCTATAAAAATGGGCTTATCTGATCATTCTTGCTGCGTTGGTGCTACCCGTCAACCTCAACCTGTGATATCGTGCAAATACTTCGCCACAGCTCCAACAGACTTGGACTTCGGCGAAAGTCAAAAGAGGTCGCGCCGAAATGTGGATCAAACCCCGGGCCAGATTGAGTGTCGTGGGGCGTAGCATCCTGGGCCGAGCATGGCTTTTGCTCGAAATAGCAGGTCGTCCGACCCCCGGTTGGCCACCCGGACCCGCGCCCGCATCTCCAACATTCGGGGCGGATATGCGGCACAACGGCGACAACGAAGTCGAAGACGTTGAAAAACGGCAAAGATCGAGAGAAAACTAGGACTTGCCTGCATCAATTGCCGTCTGACAATTGTCTGCGGGTCATCATAGACATCGCTGTATCTCTAGGTCGTTGCTAGTGCTTACCAACGATGTGACCCTGTTCGTGCCTTTCCCAGGTTCTGGATTTATCCATGCCATTTGACCATATCGCTTCTGCAAGACTGACTCCACGCGAGCCAACCAACATCTTGTCCAACATGCAGGCAAGGTCAGGGTTTAGAAATTTTCGTGGAATCCACGAGCCCGCCGACATCCGCAACCGGCTTGGTTGCCATTTTGGCACAAGTCAAATGAATCGTGAAAGTCGGGCGAACCCGTCCCGCCTGGGGAGGGCTGAAAATGACCGACGCAGATGAGATAAATATAAGCTGCAGCGTCCCAGCCAACGACGAGCCGAGTTCTATTCGTTAGCTCGCTGGCTCATTCCCTTCACCGAACAAGTTAAGCCGCCACGTTTGGTCTCAACTTTCACTGCCTCGAGATGCGTTTCGCCAATTTTCTTGCCATCTTGGGTCTTTGCGCCAGCCCAGCCCTGGCCATTGATGGCGACGAATTGTCAGACATCCAGGCCCAAGCCATCGAGGCTCTTCAAGCTGCCGAAAGCGACGGCACCCTCGGAAAGAGGGGTGGATGCAATTTGTTCAACGCACGTGTCCGGAAAGACTGGTAAGTGACCCTAGAAGTCGGACGTGTTTGAATCCACGCATCCCTAACGGCGCTCTTCATCAGGAATGCCTTGTCCGGCTCAGAAAGGAAAGCATACACGAGCGCTGTGAACTGTCTTCTGAGAAAGCCATCCAAGCTTCAAGCTTCAGGATTTGCACCCGGTGCGAGGAACCGTTATGACGACTTTGTTGGCGTTCATATTAATCAGACCTTGAGCATTCATGGAACTGTGAGTAGCTTGCCATCTAGACGAGGCCATGTCGCATCAGCTAATCTGGTTACCGCAGGGCAACTTTCTCACATGGCACCGATACTTCACCTGGGCCTACGAGAACGCGTTGAGGGAAGAGTGCGGCTACGAAGGATACCAGCCTGTGAGTCGCCATTTGTTCCAAAGCAAAGAAAAGATGCCAGAATATTGACCGTGTCTTAGTATTGGAACTGGCTGTCATACCGCGATGACCCCTCAAAGGCACCGATGTTCGACGGGAGCGAGACCAGTATGAGCGGCAATGGTGTCTTCAAGGCCCATAACGGTAGCACTTCTGGCGGTGGAGTTTACATTCCCTCGGGCGATGGTGGCGGCTGTGTTACCAAGGGACCATTCGCGAAGTAGGTCCATTCATCCAACGACTGGCAGCCACACAGTTGACAAGGCTTTAGCATGACAGTTCACCTCGGACCTGTTGGGCCCGGAATTGATGGCCTCGCCGTCAACCCCGGTGGCCCACTCGCTTACAACCCTCGATGCCTTTCCCGAGACATTAGCGCCTGGACATCTCAGCACTGGATGACTCCGGAGAACGTTTTGAACCTTACCGTTGGCGCCGCTGCGGCAAACGTCAGAACATTCCAGGATGAGCTTCAGGGTCGCTTTGGAGACGGTTTTCTCGGAACGCACACCTCGGGACACGTATGTCAAGCTCTCTTGTGACCAGCCCAAGTTGAAAATAGTGGAAACTAACCGCCTTTCAGATGATTGTTAATGGCGAGGCATCTGACCTTTATTCGTCCACCAATGACCCGACCTTCTTCCTTCACCACGCCATGGTGGATCGTGTTTACTGGCTTTGGCAGGCTCTGCATCTGACCGAAGCGTTCAACATCGCGGGTACCATCACAATCCTCAACAACCCCCCGAGCCGTGATGCCCGACTCGATGATCTTGTGATCCAAGAACCCAACGCGCCCAACCGGCCTATCAGTGATCTGCTCAACACAATCGGAGGAAGTCCTTTTTGTTACATCTATCTTTAATATAGACGGGACGTCATAGCTATGATTTCACCATAACTCTATTAATTGATAATACAATTATTCAGATCAAAGTCATTTCACTGAAACTGCCATTGAATGATATGAAATGTGTCTTCAGCGCAACGCATAAATTCTGCGCTGACTTGCTTGCTTGTCCAACTCCTGAAGCTAGCTGAGCGCCGTTGATGCAGTATGCTGTTGGCTTTGAACGCGCGTAACCACGTAGTATTAATATTTAACCAGGAAATCGATCCCTTTATTGACCATTCTCCGCCTACCAAATTGAAGAGGCAGTGGAAGCTATGCATTGATGGCCCTGATTCGTAATGGTACCCACTGCACTTATACGCGTGTAAGGCCATTTCGGCCTCAGCCTAGCACAACAGCAATCCGGTTCCGTGCACTTGTTAGTCCCACCTACTATCTCATGGAATTTGACATGTTGTTGATAAAAAGGATGATTTTTCCTCGGCATGATCTTGCTGAGGTCAATCGAGAAGGCATCTTACATTTTACATCATGTTAGTCAAACACCTTCTTACGACCATCTTCCTGCTGGGCGCCGTCTCAGCAGACTCCTTTTGCAAAACCACCCCATTCGATGCGACATGGCCAACGACTGAGGATTGGAATGCACTGAACCAATCCCTTACCGGGGCGCTTATCAAGACTCGACCGGCTGCATCGTCCTGCTACGAGGGGAATCCGTTCGCCTCAACTTTGTCTTGCGAAGCAGTTGATGACGGCTGGTCCTCGAGCAGCTTCCATGCACAACAGCCAGAGTCGATAGACTATCCTTTTTGGGCCAATAGCTCTTGCGTTCCTCCCAGTGACTACGGGTATAAAAGTCAAGGATGCACTCTGGGAGGTTTGCCTGGGTTCATCGTTAACGCCACGAGTGCCGATCAAGTTGCAACTGCTATGAGATGGGCTAGCGGCCGCAACATTCGGATCATTGCTAAGGGAACTGGACATGATCTCAATGGAAGGTATGAAGTTGTCCCACGACATTCGGATCGATAGACCTAGCAGCTGACCAGGAATTAGATCTAGCGGTGCCTAAGCGTTATCGATCTGGACCCATCAATTTCGACACATCGAATTCAACCCTCAATGGCCTGTTCCTCTAAGCAACGACACGGAGAATGCGGTGATACTTGGCAGCGGTAACAACTGGGGGACTATTCTCCAGGCTGCTTCTCTTCTTGGCAGGACTCTCGTTAGTGGTCAAGTCAAGACAGTAGGCCTGGGTGGCTTCATTGGCGGGGGTGGCCACGGCCCTCTTTCGAGCCACTATGGTCTGGCAGCCGATCAAGTCCTCCAAGCCACCGTGGTGACATCTTCGGGTAACATTCTCGTCGCCAACGAAGCTCAGAACCAGGACTTGCTGTGGGCGATCCGAGGTGGTGGACCGGGGGTTTACGGAGTCGTTGTCGAGTATGTCTTGCGCACTCATCCGATACCTGAAAACGTGGTCCAGTCTACATTCTCCCTGTCGCTGCCCCAAAACAGCACAACGCAAGCTCTCGCCGCATCTTGGGACGCATTCGCGACTTTCACAAGCTCACTACCCGACCTCTTGGACGTAGGCATTGCAGGGTTTGGGACAGCAACGACGGTGCTGGGCTCTCGGGTGTCTGCTGGCGACTGTAGCAAGGGTATCGGGGCATCTTTCACCTTCTTCGGCTTCAACACTACCGCAAGCACTCTAGTTTCTACTTTGGAACCATTGAAGGCACGCGTATTGGCAAGTGGAACAAGTCAGGGCCTGTCCGTGACCATCTCAACCCCGACGGTTTTCGATTCATACATGGCTTTCGTCAACAGCCTCAACAATCCATCGGAGCCCGTGGCACAGATCAGTTTGATCTCTAGCCGTCTCCTCGGTCGCAAAGAGCTGACTGAGATTCCTCCTGATACCCTGCGCTCTCATCTACAGAGCATTGCCACCTCGCAGATACAAGGAAGCGCTTCATCCCTCATCTTCGGGCTCCAAGGAGGCCCTGGGCCGAACCGGGTTGAGAAAAAGATGCGTGGAGCTGTGACGCCAGCTTGGAGGGCAGCGTACATCCACCTCATCAGCACTGGGGCGTACGTCAACATCACAGACTCCACACCCCAGGATGCTTTGGCGACCGCAGCTGCATGGACTGAAGAGAATAAGGAGGCTGTCTGGCGTAAGTGGGCGCCTGGATCTGGACACCAATTTCAAAGAGGACTTTTTCGGTTGGAACTACGAGCGTCTATTCGATATCAAGCAGAAGTACGACCCCAGTGCTAGTCTGTTCGTTCTTTCGGGCCCCGGAAGCCACTTGTGGAACTACAGTCTGGATTCTGGCAGACTATGTCGTACGTCGTAGATTGCTGGGGCATCCGCATAGGGCCTTTCACTGTGGCTGGAAGCTGCGAGCCGGCTGATCATTTTGAGGGTATTAGTCCATGCGAACATGGATAATGCAGATTAGTGTACTTCTTCGCAACCAAGAATGCCCAAGCTTAAGATGGACGCAGCATGATTTGGTGCTGATCTCATAATTCAATCCAAGCCTTCACTTATAACCGCAAAATGAACTCACGGATTCATGGATGTATTGAGACATAAGTCATAACCTCAGTCAAAGTAAAGCACAAGCTAGGATTCTATCAAAACTTGCAAAGGCCACCTTAGTGCATCCTGCCAGAATGACCCAATGCTGCTGGCAACTAGATGAACGACGGAGGACCCGGAACTACCAAACGCCCAGTATTGTCGATACCTGTGCAATGTGGCAGCATAAAATGCCAGTACAACAAGAGCTTCTGGTTGGTGCTGATGAAGGGCCTCAACATACTCGTCCGTAACGTACAGGGGCCATGCCATAACAGCGTGAACACCAACATCGAATCTTGCCGGCTCCTGTTGAGCCATGTCCAAAACCCACTGCACACCTCCAAGTGCACCTAGACAAGCTTCTGTGGCTGATGATGATGTTGTCATCCCCGTGAGAAACTCTTTCAAATGGCTCGTTTCTGTGCCTGGTGTTTGTGACTCTATCCGCTGCGATAGGGTTGCAATGTACAACAAAGGCTTCAAATCCGATCGCAGAATCTCTGGCCAATATTGACCCGTCACGGCTCGGACACCGCGATGAAGACGACAGTACCTAACGAAGCTTTTCACAAAGTCTGCCAGTGTTCCGTATTCCGTTTTCAGGGTCTCATAAAGGACGTGTATGCCCAGAAGTGAAGCGAAAATGAACGTGGGCATGTAGGTAGTCTCCGAAATATCGCCCTTGGCTTCAGCGAACAATTCCAAAGATCGCGTTTGGAGCTCGGTGGCTTGATGATTGAAGAGGCTTGCCTGAGCAACACCTCGCGTAGATAGATGGAGCGCAGACAGCGCAAGAAGTTCGTTCAATAAATAAGGGGCAGTAAACGCATGTTCGATGGCGGTGTTGATCAAAGGCCGTACATCGCCCTTCAAGGCCATGAATTCAGCCATGTGAGACTCAGCGTGATGGAGAAGGGCCATGTGCGCCACAGTGAATGTCGGTGGCTCGCTTTGCAGACTACTCGTCAATTGCTTAGGAACGACGGCAACATTTGCCGCCGCACTGCTCGGAGGAGTGGGGCTTTTGACTGTCCCTGACGGTAGTTTGTCTTCGTATGTATCGGTCTTGAGAAACGAACAGACCCGATCGCTCATGACGCAGTTTCGGCATTCTGGGCGGGTCTCGTCGCATTTGACGTGCCGCCGTTTGCACCCGGCACAGCCATTTCTCGACTTTTTGTGGGACCGACGACCTCCTGGATGATGATCATGCTGCTGCTTTGGCATCGGTAGTGATGCTGCGCGGAATGAGATGAATCAAGAAGAGGTTAAGGAGGAAAAAGTGCAAATACGCGGGTCTGCAAAAACGTAAGAAGTAGGCTGCAAGTAGAAAGGTCTGGTTTGTGCCGTGGCGCGATTCATATTCGCAGTCTCTACACTAAAGCTATCTGTCGATGGGGCTAGATGCGGGTTGATGCTTGTTTCGTACATCGTGGCTGAGGCCTTGTGAGATCCAAATTTTGCCTTACACGCGTATTAGTTATCAAGCTCCACTTTATTTCAGAGGCTACATAGATTGCCGTGGAAAGAAGAACGGATTCGGGAATCACATCGATTAGTTGCCCGCGTCTTGCTTCACGCGGTGTTACTGTGGATGATCAGAGCATATTGTGCAAGGAACTTCATAAATTTTAACGGAAGGCTCGTGAGTGAGTGAAGATCTCATCATATTGCACAGAGTCGCTTATGAACTGACGGTATCGCTTGACGACCCCGCAGCGATCCTAACCGGGCCCGAAGTGTTGTGTACCGATCGGCGTTTTCGACCAACTCCGGTTTCCGATGAAGGCTCCCCCACTCGCCCGAAGGTCCCGGTCTTGTGAGCCGTTCTCCGTCGACGGGGCCTCGATTCAGTCCCCGGAGGATTCAAATGCTCCGCTCGAGGTTCCGATCGAGGTGAAGCAGAGCGAGGAAGATATCGACATTTAATGAAGATTCCGTTTTCGTCCGTAATGATGGCTGGCCAAACCACAAGAAGCCCCGATCGAGGCTCTTTTCCACGTGGCTACCTACCTATTTATTATTGCTACTATAGTTGGCATGCATGTAAACTGCGTCATACTTGAAAGTGCGTCTAGTCAAGTTTATGGACAATCTTCAGCTTTTAAATACAGCGAAAGCGACCGATATACACGGCTTTATTCCACCTTAAGATACCGCTTGAAGCGGCCCCAGAAGACCTCTCGACTCGATGACATCTAGCAGGAAAGACTCTGACCACCGAGAGCTACGTATGTACGCCAATCACCTTGGAATATATGGCAACGCGAGAATTGATATTCGAAAGATCTAGCGATAGCTGCGCCTAGGAGAGACACCCACACGCCCATCGAAATACCCATCGGGATACTCATTTCCACAAATGGCTGGACGGCTAAGGTAAATGACGGAGTAAGACGAGGGTTCTTCCCCCAAGAGTACACTGAAATCCTTTTCTAGAACGCAGGCAATAGTGTTCAGTGAGTCCAAAATCATATTGCAGGTACTGTTTGATAAAAATATCCGGGGCGGAACGCCGAAAAACCTGCGATATGCGGACACGAAAAATGTATTCGGCACGATAAACGTGTCTCTGGTGCTATTGAGGCTACTGAAATGCTGTCGGGATTGACGCACCTGCGTTTACGCAGAGCAGATATTCCTGGGATTCCACATCCTTTAAACCATTGTCATGATGGAACAGTCTTACGGGCTGAACGAGCACATCCCCAAGTGAATGGTGTGCCCTATCTCAAGCTAGCTGCACAAAGCGGCAGGCCCGGATGGTGAGATCGATTGAGTGGGTCTCGTCAATAACGAGAAAGTAAACTATTGGGGCGCATCGGTCTCACATTTCCGAACTACCGACGGATCGCATCCTTAACCCAAATTCCACGTCGCAGGATGTCTCGGCGACCACCTCACTCTCCATCCCTTCATTAACCTTAGATGACAGCCCAAAGCGAATGTAACATCGGATAGGCACTTGACCAGGATCAAAAGGTTATTCTGAGGACTAGGCTGGGCTGAGCTGAAAGCCAGTTGCGTTCGTAGAAGCTTTGCGGCTTCTCGCCTTCAGCTTCTCGCGACAAACTTCCGCCGAGTATTAGCACGTTCGTCCCAACTCAGAACGGTTTGCAGGTCAGATCGGCATTTCCCCGCTAACTCTCAACGTTTCTCACCGCCATTGGCGGAGATGACTGCTGTCTACCGGGAGTTCTTAGTTTTACGACCATTTTGCCAAGCCACTAGAGCCAACTCCGCAAAGGCGCGGACAAAAGTTGCCCAACAGGAAGAAATTCATCAAGACCTTGTCTCTTGGCAGGTTACAACCGTCCCAAAACAGCCGCCCAGATCCGAGGTCAGCGGGGGACCTCAAGAGCCCTTGCAATTCTAAACGCGCTTTGTGGTCTCAAGTAGAGTTAAGCTTACTCCCGCAACCACCCAATGTCGCATTAGACATAGAGTAAACAACGCCTTGCGCCTCCTCCAAACCATCGCGACTGGCGGAAGAACGTTCTAATAGCTTGGCAGGACACGTCGTATATGAAAGAAAAGCTCGGCCGACCGGAGCGGAACCAAGCTACGCCATTCTCGATATGGAAGCTGCAACTCAATCGGGGATATTCCTGATGAAATAGATTGAGCTCACTATTCAGCGATATTTGTATTAAATCACCCGTGTCTCCGCCGTTTGCTTGAGTCCGTGGATCACTGCCAGTTTCTCTTTGCTGCCCACTTATACCACTGTCTTCGACCCTCCGGCCCGTGCAAACCGCAGATCGTCATCATGAAGTTTTCCACAATCTTCGCGTCTCTGGCGCTCAGCGCCGTGCAGATCACGGCTGCTCCCGCACCTGAGCCGGCTCAGCTGGAGGCTCGCGCGCCCACTCTCTACCTTTGCGGTGACAGCACCATGGCCCGCAGCAGCGACTCCCAAATGGATGGTTGGGGACAGTATGTTTCCAAGTACCTGAACATCGCCGTCGTCAACAGAGCCATTGGTGGACGTTCCTCCCGTTCATTCTGGAACGAAGGCCGCTTCCAAAACGTCGCGAACGAAGTGAAGTCCGGAGATATTGTCGTCATTGAGTTCGGCCACAACGATGTCGGCTCGCCCCGCTCCAACGACAACGGTCGCTCCGTCTGCCCTGGCGAGGGCACCGAGACTTGCGTCTCCGACACCACCGGCGAGACGGTGTACACCTACGTCTTCTACGTCATCCAGGCTACCAAGCTCTTGAGGGCCAAGGGTGCCACCGTCATCCTCAGCTCCCAGACCCCCAAGAACCAGTGGTCAACCGGCAGCTGGGTTGGCACTCCTTCTCGCTTCGTCGCTATGCAGCTCAAGGCGAAGAACACTCTGGCCGACTCCGGCGTCACCTTCGTCGACCATCACCAGGCTGTCAGCAACATGTACCGCAAGATGGGAGCTACCGCTGTCAACGCTCTTTACATCAAGGACAACACCCACACCAGCCCGGCTGGCGCCGACTTGAGCTCCCAGGCTTTTGTTCAGGCCATCTCTCAGAACATGAACGGCACCACCAGCTTGGCTGCTCATGTCAAGACCCCGGTCAAGATCGTCTACTAAACGAACGGTTGATGCTCATGTCTAGAGTCAATCGAAAAAGCTGCATTGCCTTGCCTGGAGAGGTGCCAGTAGAGCACAGCTCAACCTCTTATTCACTGTAAATATTATACGGAAGCTCAACTTGTACATATTTAGGCACTCCCGTGCATAGCCTAGCCGTATCTACTGAATCACTTCATCTTTCTCCCTCCATCTTAAGTGTTCACATCTATGTCTGAATCACGCCTGTACGAATCCCCCCCCTTCCTGGCAAAACAATACATTTGAAACAGAACTGCGTGACTTGAATGAGATTAGGGAACTAGGAACTTGTATCCAATTCACTGGCAAGTCGTAATAGCATCGCCTCTAGCAAACGCTTGGCGAGTGTTAGACTACTCTCGTCCCCACCTCCATTGTCCCCGGCGCCCGAGGAAACTCCACATGTGACTCACGATTCACTGTGATCTGCGCTAAGACAATCTTTCCCACGAGCCTACTCAGCTAATGGAAATGGTCTGGTGGTGTAGTTGGTTATCACGTCAGTCTAACAGCACAGAATGTCTTCAGACGTTCTCTCTGGTTCACTGAAGGTCTCCGGTTCAAGTCCGGGCTAGATCATATGCAATACTTTTTGTCGGCTTGTACCTATAAAATTGGAGGATGAATACTTATTTATGCATTGAAAAATACGCAACCTGTGCGTTTCTAAGTGCGTCACAAACCACACGAAGCGCCTTACTTCCATTGGTATGACTGATAGCGCGTCACTCAGACATAACCCCCGTCCGACTGGTTATCATATGAACCACAACTAGATGTGATTATGATGGCTTAAGTGACGGCCGCAAACATCGTCGTCACAGACGGCAATGCAGCACCGCCGGCACCAATCAGTCTTCTTAGCGTTGGTCTGGTTGCCACACCAGAAACACCAGCTAGGCTGCTGACCTTTCTGAACTAACATTTCAGAAAGATCTTCTCGAGCCTGGCGACTTGCAGTACCGACAATCTCATCAAGAACCTCGCCTCTGGACATGTCCGATTCAAGCCTCGGTAGCCACTTCACCCACGGGATCCACGATCCCGCCGTCTTAGCACCCATGACTAGAAACTCGCCAGCAATGTCTTTTCGCACAAAAATCAAGCTTTCTAAACCGCCCAGAATATCGTGAGGCTTCACTTCATGCCCTCGCTTTTGGGCCTGTTCGAGGACAAATGAGCGGATAGTTTGGCCAATGATTCGACTGACCATTGTAAGGTTTCCTCTGATGGTTAAGTCGAGCGTAGCCAGAGCTTGGATGAGGTCCGCGGTAGCAACTGGCTTCTGAAATTGGCTCTGCCATTTTTTGACTGCCACTGTCCGCGATATTCCAAGAATGCCCAACCTCTTCAGAAACTGGCCGCCGAAGTCGACAGCTGTTCCTTGGATGCCGGTGGCTTTCCCAAAGAATACGATATCAGGGCTTGCAACATGGGAGTATTCTTCTCTGTGAAATGAAAAGGGGGCACCGCAGCGAATGGCGGTTAATGTTTCGTCCACGGCAAGCAGGAGATTCTCCTCCTCGCAAATTGAAGCCAAGCGCTCCAACAGTACGGGGTCTAGAATTCGGCCGTTGTATTGATTTTCGACGATTTCAACAATGATTCCTATGCAGCCTTGCTCTTTGGCTTCGTAGAGCTGATCTCTGAGTTCGTCGTCCGACACGCCTTCAGTATGGAGGAGTATCGGATCGTGACCGTAAGGCTTCTGGGTTGAAGAAAACCTCAGTACTGGCTTCTTTAAACTTCTCTGTCAGGCTGATCATTGCTCGTTTCTTACGAGAAGACTTACATACAACTGAGCTTGAGACTGTGGTAGAGGCTGCAGCCGCGTACGTGTCCGACAGAAGGGCCCATCGAGGTCGCTTTGCCTGGATATCCTCCCAGCCAAGTCGTTTTAATGTGTCGTCTTCATCCGTAAAGGGGCTCTCAGATGAGTCTGATGACTCAGACATGGAGATCTCTGCAAGAGTCAAGATGAGTTTTACAATGTTTTCCGGGTTCATTGCCTTGCTGATGGTAACCCCATAGTCAATGGGGTAAAACCCCCCAAAGTAAGCTCTAGCCGTGTTTTAGTAGTCTTCCAGGCTGTCTGCCATACCATGACTGAGGAACCTACGCGAAAGCTTCTTCATAAGAGTGAAGCAGTTCACCGTAACGGCGCTCTAATCCTATGCGGTTTCCAAGATATTCGCGCCAGAGAGGATTGTGGAGTGTCAGCGACTGCATCTGCTCGAAACATAGAATGCTGCCATCGCAGTTGTTGAAGTCATGATTGAGATTGCGGAGCGGAAGGCCGGCAGGTACTGCCATGTTGTAGCCTTGATCAGTTGACATGACGATTGTTATTTGAAGTCTGTGGCTTTGCGCAACTGATGTGTTGGAATCCACAATGAGGGATTTCCCTGACTTGTTTTGTTGAATATCGATGTTTCAAAAGCACGATTGAAGTTTTCCTTTCGTCAATGTACCACTGCTTTGGCTGACCATGAACATACCAGAGCCAAAGATGTCAAAGTGTATGAAGTGTCGTCGTTATATGGTACCTGATATGACCATTCAAATAACAGTTGTAGATATAATTCATACTGGAAGATGGCCATGATTGCTATACTTAGCCAAATGTTGCTGCCTTGAAAGTCCGCCCCCTGCTTGCGCCCGAGATAGCAGTCAACCTAGAATGGTAGAGCCAATTGGGGCACCTCGTGAGGTGAGGTCATGAGACTGAATGGTTCTAGGCCCTGTTGTGATATGTCGTTTCGTGTCCAATCGGCACAAAGAGTCACATGGCCTCGAATAGTGTGATGTGGAGTGCTTGTTTTGACTTCAGAGGCACGCTGGAATGCGTCGACGAACAAGAATTGACAAGGGTTTCAGTAAGGGGCTTCTAGGACCGAGGTTTATACAACGAGACTGAATGAATGTTGAAAAGAGGCCAAATGATAAGGCAAGATGCCATGGCGCCGAGACGTCATGGCAGAAGCCATTACACATCCCTTCCAACAGCATCTGCATGTACGCTTAGATACTTTTCAACTTGCGTTCAACTCGTAAATGCCACCAATAGAAGCTTTCCTTTCCCAAGGCGTACTTACCATGAATGTGGTCAAATCCACAGCATCCCTAAGGAAGCCTTATGTGAAGTGGCAGAGCCCCTTGGTCGTCAAATTGCAGTGCAGTCAATGGCCTGGATCCCGAGCCACGTGAGTATGCGCAGTCCAGTTCATTCGTTGAGTCTTCGGACATGTCCGACGTAGGGGCGAGTGAACTGGACAAAACCAATTGACCAATGATCCTCCCTTGTCACAGGTCCCTGCTTAGGAAACATGTAGTTGGGACGATGTACGTGATGAGGTGCTGCAAAAGAATGAGATGATTCCTGTCCAGGCAATCATTAAAATCCAAAGTCAGCCTTACACATCTCAAACGCCTTGCAACCGCCTGCCCGGGGCGAATAATCGGGCTCACCCCTGTAGGTCAGACATTCCTCCGCCGTAAGCCGAAGGGATCGGCCCCGGCGACCCACACCTGATCGGCACCCCGCAGGGGGTTGCCCCAATCCTGACCCCGAATCAGGCCGTCATCCCTCCGATCGCCGCCTGTCAGTATCAATTCGTTCTGGATCGGGGCAGTGTACAACGGTCGAATAACTTGATCGCATTCGTCTGTTTCTCCTGTTCATGCGCGTTTGCGATGAAGAAGTCCCCCAAGCCACCCACTGAGGCGCCACTCGCAAATCTCCGCGAAACGATCAGTCGAGCTCAACTCTAAGCTGATGTTAGCAATTTGCCACATCGCTGAGCCCTTTGCGACCTTTTTTCTTGGGATACCATTGGATCAAAAGCGACTTTCCGCCACTGGTCTCCCATCCATGGCCACGAGATGTGGCTGGTGTTGGGGCTCATGACGACTAAGTGCCCAAGGGAATGATGGGAGATTGGCGTGTTCTGTCTCTGTAGACATTGGCTGCATTTCGAGGTGACTCTGGAAGAATCAGCCATGGTTGGGGTCATCTTGTTATGGATGGCCACATTTGAGCTGTGATATCAGGATGTCTCCACCTGTTCATTTCTAGGGGGGCAATCTGCATCTCGAGTGTGGACAAATCTACGCCCAATCAGTATGTAATAATAATTTCTGGATGAGTTCCTCCAGGCTACTGGTGTATGCATAATGCGATGCGATGATATTCATTACCCAAGATGCTTCAAGATGTCCTGCACATTATTCCAAATCATGTACCCTTCCTCCCAGGGAGCTGCATGCCGGCCCTCACATCGGGTGCCTCTGACTACATGCAAGCCGGCAATTCCGTTCAGGCGAGCTTCAAGCTTATCGGCCTGGTTCGTCGGAACCAACTGATCTTCCGCGCTCTGGTCTATCATGATGAGGCGAGGTACCTTTCCGGACTTGACTCTCCGTTCGAGCTCATCAACAGGGACATGGGACGGACTTGGAGCCTCCCACTTTGCTTGGTCTGGTCCGAATGTGATGCTCTGAAATCCTTGATAGACTTCCTTGAGGCTAGCATGCGATGACCCCAAGTCATGTACAAGCCCCGGCAGATCATACAATCCGTTCATTCCCACAACCGCCACGGGCCGAGGGGGCTCCATAGCAGCGTCGAGGCCCCAGGCTTGTGGTGACCGGAGAGTCGACTGGAAGGCAAGACATGCGCCAGCACTATGGCCTGAAAGGACGTATGAATCATCATGAAGACCAAGCGTGCGTAGAAAAGCGAATCCTTGAAGAACGTCGCGGATATGGTCGGGATGATGCCCATCTCTCGACGGATCTGAGCTATCTCCCTTGGTCGGATCGTAAGGCAAAGTTGGATGAGTTGGAAATGGCGACAGCGTATAGTTCATTGAGATGATCGCAGTGATTGGGTGTTTCGTGTCGCTTCCAGCAAAGGCATGAGCCGCGGCAGGTTCAATAGAAGTTGAGGTAAGTTCAGGGTCTCGCCATGCCCCGCCATGGATATGGACCTGCCAACAAGGAACGCCGTCGGCAGGTGAATATGACGGCAGATTGGCGACTGGTTGTCCAACGAGGTTGTTTGTTTGATTCGTCTTTGGAAGGTAGATGTTAAGGGTCTGAAACCTGTGGCCATTGTTCACGTAAGGCAAGTTCAGAACTGCGACCACCGGCACAGGCTGGTCTAGGTTTGGGCTCTTAACCTCCGTCAACTGCCACTGGGTGTTGTTAAAGCTCGCCATTCTGACGGCAATCAATTAGAAGAAGTGAAGTTCAGTAGCACAACTAGATGCACAGGACAAGAAGTCGAAGTATATAAGCAACTGACCTGAAATGACCTGGCATACCCGGATTTAAGTACCCTCCTAATGGTAAGTGCTGACGACTAGGACTCTTTGCGTGCTATATTAGAACCAATAGAGCAACTACTAAAACCGAGAGACGTTCGGAGTGACATGTAGCAGCCTCACTAGAGCGCACTAGGAAAGCATTATCTCCGCGATTTCCGCTTTCTATTTGGCACGCAACACATGGGCAAAGAGGAACTGGGGAGAAATTACATTCGAATGGCATAACCGGCGATGTTGTTCAAACCTGTGTGTGGAACTAATCCCAGAAGGACGGTGTCGGATCGTGTCCATTGCGCAAAGGAAAGGTGTCACCGATGCACACTGCATGATCGATGGGAGGCGTTGTATGGGTCAATGTTGGTAATATTTAATGTTGAACTTTTAGTATGAACATTCACATGACTAGGTTGTTTGTGTACAGAATGCAACATGATTGTATTAATCCTTCGCAGCCGCCTCAGCATCCTCGTCCTGACCGTCCGCATCTTGGTCAGGATTGACCTCATAATACCTCAACCACCGCAGAACAGCGTACAGCAAGCAGGCTAGTAAAGACCCGAACGTGGGCCCGAACACGTAAATCCAGAAATAACCTGGAAACTGGCGATTGACCACAGCTGGTCCAAATGAACGAGCGGGGTTTAGCGAGGCACCTGTGAAGTAGACTCCTGTTGGTTGAATGAACTGTTAGCACGTCCTGCTCTTCGTGATGTTCTAGTCATGTCTTAATGGACTACTCACCAACCAGTTCCGACAGGAAGAATGACACGCCGATTCCGACAGGTGCAAGAAACGTTGAGCGATGTTTCTCAACGGCAAGCATCAATATGACAAAAACAAGCTGAGCGGTCAAGATCAGCTCGATGAAAAAGCCTTGTGCCGTGTTTGTCCCGTTTCCAAGAAGCGTGTCGACCACCAAAGGCCCGGGAAACATAGCAGACGCGATGCCTGCTGCGCATATTCCAGCTATTATCTGCACGGGTAGGATGAGAAGGCCACGGAGTACCGGTAGTCCGCCGCAGACTACGAGGGCTAGTGTAACCTTGGGAAAAAGCTAATCAGAGAAAGTTCGCTCAGAGAGACATTGGAAGGGTCGATTTCACTTACGACGGGGTTGAATAGCCCTCCACTGACTCGGTAAAATGCCCAAACGTTCGCCGTCAATGAGACACCGAAGGATAGAGCGACGAAGAGGATGACTGTCAAGGTATCCTGAGATGCGCTAGCTGCTGCTACCACATTGGCAACTTGCGTTCCGGCGAAGGAGAAGAACAGGAAAAGAAATGTGCCGCAGAACTCTCCTAATCCTGATACAATCTTGTTCCTTGTGGTATCGGCGATGCTAAGCATCGGGAGGGTATTGTCGTGGTCCCCATCGCTCGCCAACTTTTGGATGACTCGCTTGGGATTCTTCATCTTGGATAATAGTCGTGGCATGGTGAAGGTCGATGTCCGTTCAGGGTCGGGGAATATTTAACTGAGGGCGGGACCCCAGTGTCGAGGAAGGTCTAAGAGCCACGAGCTGCATATTAAATTGAGACATGTCTGTCTTTATATGAAATGCCGGTCCTTGCCCGTCACTTTACATGCTTTCTCTGTTTTTACTCCGTCAAAGAAAGGCATGGACGGGTGATGGTATCATTCCGAAGCAAGCGCCCGTTACGACACTAGGCCCGCATCCGGCAGTGCCCCGACCTTCGAAGTATGGCAGCGAACCCAAAGCGGCGCCGTGTCTCGAAGGCACTGGTCAGCGCCGGTGACGCCACCTAGCCGCGACGCATGCTACCGGGCAAAGGCAGCCGAGCAATCAGGTCTGGACTCAACTCCAGGTCGAATACGAGCGAGGGCTTAACGGCACTTAGCGCGCACAGCCTGCCCATAGGCGACTAGCTTCTGAAGCCACGGACATCATTGTCAATGAAGAACATGTCTCGGTTGCGGCATCTGTCAGTGTCATAGGCAATCTTCCCCCCCGCACAGCCCTGAACGTCAGGACGTCGAGGTGTGAGCGGATTCTTCGGGCATCTATGTGCATGAGCAGCTGCAATGAAGCTGGGACTAACGCGGCTCTGCTGCGCAGACTCCGGACCAATTGATCATTTGCAACGATGACGTCGCGAATGTGATTTCGGGGAAAAAAATATGACAACCAGTGCAGGCTAAGCGTCCACACAGATTGTCCAGGAACTTCTCATGTCCGGCCCCCACGGAGTCCCACCAAGCTCGAGACTCTAGATTGAGTTAATAGTAGTATTGAAACCTCTCCCGTCGGATTTGATCAGAGTGGCATCAATTGCGCTGACATGAGACGCAATCCTGATAGTATCATAAACCGCTTCCGTCAGTCTGATCTACGAGCGTCGTACCTGCGGCTCACCGCCGATTGGATGGCAAGTAGATCCGGCTGGCCGCATCCTCGGGTTCTTAGCGTCGTCATCGTGGTTGCCAAGATGCGGGGTCAGCTATCGTGGGGATCTTGGGCTATTGGATTCATGTGGTTTCACAGTGCCTTGAGCTGTCATCCATTTTTCTCGTGGACTCACTTTGAGACAGAATCTGCAGAAGTAGGCCTTGTGGCTTTGTTGCCGTCGGCCTCGTTATTGGTATGAAGATCGTGATCAATCTTCAATCCACTCAGTTATCAAGACAGTGCTCCAAAAATTACGCAAACGACTACGTATATGCGTTATCATCAATCCGTAGCGATGTCATATGCATCGGAATCTGTGTTTCCGGCCAGTGTTCCGGGCCAACCGCACCTACTTGTAGCGTCCGCTGATGATGATCAAGCGTAGCCAAGCGGCTGAGCAGCTGCGTGTATGGAAACGAGAAACATGATCTCTTCAAATATTTCTAGTTTGAGTACTTCAATGTTCATGGGCTATCTTATTGAGACCACTCACGTTGTAGCTGGAGGAAGAGGCGGCCAACCCTTGTCTGTCCCAAGATCCAGGATCATCCCTTGGATCGCCGATCAAATTGTCCGGGGCTAAACATCAATATTCCGAGACATCCCAAAGAGCTAGCTTACCCGATCGAACGCTAGTCGCGAGGGACAGGCAAAAGAAAATTCCTCATTTTACCGCTATGCGGCATACATGACCAGGATGAATGGCATAACCAGTCGGTTCTCATCCCATCTATCTTGATCTGATGTCTATTTGACAGGACCCTTTCCACCCCAAATCATGCCCCTAGCTTTGGCTCGTAATACGAAACATCCAGCTGACGTTGGTGCCGAGCAACGGCGTCGTCAGAGACCGATCCTGGAGGTTGGTGGTACAGGTGTCGCTTCAACAGGCAATCGGCCTGGTGTGGCAAGGTGGGATTCACGGAAATCGAAATGCTGATCAGCCCGGTTGCAGCCACAACTGCTCCGTCGCACGCGATTGGATTGGGGTAGTGGCTTAGGTGGAATGTGCTTTAGCCCGCATCTAGTTCAAACGAAAGCCTCGATCAAGTTCTTTGTCGTAGTTAACAATGCGGTGTCCTAAACCCCATTACGCGGCTTGGGCCGAACCGGCCTTCTGGGAGATTCCGATTAACTTCCGCGCCAGCTCCTCACTCTTTCCCAGGAAAGGGCTATGCCCAGCTGCAATTCTCTCTTCTTGCATAGCAGGGGTGCCTTTTACCAGTGCCTCTTGAAGGCTCAGAGGAAACACCAGATCCTTCTCACAGATGAGATACGTCTTCGGTATGACGATATCCGACGCAATGAAATTGATTCCGGTCTCAAATGCATCTTGGGAGTGCGGCAGCAACGTGCTAAAAACTCTTGTTGCTTCCTCCTCTGAAGTGTCATTGTACAGCAGTTTGAAACCCTTCAAATTCACCGTTGAAAGTTTGTTCTGCGTGAAATGTGTTTGGTAAGCAGTCGAGCTATCATTTAGCATTGTAATTAGGTAGGGTTCACCTTCGTGTAGGACTCGCAGGTATCCTGCCAGTCTGGCCAAGCCCCGCCAAAGGTCGTGAGAAGATCCCATCCCTTGACAGGAACGGCAAAGGCTGCAATGAAGATGATGAAGTTGAAACCGCCTTTCAACCCTCTTGCGGCCCTCTCCTGGGTCCCTTGACCCTCCGTGGCGACAGTTGCCGGCACTCCTCCATATGAATGTGCCACGAGAATGACCTCTCTCCCCTGTTCGAAGTAAGACGTCGCCACCTCGATAATCTTTGCTTTGTCGGCTTCCCATGTAATTCCATTGGTGCCATGGCCCATCGATGGCATTTGCGGGATAATGCATTCGTATTCCAGTGAGATGAGATCAGTCCTCAAGGGCTCATAGCATGCAGGCGGGTGCCACGCTCCCGTAACGACGAGGAAGACGGGCTCACTTTTGCCAATTGAACCCATGTTGGTAACTGATAGTGATTTGACTGTTGGAGCCGATTACTTGGCGGAAACAAGAATCAGGGTTGGGCATCTCGGTCCTTTTAGTAGAAACCCGCCAGAAACATCCAGCAGGCGACAGAAGTGCGTTGTTGGTCGCTCGGCAAGGGTAAGGGGAACCGCCCAATCCCATCGCGATGTTGGTTGTAGGCTGCCCTAGCAGCGAGATTAGATGCTCCGCATCTCACCAAAACTTGGCCGGTCCCTTGCAGTGATTGATCGAAATCGTAAGAGTTGGAACCTTCAAATGTGACCTTCTATATTGTCCGGCTCAGTCTCCGGGCGGCCCGGAACGCCCAGCCACATAGATTGGGACCATTTTCCTTACCTCGTCACTAGTGAGGTGACATTGGAAGAAGCCACACCCTTCCGCGCATGGGGAATCAATTTCATGGGGCTGTGTTGAAGTTTGTACATTGAAACCTACCCAGTGTGTTCATCTCTATCATGGTCGAGAAATCTCCTCCTCGGCCGCTAAGAGGTATCTCATCGGTTTGTTGCCGACATGTTCGAAACGTTTTCCCACTTAATGATTGTTCACCAATCGTAGTTGCGAACGGAACTTGTAGGCATCAACAAGTCGCATATACTGCCAACGGGCTCGGAAGCCTCCAGTCAGTCAGAACTTTTAGATCCATAGCTTGAATCATCGCACCCGGCTAAGCTGCACAAACGTAACGCCGGATGCTATTTATTCATGTTATTCTATTTGTCTTTGAGGCCATACAGCACGTCTCCAGCTCCGAGCTTCGGAACACGTGTCGCTTATGGCAACATACACTACTTGTCTCTTTTACTATGTATGGTCACTCTTTGACGAGAAATTGAAGTGGGAGTAGTGCCGTCCACCTATCTAACTAGCCTTCTGGCTGCCCCCTGAGAGTTTCTGCGCCCCTAGTGACTGAATCGGAAGTCTAGTCGCTTGTTTCCTTCATCCTTGGTGGTCGCCAAGTATGCGAGCCTCTGCTCTTCCGACATGCCGTCCCAGATCTTGTCGCGTCGCTTATTGCGGTAGACATAGTACGCCTTCACCAGAGGATAGAGAACCAAGTTCATGCAGACGATGCCAAGGAGGGCCCTGTTTCCTCTCTTGTACAATGGCGCATCATCTTGAACAATATTAGAGCACAGTAGGAATAAAGAGAGTACGATAGACTCACCAGAGCGATAAATATTCGAAGAGATGATACCACTTGTCTGAACGAACATGTTGTAACATGCAGCAGATACGGTTCGGGACCGGACAGTGTTGGAGTTTCGGCTATTCCATCCAACCTTCAAAGTGTGTCAGTAAGTTTCCAGGTGATGAAGGTGAAGATCCCTGAACATCAGGGACCACTTGAAGCCTATTTCATGCAGGAAGTCACTTACTTGAATTGGGTGAGCTGTAATCGAATGATTAGCGGGGATTCAAAACGCAGGTTCAACATGCACCTTACCATTAGGGTAGATGAGCAACAGAGAGATGACTGTGTATAACACCCATCTGTTGACTTCAGTGGTGTCCACGACGTTGAGGTAAATCAAGAAGGGGAGAGTCCAGAATTGACCAGACATGGCGATGAAAGTGAGCTCTTTGAAGACCTCAGCTAGGTAGGTAATCGCAAGCATGGTAATCACTAACAAAAATGTAAGCGCTGATCAAAAGACGTTAGGACAGTACTTACTGTGGCCCACGGTGTTTGGAATAGAAAGCAGGTTCGCTTGAAAGGTATCGAAACCTAGGTTGCGCAACGTCAAGGTAAGATACTGTTGAGGCGGCGTGGACGGAATCTGGAAAGTGAGACCGAGGATATAAAGCGGCCAGAGGTCATAATCCCGAAGACTATCCCACAACAACCGCGGTGTGATGGGCTCTCGGTTATGCATGCTGCTTTTGCTCGGGTCTTCGCGAAGAACTCTGTTCACGAGGATGGCTTCCTCTCTGCATCGCAGTCAGCAACAACTCAATAATCACATGTGCGTGTGCAAGTCTACCTTTCTGTAAACCAACCCTTCTTGCCACGAAACCAACTCGCAGTTTGGCAAGGTCCCGCCGGCATCAAAAGGAAACCAAAGATCCCAATGACCAGAGTCAGTAGTCCTTCGATCAAAAAGAGCCATCTCCATCCGGCGTGTCCTTGCAGACCCCGCATGTGCAGCAGCCCATAAGCGAGTAGAGCTGACAGAATATCTGCAATGCTCATAGCAGTCCAGAAGAAACCAAGCCGGAGAGATAGCTCGTGGTGCTTGTAGAAATATGAGAGGTATAGGATAACCTTCAGATGGGTTAGCAGAGGTTCCAGTGTCAGAGATCAAAGGAGTAGAAGTTACATCTGGGATGAAGCCACCCTGTAGCAAACCCAGAAGTGCACGGCAGGCAAGAAAGGAGTCTCTTCCAGAGAGCCAGAACTGGCAGCTGGCTACAATACTCCACAGCACCATTTGTGCAGGAATCCACCGGTCAGGCCCAACCCACTTCGAGACGAGTTGTGATGGCAACTCAGCGCAAAGGAAGGCTAGCTTGAAGACGGTGTTTCCTAGGTTGAAGTCTTCACGGTAGGTCAGCTCCTGAACTAAGATATTTCATATCGCGCCCGGATGAATATACCATTGGTGGTCATTTTCAGATCGCCCAGCATGTTGTCGGTATTTGCTGGATGGTTGGAAATATGTTAGCAAATCTCTTCTGGCGTTGATACTCCTATCGTGATCAGTTCGAACCTTGACTGATGTTGGCACGATCCAGCTCGAGTGCCATAAACATGATGCAGGCCCAAACCTATGACTATGCATTAGCACATGAGGCAATCGAGTAATTTGGTATGACTTGCCATAATTCGAAAATCGACCTTCCGGATCAGGGCATATTCTTCAGCCCACGTCCATCTAGCCAACGGATCAAATCTGTGGATATTCTCCCTGAGCTTTACGTCAGACCTGCACCTGTAGCGAAAACACATCGGGGAAATCCTCACCAGTCTGACCGAGGGTGATATTTCTCCGCTGTATCGGGGTCATCGAACACGCTTGGCTTTGGCTCGTTAGAATCGTTTCACCATTTCGAGGAATATTTTTGTCGTCTTCCAACATACCTGGGTGGCAATGGCAAACGGATCATAGTATTTGTCTCGTTGGAAGAAGAATCGCTTTTCCTCTTTGGGTGCACCTAGCGGAGGGATTCCCTCAAGAGATGCGGTAGATTCCGCCCCCTCTCCCTTGTGCAGAGGGTCCTTCGCCAGAACCGTTGCCATGATCGCAAAGAGGTTATGGCACGGGCTTCAAATGTCGTTGAAGTTGAGGCTGAACGATAACTATCTGATGAGGTATCTCCTCGGAGCAGAATCTCGCTACTACTTAAAGAGAATTGAAGGAAGCGGTACGGTTCGCCGGATCTCGCCAGGCCACCACGGCAGACCGGGACCCTTCCTACAAGGTTGTGTTTCCACGCTTCGATGGCGAGTTGGATCCACAATATCACGCCCGTGTGGGATGTCGGAGCTGAATGGAGCTGAGCCTGGCTGTACTCGGTAAAGAAAACAGGAGTCGAGCTGGGTCAGCGGTGTCTCAATTCCCCATCTCTTATCTTCATGTTTCGCAATTGAGCAAAGTTTCGATCGAGAGTTGCCGACGGACTTTGGATGACGGGAATGCCGTCGCAGCTGACACCCCTTTTGATCACTCAGAAGGTGAATATCGATGCAAGATATTTCGATATGAAAGCTGTCTCCTTACGCAAAACGAGTCATCTTTACTGAACCGTCTACGTAAAGAGCTTTCATTACACGTTCGAAGCCAGCGTGCATCGTTCACTTCAACCCCGAGATGAGATGAACGTAGCGAGAACCACTGCAGGCACCTCCAAGCAGCATGGGCATCTTGCACCCAACACAACCCTTCCCCCTTGAAGCTATCCAATTTTCTCTCGTCATCCACGGCTTGAATTTCGTATCTGTTAACCCCAATATTGCGAACATGCGAGATACGCTTACGGGGGTTTCTTCCGGACCCTGCAGCTAGTTTTGCCGCTCGGAGAGAGGCCGGCATTCATCCGGCTTCGGTGTCATTTTCTGGTGTGTCGAGTAGCCTCTTAATTCATTGGACATAGAATCCCACTGTACTTTTACTGGGAAATTTGTTAAATCCGTTACCGCATGCCGTTGTGGTAATGCTCACGGGGTGAGCATGTTGGTGGTTCTGCCACCCTTGCTTTGCAGCTGCTCGCAATAAACTATCCTTCTGACGCAAGCCACCACCACGTCTTCTTATCAGTTATGCTTGGGCTAGACCTTGTGATTGGAAGCGGGCTGAAAAGCACAAAATCCGTCCCTCTCGGTACAAGTGACTGCTACCAAGTAGTTGGGTGCACCGTGCAGGCATCTGATGGACTTCTTTAGCGGTCGCAACTGGTATCACGAGCATAAATTCATATCTCATTTTGGTCAATAAGAACACCAAGTCCAATAGACTTATCAGCTTGATGATGATGCAGTCTGTTAGGTATGCGCGCATGGGTAGATCAAATATCCGAAGCATGATTGGCCAAACCAACGTGGCCGGCTGATCACATCATCCACTCTAGATCCACGCAATAATATCAAGGGGGTGGTCAATCACGAAATAGGCTCACCCGCTTTCACCATCCCGCCGAGCTCAATCAGCTTTCCGTCTGAAGATTGCGGGGTTCCCCAGGACATCCAATCCTACCGGATGTCGCTTCATTGCGACATCATTCCGTAGCCGACGACGTCGCGACATGTGCAGTCAGCCAGCGCTCGATGCGAGCCGGTATCAAGAGTCGCTCGAGTTATAAAATAAGTATATTTTCTCAGATAGCGAGCAATTCACACAAGAAAATCTATAGACCATCCAAGATCAGTGCTATTAAATCAACACATCAGACAACCATGGCTCCTACCGCAATTGAATCAGAAGTCCCTATTCACACCAGCACGAAGGCGCCGGCGTATCCGGAGCCCTTGAAGCTTTCCTCGTCGCTCGATAGCTACGAGTCGTTTGATGTGACCCCTGTCATTGGTCGCGAGTTCCCGAAGGCCAACCTCGTGGAGTGGCTGAACGCTCCGAACGCTGATGAGCTTATCAGAGACCTCGCCATTACCAGTAAGCCATAACAACATGTCATGACACTGTGGAAAACTAATGAATGCAAAGTTTCCCAGCGCGGAGTGGTCTTTTTCCGTGCTCAAGACAACCTGACCAATGATCTGCAAAAGCAGCTAATCCTCCGGCTAGGCGAGCTGACCGGCCGGCCGAAAGAGTCCGGACTCCACATCCACCCGGTGCTCAACTCGGAGCGGGAGCTTGGTGGGTCTGACCCGGAGATCAGCACTATCAGCTCAGTGCAGCACAAGAAGATCTACCGCAAGCCTCTGGAGGGCGAGGAACTCAGCCCCAAGAAACAGTCGACCGCTCAGTGGCACAGCGACATCGCTTTTGAGCCCGTGCCAGCAGACTACTCATCCCTTCGTCTGGTTCAATTGCCCAAGACCGGTGGAGGTAAATAATTCACCTGCTGCACTTCGCTGTTAGTACTCCAACGCTGACCTGCAAATATAGACACTTTGTGGGCTTCTGGATATGAGATCTACGATCGCCTTAGCGCTCCGTACCAGAAATTCCTGGAGAGCCTGACTGTGACCTTCGAGCAGCCCGGCTTCGCTGCTGCAGCGGAGCGCGGCGGCTTCACTCTCTACGACAAGCCTCGCGGAAATCCCAAGAACATCGGCAGCATCCTCAAGGCGGTGCACCCTATCGTCAGAACCAACCCAGTCTCTGGCTGGAAGAGCATCTTCCCCGTTGGAGGCCATGTAAAGCACATCAATGGTGTCACCGCTGAGGAGAGCAAGCACCTCCTCGATTGGTTTCTTGATATTCTGCAAAAGAATCACGACCTTCAAGTTCGTCTGAAGTGGCAAAATAACAACGACATTGGTGAGCTTGCTCCACAGCACACATGAATCAGGCTAACAAAAAGTGCAGCGATTTGGGACAACCGCAGTACTTTCCACACCGCGACCTTTGACTACGATGACCAGGGAGAGAGGTTCGGTAACAGAGCGGTTGGAATCGGCGAGGCGCCCTACCTCGACCCAAACAGTACCGGCCGTCGGGACGCGCTGGGGCTGGATTATATCACTGGGCCATAGACATGCAATCAGTGACGCCGACGAAGAGATATTTTACTTTTGTTGCATGCACAGAACTTGCATATTAATCTCGTACCTTTGCTTCTGTCGGGAAATCACTTTCAGTGTCCATGTCGAGTTTTCATGTTTGCCAGCCTCTTACAAAATGCTATGGGTAGCGAACGAGGAACACCGTTTCAGGCTTGCCAACTTCAGCAACAATGCGATTCAGTATGGCGTCGGGGGCTATTGTTTGTTGATTAAACGATAAGACTGATTGATATTTGGCATTTGAATGTGGTCTACGACCACAGCGTACGATATATAACAAGAGAATGGGCATTATGGCCAACAAAAATCTGTACTTTGTTTGTCGTTCGAGCTGACCAACACGTTCTGTCAGACTGGTTAGTCGTATTATCAATCATCATGCAAATAGAGGGAGTAAGTGGGTTTACGGCTCCCTCAAGAACAAGTCATAACATTCTTCCTATGACATGGATGGTAACTATGTGTACCGTTACTTGCAACACCTCTCCTTCAGCTGGTTCCGTCCGCTGGATGGTCTACTGGCCGGATCACTCACTTCGGAATAAATGGTTCCCCATATTCTGATGGTGAGTCAGCCAGCCAGGCGTACCACTGAGACCAACTCTTTGGCTTGGTTGCCTCGAATTTCGAGTAATCTACCCCATCGAGATATTTGGTGCAACATGTGAGCTTGTAAAGCCAGTTTGTACTTTTCTCGTGTCTGTCCGTATCTAAAGTTTCCAATGACGTGCTACTGCTGGGTGATCCAATCGACGTGGGCCAGGCATTAGCGAGTTTTTGCTCATCCTCATATTTAATGTCGACTCCTTCAATCAAATCATCGAGACTTGCTGGTGTTGTTGCACCTTCATGGAGCAGAACCACTGCGACATCAATGTTAGGGTAGCCTGGGGGAGTGAAGCATTCTTGAAGTGGTGTGTGACCCGCAATGTTACCCGTATTGATATCTGCGCCATGTTCTAGCAGTAGTTGTATGATGGATCGAGGGTCTGTCGTCAGAGGATCATTTGTGTCTTCCTCTGACCTCTTGCACATAGCGACATGATGCATTGGTGTGTTGTCGAATGCATCGCGTATGTCAACACTCGTCGTGGTCTCATTTAGGATAAACCTCGAAGTATCGACATCTCTTCCGCCACAGGCTTGATGAAGCGCGTGGAGCTTGGTACCGAGGTGGGTTATCAGGGAGACGTCTGGTTCTACCAGCACGTCAAAAGTGTCTCTGAAATTAGTTGAAATCCAGTACTCCAGGCGTAGGGCTTCTACCAGCATCTCAATAGTGTCTTTAGAAGAAGTCGAAACCCAGTTCTCCTGGTACGTCTTGGCGGAGACGTTGATGAGTGCGAAGTAAAAAACGTTGGGACCCTTCTTTAGGATCGACTTTAAGTAGTTGATCATGCGAGACCTATCCCATGCTTGGGAGCTTGGTACCTGGAGATGATTGATGGTTGGTTCGAACTGATTTAAGACGGCATCGAGCGATTTGCAAATGAACCTGTTGTCCGCCGTGAAGGAATCGACGGCGGATTGTTCGAAGTCGATGAAAGCGTTGTCATTCATGTAGCGAAGAGATTGTAAATCTCTATTGAATGCCGCCCAGTGAACAGCGGACAACTTGTGATGCCATACAGTAGTCCGCTCGGTAATCCCGCTACACATCCATGGATCATCATGGGCAAAGTATTCCTCGTCATTAAACTCTCGGTATGCAGTGAACACATCCCCTCCTTTCATGAGAGACTTCGCAACGCCAGCTGAATTACCCTTCATTGCCGACAAAATCAGGGCGGAAGATTCATTATATATAGCGTCTTTCTGGTAAAGGACTGGCCAGATAGCATTGTAGAGAGTCTTGCAGGTGTACATCAGACGGACGATATCTCTCCAGACGTCAAAATGGGGCCAGTCCCTTACACCCAGATAGTCCAGTTCAGCAACCCAATGCGTCCAGGGCTTGCCGTAACCACGCCATAAATCTTCGGGGTATAAATTGAAAATTTCATCAACAATGTTGAAGATGATTTCTACCGGCAAGTCGAGTATCGTCAGCATTTGTCCAGCTGGCTTTTTTGTACACGTCGGTATGTCTTGTACATCGAGATTGGCCCTAGGTCTTGCCGACTTGGACTCGGCCATACTTTCGCGATGTTGCATCATGCTTTCTGACATTGAGAACAATAACTCAGAGTGCTTGTGAGAAAGCTCTAGAGAGAAATGATATTTGGGGCGTAAGCAGAAGGACGTGTGATAAACGGCAGTCGGATAAATCTTGGCTTTAAATTAAAACTGAGACTGTGAGTCACTACGTGAAAATATTTATACTTTGAATTCTGGCTGTCCCGCGCCACAGCCAGCAACATTCCGGAGATGCACTGTCTTACAAAAAGGTCCTCAAAACTTATGTCAACCCTTTTCACTTGGGTTTTCCGCAGGTCCATGCACCTTCTTGCTCATGATTTATACCAAGTCCAATTGAAAGGCGATTTTACAACAAAATTGTACGTTCCAGATGCCACACTGTATGACGCCCTCCCGCTACTGCTCCCAACGAACCGAAGGTGGGTGTTGCATGATCAACACCCAGCGGGGTCACAAGATCATTGACCGTGATGGAAGAATGCTGATCTGGGCTGCAGCGACGGCAGCAACGAGTGCAAGGACGTGGCTAATGGTTGCTGCATATGTGGTGATTTGCTTGTGGGTGAACCGAGGCGTGAAGAAAACGACAATACCATTCAGGTGTCATGGTCATTGGGCAGATATAAGAGATGCCCATGATGAGACTCGGGCTTGTACCGATCACCCAAATAGCAGGAGTTTAGCTAAATCACCGAGAGGACGGGCAATTTTCTCTAGTATGCAGACACAAATGCAACGCATTGTAGGAGTTCGTTCTCCTGAGTCAAAGTCTTCTGATCGTGTACTCAAGTCTTGAGGCAGCGATCTCGGGCGATTTGGAACCGAACAGCCCAAATAGCTAGGTTAGTAACCATGGTGTGTTAGCATGTATCCCGAAACAGTAATGGACGGAGCTATTCGACATGCGGAGCACTCCGCCTATGTTACTGCCGAGATCACGAACGCCAGTACGGCACTCAGTCGTTTGCACGCCAAAGTCCTGAGGATCCGGCGAATAAGTTGATTGCGAGATCGCCGGTTTGTCAATGTTGCCCTGGTTGGACAACGTACCATCGGCTTATGCCCGTTTCATCAAGGCGTCCCAACTCGGTTGGTCACATGCATGGAGATTGATGATGTCTTCGGTAAAAGATACTATTCCAGTCCAGTAACGACAGTGATTTCTTCCTCTTTTTTTTTTCTCCTCTCCCAAGCCCCAAACTCCCTCGCTTCCATGGATTTCTCAATTTTTTGGAACTTACATACAAAGATACTACTACAACGTGTGATTGGCTGTCGCTCTTGATCGCCTGCCGGCTTGCTTGCCATGACATGACTATGGACGATTGATGCGGCGTGGGAGGCTGACCGACTGGGCCTGCGTCAGCCGTCCCTACCGGGTGCTGAACTACATGGGGAGATCCTATCTGGATGGATACGATGGACATGACTTTGCATGGAAATGAACAGGATAAAAGCCCTACGTAAAATAGGAAAGATGGCAAATGCTGGGCAAGTGCACGCTACCTACGATTAGAAGCTAAACAGACCGCTGCGACGCTTGCCGAGCGGGTAGATGATGAGAGAGCTGAGGAACAGGCCAACGGCGATGCCGATGGCGATCTGGATCATGGATGCGGCGACGTTGAAGACAACCGAGTTCATCTCGGTGCTGTCGTACGTGACGGAGCTCGTGCCGTTGACCGAGTGCGTCGAGTTTGTGATTTTGTTGGCTGTAGTTAGACCGCTCAGAAGACCGCCGGTGGATGCGAGACCTCCTGGCACCTGGGTGAAGATGGCCGGGATGAGAGTTGCGGCGGCGACTCCATGGCGGACACGTGAGTAAAGGTTGGCGAGGACTCCGACGGTAAGAGCGCCAAGGGTGTTGGCGACCTGGGGGGCTGCGCTGAACCTGAGACCGGAGAAGTAGTTTACCATGTAACCTTGGGCCCAATGTTAGATCCGCGATGTTGCCATAAAACAGTTCAAGTAATGAATGCTTACCTGCAAAAGCGACGACCAACATGACTGGCATTTGTCGCCATTTGGCTTGGTAAAGGATGGCAATGCAGACAACGAACAGGGGGACGAAGATGAATGTCAGGTAGGTGGGGATCTGGTTCTCGCAGGTGGTCGTCGAAACGGCGTTTTCGTCTATGAGACCGTATATCGCAGTGCCGATGGTGATACCGAAACCGAGGAAGAGACTGTAAATGACGGCGTAGACGATTCGGATCGATCCGGGGACGATGGCGCGGGATTGGAGCTCGAGGGCGGAACACACTGGTCCATCAGCGGCTGTCCTCAGTTTCCTGTGGCGGCGCGACGCTACGATAGCAGCCGCGCTGGCTTTTGCTGGAGATGGCACGCTCAAGTCTGGCACCAGGTTGCTTGAAGCCTGGCACCGATCGACCGGCGGCACGCGAGATGTCCTAATGGGTGCCCGTAGGCTAGTAGAGCCCCAATCAAGGGGGATACAACCAACAAGAGGCGATGGGGAGGGGGTAGTGACAGATTGTGGAGAGAGATGACTTACAAACCATGTATCCCGGCAAAAGCATAACGATGCCTCCTTGGGCTATTGCAGAGAAGCAGAAGAGGTTTCCACCCCTAATGCTGCCGAAGGCTCTGGCCAAGAAACTTACCAGGACGGTTGCGGTGACCTCAAGAACATTGCTGTAGAGCTTGGACTGGGCAGCTACGATGAGCTGGAGGAACCCGACGAGGCAGCCGAAACAGAATGCGAGAGGGAGATCAATAAGGCGGGCGCCGAAAGAGAACGGTGCGGCAGTGACACTAGTGAGGCCGAAGACGAGGACTCTGATCCAGACGTGAAACTTGTCCTTGGACTTGATGAGCGCATCCAGGCGTTCGATTCCCTCGTTGACTGAGACAACGTCGTGGATGACCTCCTTGTAAACATGGTGGGTGTCGCTAAGTTTGCCAAGGTCAATTCCCTGCGCTGCGCGAACCATCCGAACTTCAGTCGTGTGTACGGATCTGTCGTCGAAGCTGATGACCATGCAGCCAGGACTTGACGCTGTTAGCCTGTGCTCGTTGAACGGTTTGTGTATGGAGATGATACTTACAGGTACAAGAATTGGCCATCAATCTCGAGAACCTTGGCGGTCGTAGAGAGATATTCTTCCAGACGATGGGTGGGAGCACCAAATAGCATCAACGCGCGGCAAAGAGTGATGATGTACTCCTGACGAGCGAGGGTCTCTGCAATGTGGACTGTGATCTTGGCTTCCTCCTCTTCTCTCGCAAGGTACGCGCTGATGCGAGAGTTGCTGGTAGTGCGCTTGTGTTTGGGACGCTGCTTCTTCGCGGCCTTGCCATCCTTTGGCGATCCTGGGCCCTCGCCCTGCTGGTTGGGGTTGGCGAGGCGTGCAGAAGCCTCAATCAGGTTGACGAGGGTCTCCTGGGACCTGTTGGCCTGGTACCACTTCTTACGGCTAGGGGTTGCGGTGCCGGTGGGAGTAGTGGTGCCGGACTCGGAGCCAGGAGTGCCGGTTGACAGAGGTCCTCCGAAATTAGAGAAAGAGGCGACAGAGTTGCGGTTGTTGGGCGGCTGCACAGGCCCCTCTGCAGGCTTGTACAGCTTGAGAAGCTGAGACAAGACGCTACCGCGATACTGCTTCGGCGGAGGGACGACGTACACACCGTCATAGTTGCCGTCGTTGACTTCAGGGAGCAGGTGGTCGGTTTGCTCAGTCTTTTCAGCATCTTGAGCATTGGACGGGCCGGCCTCGCTCTCAGTCTTGTCGGCAATACGCCAAGTGTGGGCCCGGACGATTCGGTAAGCTTCCGAGTTGAGTTGAGCCTGATGTTCGTGCTTCTCCTCCTCTTCCTTAGCCTTCCCGGTCAATGGTTGATCAGAGTTGAGGTCTTGAAGAGGAATGTAGGCTCCCTCCCTGCTGGGCGGATCATACTCGCTTGCAGTGGTGGTACCAACGGATTCAACGGACACTCGGGACTCTCGGGTAGGAGATCCGAGCTTGATGTTTGCGGCAACCTGGCGTGCACGTTCCTGAGCAGCGGCAGCAGCAGACTTGGCTTCCTGTCGCTCGCTTTCAACCGAGGGACGCGGGTTGTCCTGGGCAAGTGTTGCAACAGTGGGAATAGAGCTTCCCGAACTGCCTCGCAAGATAGATGGTCTCGGTGGGTTTGCCGGAGTGGGAACAGGCAGAGTTGCGTTGGGTGGTGGTGAAGTTGGGGGCTGGGTCACGGCCGCTCTGCTATTGAAGCGTACACGGCCTTTTTCCTTCTTCAGGGCGGCTGCAGCTGCGGCCTCGGCGCTGCTAGTCGATTGTTCGGCCGGATCAGGGTTAGGCGTGACTGCGGCATTCTCGGGAGTTGTGCTTCCGGAAGCGCTGCCGGATGCAAACCCGGCAGACATGCCGCCGCCGGGCTCGGGGCCGGGGTCGTCATCTTGAGAGGCGGGTGAGTTTTCGACCATTGCATCGACGGTCAGCACGACTCTTCTGCTTGGCGGCGGAGCAGGATGGAGCCGTTGACAAAGAGGTTGCAGAGCAAAATATTGAATGATGCCACAAAAGTTTTGCTGTGGGAGGCCAGAGTGGATCGTGGGGGGGGAGCAAAATCTGGGGAGCGTCTTCTCTCTTATAAGCGAACCGGTCCGGTGGTTCGTGACGCGGCAAAGTTGAAGCCCGCGGAGCCACCGGCATCTGCGAAATTCTGGAAAAAAGGGTTCTCACCGGAAGTGCCATCTCGTATCCATATATCTCCACTTGGGCCGAAACAACTGGACATGACAGCAGATCGAATTTCCTGGCTGGTACTAGCACACCATATTTGGCGCGGGTTCATTAGGGCAGAGGCCGGGCTCCGGCACTCTGTTACCTAATAACATCGGAGCTGCCTTTCGTCATTCGTCAGGGGTTCTCCCTGTGCGTCCCTGTGCGGCCACTGTTCTTGGCTGTGTGCACACTTGAAACTGGTGTAATGGCGTCATTGGCTTTCCTAATTCTCTTTGACGCGTTGTCGGCTGATGAGCTGGCCACGACGTGGAAGTGGTGATGGACAACAAAATCAGTTGAGATGACACAATAGTGTCGATGCGCCCAAGAGCCGCAGCTAGAGCCGTTGGACTCTCCCTTAGGCCCGATCCCGGCATGGTGCATAAGACTGGTGTGGCTCGAAGAGAACCCCCCGCGCGGAAGGACCCGATTTGTCCTGCAAGACTGTCATCCGAACACAGCCAACCAGAGCGCGGCCAGAGCATTCTGTTACCATAAATATCAAGCATCGTCAGGGGCATATCAAGGGTCTTCCCGCAAACTCCATGCCCAGTGTCACCAACTCACTGGTTTTCAGAACCACCCATTTCAATTTTTGGAACACCTTTTGCACGGCCTTGTGTGGCTTTTCAAAGTCTGGACTCTATGGCGGAGTTTTTGGATCGTCAACCCCCTTCCCGGTATCCGAGTACCTGAGTCATGACTCCTGGATCGGCTTGGCCAGAACCACGTGCAGCACCCACACGTTGTTGTTGGCCATAGCTTTCACAGGCACCCCTTTTCTTGTCAACGGGAGTCCTCCTCTGCTTGGTTGCCATCTTCTCGTTCCTTGGCCATCAGACCAAATTTTGTCTCACAGCCACAGAAATCATGTCGCTTGGCCATGATCAAGATTTGATTGAAGCTTGACTCTCAGCTTTGTATCGTTCAAAGGGGTTCACGCAGACTTTGGAAGACCCACTTTGTCACACCAGAAGGAAAAATGTTTCCGTCCAACATGTGCAATGCACAGCAGAAGCTCTTCTTGTTTCAAGTGATCCATGCACAAGCTCGCAGTCTAGCTGTTCGAGCTTCAACTAGCAGTCAAGGGAGGCACGCAGGGATTTGCACTTTCTGAACTCACGAACCTGACCGCCCATAGTTTCACAGAGCTTCACAGGGTCGTTTGCCACCCACGAAGTTTGGTGGGGTAAACAGCCCTGGGATCGGGCATGTAGAGCTAGGCTACTTTTGAGTTTCGCCCCGTGAGCTCGTGACTGAAAACTTTTGAAATTGACTGAACCCTGGAAACCATACGCGGAATTTGCTTTCCACATTGCCGTTGGGAGCGCGCCAAATCACGACAATAGTCATATGTTCCTGTCATGCTGTGCTACGCGAGATGAGGGGCTGCCCAACCGCGATTATCGTGAAGCGGTGAGACGAGAAAAACTTCACAAAGAAGGCGGAACGTTTGAGGCCTCCGACATCGCTCCCAGTTGACGGTTATTGATGAAGGATAAAAGGGGTTGAGTACGCGTCTGGATGCCGGAGGGGGCGATGACCAGAATCAGGAGAAGCAGAATTCAGAAGATCAGGCTGTGTCGATGAGTTTCGGGTCAGCAGGCTGGAGGAGATAGTGCCTTAATGTTTGTTCCCAGTTCGACGAGCTCACATAGACGCCGCTGCGTAACATTTGGCTCTTCGACCGTTTCGAGTTGCCCGGGCCGCTGCCACAAGTGGGGCTCGTTATTCCTCATCTCAGGCTTCGTCGGTATCGTCACATACCTTGAGTAACGCGTTGCGCCTTGAATATGACACCGCCGTCAATTGGGAAGCATCACAGTCTATTGAGCATTTTAAAAATTACTTGGTATTGCAATATTGTCAGATGGCCTCATGAATCTTTCTTCCCTTCTAACTTTTCTTCTTCGCAGTTTGCCGCCTAAAGAGAATCACGGTTGCATCACTTGCCTGTCTAGTTCTCTGTCAATAAATATTGTGGCTTTAATATTCCGCTACCGAAGAGCATTCACTCTGGTAGTTCTAAACGTGGCACGGCCCGTGTCGAAATGGCTTCAGAGTATTACAAAGCGTTTTTGAGTTCTTGAACAAAGCTTCCGTCATCAATTTGCTACCAAAGTACCTCGCCACCAACCCCGGTGAGAGCTTTTTCCCTACATGCTGGAAAGACATGATCCTGAGGCTTACATTACCCAGTCGTGCGTTCAAGAGCAATGAGCGTGTTTAATATTGTCTTTAATGGCGGCCTTCATTGGTGATTACTTGATTTCCTATCCCTACCTATGTCGGCTTCCCAGAATATTATGACTCCGACACGCACGTGGTCCATCGCTGTGTTGACCTTAGTGATCTAAGATCACAGATGCCGTCTCGCCCACAAGATCGAGCATCTGCGAAGCGGAATCCCGAGCCCGAATTCGGAGTTGTGGCTGTCAAGCGAGGCTGAGACAAGCCAACGGCAACTTGCATCATCAAGGTGGCTTACCTAGCTGAGGCAAGTTGTGGCATTTCCCATCTTTGTACACTCATCATTGTGTAGTTCGTATTGGCCGTCTAGGCATGAAGCAATGGGCACTCAGCTAAGACGAGTGTGCCGGAATTTCGGAAGCCATTCTATTTTGATGGCTGAATTCTTCCGCATGAGAGTGCCCCATTCAAGGTGACCAACTTGCGAACGCTCAAACATGAAGTGGCACACAAGACACCATCCCTTTTGCATTGGTCGGTGTTGACCTGGTAGGCAGTGAAATTTACGTTTTGTAGCCCTGGCGCTCTTTCCAGTGAGACCATTGATATCTCTCACTTTAGTTTCATCTACAAGATGTCCCGTCTTCCACACATGACATTCACTGTATATTGATATGACAACACATTCAATTGCTGTTATTCCTTGAAGTTCATCATGGGACATATTCATGGGAGCTAACCGGGGGGCAGGTAACTCCCGCGTCCATCTCCGACGGATCTTTAAAGCGGCAATCTATACCATATCCCGAGAGCATCTCGTCAACGTTCGCTAGAGACTGGAAATAAGACAGGAAAAGCTGGCACGATGTGGATCATGGCGTGCGGTAAGGCTTGGCTTATAACAATATCTCGTTGGTGCTTGCTCTAGTCTTCAATTCCTCCTCTACGCGTAACATAATGTTTGATATGTTATCACCGCGGTCCATCTTCGCCAGTCGCCAATCCATGCGTTCAATTTAGGATCGATGAGTCAATTTACGATCAATGACGTTAACATTAAAGAGTAAGTTGACTCCAAACTCAATACTTTTGCGCCCACCAGTATGTTTTGAATCCCGACCTAGAACCTTTCACTTTCATTGCCCGGAGCTTTTTCATAAACCTATCTTGCCACCCACCCTCAGACAATCAGATTTCGGGAGGGTGATAACGGGAAGTATACGGGGAAAGGACTGGATACCAAAAGGAGAATACTGTCAAACTACGGTCTACCAACCATCTCTATCCCACGACGTCTCTGACTTATGTCAGTATGTTGGGTGGCCAAAGAGATGCGTACTATCACGCAGGAGATCAAAGGTATTTACCGACACTTCTGAAGCTTTTATCTTAGACATCGAAGTCTTTTGAAAGGGTTTATCTTAGACTTGACTCGAAACCCGCTCATTGTGATCGTTGTTGATTCACTTTTTGGCCTCTGACTTTCTGCTAAGTCGATGATGTATGAACCAAGTATTGCGTCAGTCTCAATCGTCTAATTATTCTTAACCTCTTCTCTCAATCCTTAGCCTAGCACCAGCGCTATAGCCAGATTGCAATGAAAATAGCAAAGGGTACTTTGACGCAACACGAATAACTTGAGGTCTAAAATCTGTATCAACAACGTCCATAGTAGAACCGGAGGTTTTCTTAATACGAATCTAGACCGCGTTGTTGAGAATGTAGAAGAGGGTGCAGCATGTGTTAATGCAACACTTAGCAATGGGCTCAAATCCTATTGTCTCCGAAGTTAACTTACAAACTCCATTGTAAATGAACGAAGGGCTTCTAAGTTCAATGCATAGACACTGACCCTATTGCAGTAGAATCATATTCGAAGAGAAGGCGCAGATCACTTTAAGGAAACATGAAAACAAGCGCGGTAGATTGCGAGTTCCGTCTGATGCACGCCTCATATAACCTATGGATGTCCTATCTCAATCTGACGTACTGGGACCAATCTTATGCATCAGCTCTGCTACGTCTGCTCGAGCATCTTGTGGATCCATTGGGATAGTAGGAAGTACTTAGATAAGAAATCGTCATACTGAAATGGTTGTAGGCCTGGCGGCTGAGAGCTATGCAACGCAGTAGCGCGTACGCGCCCTTGGGCGTATATAGCTACTGTAGCTATGTAACTCTATAGTTTTAAGGCCTATAATCTTAAAAGAGAAAAGAAAAGACTTCTTATTTACTTTATAGATCTAAAATAAAAAGAATAGGATTAAAAGCTTAAAAATCTATTAAAAAAAATAAGTAAATTCTACTTCTAATCTATAAGGATTAATAATAATATCTAAGTTAACTTCTTATTTCTTAAAGGGGGCTAGTAATCTAACCTCTAAATACTAAAAATACTAAAAAATCTAGTAAGTTTACTAAACCTTATTCTAATTATCCCTAATTATCTTCCCTCTAGTTTTTTAAACTAGAAGATAATTCTCTATATATTTATATATATATAAGAGTA